GACAATTTAAATAAGGAATGGACACACGGTAAACTCTGTTGCAACGTAAAGTATATTCATAATATATATTCCGAGCGATCACTTTGTTTCCAGAATTTCATAAATCTGTTTGAGAAAAATTGTCTCCGTGTTCAAATAAATTTCAAAAACGGGAAAAAAAGCAGTCTTTTACCGATACCCTGCAACAGAACCTTATTATTCTGACGAATTAAATTGACTTTATAACGCTCGTATACAATTATTTATTGATCGATTTTCATTATATTTATTTTGCAATACCTATCATTCAATATGCAATCAAACGGAACCAAGTTTTCATACATTCAAGGAAATTGTAAGTTAGGACGGAGCTTTCAAAACGAACAGGTAGCAATTTCCAACACGCTTACCGAAACTCCAACATGGGCGCAGTCTAAAACGCGGACGCCTTAAGCGGACAATATAAACATATAGGGAAAACGCTGACGATATAGACAAAGAGGAAAAAAGCGGACGATATAGATTATATAGTGTAAAATGACTGAGCATAGTTAAATTCATATTAAAGGCTAATAATTGGCTTTTATAAAGTAATATCTGAAAGATGTATTAATTATAATAATTAAAAAAGACTTTATTTTATTTATTTGTTCAAATTCTTATAATAATTAAAAAAGACTTTAGTTTATTTATTTGTTCAAGTTCTTAAATTTATGTTTTTTATTTGTTCATGTTAATTGACTTAATAACTTTTTAATTAACAGTACAAACATGCAACAGTCACGTGCGGAAAACTGAATAAGGGCACAAAGAATTAGTTTGAATATATTTGAACAGTTTGCATACGCAATTCGCGGACATGATAAACATATAGGGAAAACGCTGACAATATAGACATAGAGGAAAAAAGCGGACGATATAGATATATAGTGTAGATTGACATTCTTTTCAAAATATACAATTTACTATGATTTGTAATTTACTTTTGTTTCTATATTGCACATTAATTGACATATTAGCCGAATCTTCTTTTGTGTACATATATAATTATGAAATAGTGGGCGAATGAGTATTTTTTTTTTTAAAATTATCGTTTACCGGTGAAAATAACACGTGTTGCAAATTAACTTAAAGCATTACAATTAAGTGTGAATGACTTTGTCACATTATTAAAATTGTCGGCTCTTTAGATATTGAGCAATTAAGACATAAATTTCAAAGAACAATATAGAAAAAAACAACATTGGGACCAATCATGAAATTAATTTCAGTCGTTATGTTTTTGATCTTTTGTATTTTTTTTCACAACTTTGCAATTGCAACTTATTTAATGGGTAAAACTGTTAATGGTAAGGTATATATACAGTCAATTTTTGTGCACATCCCTCATTTCCAAAAAGTTACATGCTTTGAATTCATTCCATTGCTTACAAAGTGTTAATTTGAATTGGATTATTAAATTATTGTGTTCTTTAACTTTTAAAGTGTAATTGTGTAAAATATTGTATAAAGTGTTTTCACTAAGGCATTGTTAAAAATGCATTCGTTGTAGGACACAGTCAAGTAAAATATATGAGTGATTATTTGTGTCAACATTCGTACAGTGTGTGTTTTCCTATCCTGGATATAAAACACGCCAGTTTTGTTTCGAAGAGGACATTTTTGAAGTTGCTCCATATTTTTTCGGTAAGTTCATATCAATGATATTCCCCTTTGTAATCTTTATCAACCTGAATAATATATGAACAATCATGTTATGTTCTACCAGACAATAAAACAGTAAGAAATGTATAAATTATATATTTCAGGGATCATTTCTGGTCAGGAGTTTTAGTGAGAGATTTTCTCTCATTTGAGAAATTTTAATGAGAGAAATTAGATTTCTTGAGAGATTTAATTTTTCATGATGGGCGAGGTTAAAAATATGGAAATTCTAACTTTTTAAAATCACTGTACATATAAACATTGTTTATCTAATGAGGATATAGATGTAGCTCTGTTTATTACAGTGATTTTTTGTTTTCACTTTTTTGATTCATCCTATGCCTTTTCTTTTGTGAATTTTTAAACATAATAAAATTCTAATTGTGAAAAATAAATATAACACTTTCATTCTGAAATAATAAAAGAATTATACATGGATATCTACTAAAACTATTATTTCAGCCAATATTCCTAATGGACAACACTGTACTGTACAGAAGTGATTGTTGAGATTTGTAGAATATTTTTTTATAGCCTTACATTTTGTTTTCTTTATGATTCTCTTCACACACCTGACGACCCTCCATTAAAAAATATTCATTGAATATGTGACCTGAACACATAATGACAAATATATCAACAAATATAAACAATACCTAAAGTAATTTTATTCATAAACATCATTTTTAGTGTTATAAAACACTTTAAATACATGTTACACTCAGCTCCCTCTTAGTATTTTTTTTTTAATCACGACATCGCGAAAATATGTGACAAATGAATATTTGTCTGTTTTCCGCTGAAACATTCACAATTCTAGCTGTTGCTGAATGCAATTATATAAAATTAAATACTTTTGTTCAATTAAAAAATATTTATTATCGGCTATTTCATCAGGAATCCTAAAACAAAATTTTTTAATTTGTTCTTTACGGCAAAATTTACCGTGGTTGATGTGACATTTAGAAGACAAATTTTTACCGATATTTGGTTTTATTTTGGTTTTGACATGTCCATTTTTATGCTAGTCTGTGTCTAACAATTTTTTATTAAAATCAATTAAAAGTGTTTTGTGTAAATTCTCGACTTACAGATAGATAAAGGTTACATTATAGCCATCATACCGTTTTTCTGTATTTCACCGTGGTGAATTTGCGGTCTCCGATCGGCAATTAGTTTAGGCTAAATAATTCAAAGTGTTGGACTACTTTTTGGAGTTTTTTTACACCGATTTCATTAATAAACAATTTGAAATTAAATTCTTGATGGGAATCGTAAGTTTTTCATCATATTTTTGTGTGATTTTAGTATTCATTAGATTGTGATTAGACATTTTCCGGCTCAAATTGCCGTGCGAGATTTTCTCTCATTTCACAAATTTCTCAGAGATTTTGGTGATTTTTTTGCGAGAAATCGCGGAAATCGCCCCCTAGAATGATCCCTGTATTTATGTATATACTGATTCCATTTTTTTTTATTTAAATAAAGTGTCCACGTGTCACTTGTATAATCCTGCACGTGTTTAATTTAATCATACACATGATACTTTATACCATATTTCATCAAGTCGAAATAGAAAACGCGGACAATATAGACATATAGTGAAAAAGCGGACGATATAGATATAGAGGGAAAACGCTGACGAAATAAATGTATAGAACGGGAGAATAGAAAACTGTTATGAATAAAAAGAAACATCTGGCTTCTACCATGTATATAATTATTTTTTTTCAATTAACTTTCTTTAATTCATAATATTTTTAGTTCTATTTATATTTTATCCATTGAGTAAATAAAAGAAACTTTCTGATATAAATACCAATCAACTAAAAAAATATCTCTCCGCTTTGTATATATTGCCATCGTTTTTCCTATAAACGTTTAATACATTGTCTATTTAATATTGTTGTCTTAAGTAAGTGATTTTGTTAAAATATGTGATTGTTATATTCTTTATAGCTATATACATATATTGAGTTGTTACATTGATATTATTATTTGTATGTGTAAAATAAATTCATGTACCGAATGTGTTATATTGCTTAAATAAAATTGCAATGATGTTCATTCTTTATCTTCGTTTTTATTACTTCACAATATTACTATACATTATCATTATCATTATCTATTTTATTATAATTTTATCTCACATCTCACACATCATTCTACACTCTATCTATAGCGCCCGCTTTTTTCCTCTATATCTATATCGTCCGCTTTTTCTCTATTTATTTATATTGTCCGCAAAAATAGGGCAAAGAGCGGACATGTTCAATCAGGTAGCATGTTGTTGACACTTAATTGTCGTTAATTTGCAACACGTGTCCGTCACAAGAGTATACGTCTACTCTAAATTTCTATATCGTCCGCTTTTTTCCTCTATATCTATATCGTCAGCGTTTTCCCTATATATCTATATTGTCCGCAAAATGCGTATCATGTTATCTCTAGCTAAGTGCCGACACGATTAATCAGTAGCGTGTTGTTCACACTTATATAATTACCGTTAATTTGCAGCACGCTTCTGCTCATATTATTGTATCAATAAAAAACAACAGCCCGTCATTACTTATTTATATCAATAATTTATGATTAAAATTTACTCTTACAAACTTTTGATTTTGAAAAATCAAGGCTTTTTTTATTTTGCGAACAAAAATTTTGTCCACCTACTGCACATAAAGGCATACAAAAAATGCCAAAATGAAATACATATCCTTAATTACATATCAGCTGTTGCCAATTTAGTACCTTCATTGTAATTCTAAGGACATTCATTTGATCCATTTGTTTCATATATTAGTTTTCAATATTAAGAAATTCCGAAAATGTGTCATATAAATATAAAATAAAATTCATTGACATTCAATCATAAATTACTTTAATATTTCTCCCAATTTGCTAATTTATTATATTTTTTTATATATTAAAGTATAAATCCAATTACACGTCATTTTTATAAACTTCATCAATGCCCAAAATCATCACCAATTAGTCTACACTATATATCTATATCGTCCGCTTTTTTCCTCTTTGTCTATATTGTCAGCGTTTTCCCTATATGTTTATATTGTCCGCTTAAGGCGTCCGCGTTTTAGACAGGCCCCTCCAACATGGCGGCTCATTTGCATAATTTATTCATAAACGCAGGAGCATAGAACTTTGTTAGTGAAACGGTGTTTAGCTAGGTTTTCGAAAAGGTCAATGTTTAAAAGTAAAATTTCCAAATCATTATAACAATTATAACAATTATTACTGCTTAACAAGCGTCTAAAATGTATTTTACCTAGATAAACTATGATAATATCTATACTTACTCACTTAAGTTTTGTCTTTTAAATACAAAAAACTTAAACAAATCTGACACAATACATGTATCTCTACCAGCTGTAATGGAGTTTGTAAAACAAGGGGAAATAACTCTGTTATAATATAGGTATCAATATAAAGTTTCGTTAATTGAACACAATTATCTCTCTATCAAATTATTTATGGAGGTGTTAGATAAAGCGGATAATGTCCATTCGACAATTAGATTTACGTTTAGACCATGAAACATTAACTTGATTTTAACTTTTTAATGTTATAACCATTTTTATTATATACCATGTCAAGGAAAAAGACTTGACCAAGCATCACCATCACCACCATCACCATAATCATCTGATTATATATATAAACATTGTCATGTTTGGTTAACCTTAAGAAGTTTAAGAATCAAATTTGAACGTATTGGATTAATAAAAAAAAAACGCGGCCTTCGCAATATAAATGTTATATATATATTATATGTTATCAAATGGATAATATAAGTTACTCTATTAAAGAATCTTTGGTTCCTGATAGTGACAATAGAGTTCCAGCTTTTTATATTCTACCTAAAATCCATAAACAATTCAATTCTGATCTACCACTCGGTTACCCTGGAAGACCAATAGTATCTGGATGCGGTTCATTAACTGAAAAGATATCATCGTATATCGATAATATACTCAAATCACACATGGAATCATTACCCTCATATGCCAAGGATACTACAGATTTTATCAGAAAAATACAAAACTTAACAAATATTTCAACAGAATCATTCTTAGTAACAATGGATGTATCATCTTTATACGGTAATATACCTCATAATGATGGAATCAAAGCATGTCAGTACTACCTTAAACAGAGAACAGGACAACAACATTCAGTTAAAGACATTTTACATCTTATTGAAATAGTGCTTACAAAAAACAACTTCCAGTTTGGTGATGATAACTATACAAAATTTAGGAACAGCTATGGGAACTAAAATGACACCATCTTATGCTTCATTATTTATGGGAAAATTTGAAATGGACTTTTTAAATACATGTGAAAGAAAACCCTCAATATGGCTGCGATTTCTTGATGATATTTTTTTCATTTGGGACCACAGTGAAGAGGAGCTTATTAAATTTTTTAATGAAATTAACAACTATCACAACACTATTAAATTTACTTATAACTACTCAAAAACAAATGCAACATTTCTAGACGTAAATTTGGAAAAGAAAGATAACTGTGAAATTGAAACTATAGTGTCCATGAAAAAATAACAAATGCCCATCAATATATTGAATTTTCTTCATGCCATCCTTGGTCATGTAAAAAAGGTATTCCATTTAGCCAGGCTAAACGATACAGACGAATTACATCAAAAAACAACATATATGAAAAAGACTGTGACAAACTACGAGGTTATTTCCGTGCCAGAAACTATCCAGAAAATATCATTACAGACACAATTACCAGAGCACCAACTTTATCGCGGGAGGATACATTAAAATTAAAAGTCAGATCAGAAGAACATTTGTGTGAACATATAATCCATCTTTACCTAATAAAGGTAAAATAATTAACCAATATCGGAGCCTTTTGAAATGTTCTCAAAATGAAATTGTATGTATATTATACAAATACAAACCAATTGTTGATTATAAGAGACCGAGTAAATTACAATACAGTCTAGTTCATACTCATTTAAATGCCACTTTATGATTGATACAGAATCTAAATGCTGTAAATGCTGTACTCATTGTAGTAAAATTTTTGAATCTAATATTTTTTCAAGTACTACTATACCTAAAGAATTTGCTATAAAACGCGATTTTTCATGTATATCTTCAGATGTCATTTATCTTATAACTTGTAAAAAATGTAAAAAACAGTATGTTGGTCAAACTCAGCAAAAATGTAGTCAAAGAATGAATAGCCACAAATTTGATATTAAGCACTTTCCTGACATTATTACCAATGTATCTGAACATTTTAATTCTGAAGGCAATCTATCAAAGATTTTTCATTTATGCCAATTGATAAAGTAAAGAATAATTGGCAAAGATTATTAAAAGAAACTTCATGGATGTATAAGCTAGGTACAATTATTCCTGATGGCATGAATTCCAAAATACTTCATTAATTTTGTAGATAATAATTCTTCATTTTAATAATTTTTTTTTATAAAAAATTGTATATTCTATTTTTTGCTTAATATGACTTAAAACTAATTTCATGTCAATATGTAGTTTATGCTGGTTTTCTAATTTTACATTGCAATATAAATGTTACAAATTCTTATACAGGTCTTTTTACATAAATCAGCATAATCATCATCATAATCATCATCGTCGGAGTTGATAAACATAATAATTTTTATTTAACTTTTATCAGTTTACTTAATCAAATTAGTACACAATATGTCCACCAAGCTTCTTTGTCGTTTCGTAATAAACACTAGACATTATTTTAGCAGTCTATTTTTATAAGCCACTCCATATTGGAGTTAAAAGAGACTAACAAAGGCATGATTGTTTCAAAAATTTTATTCACATTTTATAAGATAAGATAAGATAAGTTTTATTTCAAGTCGGCAAGTTTAAAACAGTACAACATAAGCTCTTAAATTGGAGCTTTTATAGTTACCGAATGTGTAATGTTATCATGAAGATATCGGTATTGAGAAAATTATCTTACAAAAACATGACATTGTATAGTAGATATTAACATTTTTAAATAGTAAAAAACTGTGATATCCCATCATTATTTCTTCTCTTTTGTGTGTATTTCCTTATGAACATTTGTAAGTTTACCTTTTTGAGTAAATTGTATATCACAGATTTCGCATGGATGTTTCTTCTCTTCTGAATGTATCAGCATATGATCTTAAAGATAATTGTGTCGAGCAAAAAGCTTATCACATAGTTTGACATTTGTATTCCTTCTCTCCTACGTGCAAAACATAGCTGTTTGAGTTAACGGTCTGTCACAGATTTCGCACACATTTTTACATTCTTCTGATATTTGTTCTGATATTTTTCGTGATTTTACAGATTTATGCGAATTACCTTCGTTTGTTTTGAAGACTATTGAAGACCTACTGGCATGCAAAATCTTAACCGACATTTGTTTCATTCAGAACACCTTAACGATTACTAGTACAAATGTATTCGTAATCATCTCGGACTTAGAGTAAGTGGAAGTAAAATTGTCTAACAAGACATGTGTACATACGTTCTAGATATATTATAATAGTAATATGATTCTGAGAAAATTTAAATTAATGAACATCGGTACGGTGTTCTTCACGTTTTTCTCGTGTTTTGAGAGACGCACATGTATATTGTACACCGCAGGTCTTCTAGAATTTTAAGTATTACCACCAGTTTTGAGTGTTTTGAGAATGTATCTCTACACTAGAGCTACGTACACGTACATGTATAATCTGCAAAAACTTTTAAAGAGCGTATACGTAATTTAAAAGGAAACTGATTATAATTTAAGATACAACAATACAGTATTTGTATATTTAAATATCATTATAATTATTCATAATTATTGTGATTTATATGTCACTTGATTAACATGACCCTTTATTTCAATTCTATATATACTATTCTGTTCTGTTATGTTCTGCTCTATATACTGTTCTGTTCGGTTCTGCTCTGCTCTGCTCTGTTATATTCTATTATATTGCCTATGCTATTCTAAATTCTATTCTAAATTCTATTCTAAATTCTATTCTAATCCAAATTCTTTTTCTATTCTATTCTATTCTATTCTGTTCTTAGGTTTTAATTTAGTAGTGATCAACCGATATCCGATATTTACGGATACTTATATTTACATGATCACCGTCAAGGAATCGATTTTTCTTCCTTATTTCCTCGAAATTAACAAATCAACGATGTGACATTACGTTTAAGTTATGGCAACTAGAAGAAGAAATGCTTCTTCATCAGATAAATCAAAAACAATAGTGTGGGGATCTTTAACAAGGTAATGAACCGTTAAAAACTTTTGACATTTTAAGTGGTATAGTATTCGTCTATTTTTTTATCTCAAAATGTCCATTACACTGCATTAAGAGTAAATTGCAATCCATAGTAATCGTTTGACGATTTTTTTTTTGCGTAGGTCCTTAACTCGGACTGACCAGTCATTTAATCCACAGGGATCAAGTAGATCAACAGTGTTAGGATAGTGTAAAAAGTAAAGCACTTACCCACGAATCCGGGTCAGCTCGGCCCTAAAACGTACTCGGCCCCCGAGTCAGCTCGGCCCTATACCAACTCGGCACGGGTCAACTCGGCCCACTTTTCAATTAATAATATTTAAGGTTTATGTTATCACTATTTAGTGTAATTATTGTAATTATTTATAATACATGGATTGACAGTTTCAGAACTAGCAGCAGACAGGCTTTACTTATCAGTAGAATTGCGAGTAAAGATAACTGATTGCGTATCTCACTGTATTTCTGACTCGTGGTAGGTTTAACCGTAAATTTAAATACCTTCAGTGTCCAACTAACTCATTCATTCAAATTTGATTAGTGACCATGCACCTGCAATTAATTAGAAGCTTATGATATTAAGTAAACACGTTTTTGTTTCTTATTTTTTGAATAGTACTTTTAATACAAACAAAATGCATCTAAGGAAACACATTTTCATTAGAATCTAGATCTATATTAATTTTATCGAATCTGCAAGACAAATGAATAACTTTTTTTCTAAATATACTTTATTTCCGTAGAAGTAGATCTACAATGTAAAATTATATAATAATAAGATATTTCTCATTATTCATTTACCTTAACAACATGCAAAGCAAAGTTAATAAGTTATGTATATTTTTGTAAAGTGGGCCGAGTTGACCCGTGCCGAGTTGACCCGTGCCGAGTTGGTATAGGGCCGAGTTGACTCTTTTCCCTTACCCACAAGCTGTGTGAATCTTCGTACAATGGCAACCGGCCAGTGAACTCGTGAGTCGTTGTTGTAGGTGTAAATGCCTTGAGTCTAATCAACGTACGATCTAGATACAAGAAGAAACGAGCATGGAACTGAACTGCGCGCATGCGTTGCCGCTAATTCCTGTCTTATTTCCGGTGCCGTACCGTACTACACTCTTCCCCATTCTATAGAACAAGGTCTAGGTTTGAATACTTCCAGTTTTTAGGGCAGACTAACGCCGCTCAAAGTCATCAAGTTGAGGTACAATTTTTCCTTTAAGTCTATAATTATGACAATAAATGCTCCGCTTACGCTGAGCAACTTCCTTAAATTTACATGTCGTCGATAAGCATGGACAAACAAAGCTCCGCTAACGCTGAACTTTTCTGCAACCTTATTCTATAGAGAGTACAAATCCTGACCATTGCGAGTAGTCAGCCTCATTGTTTCCGGTAATGAAGTACCTCTGTGTTTGCTGACCACATCACCAATGTCTCCCAGAAAAGCTGGTGTGCTTGCTTTGGCTGCATTCTTTTTGAAGTAAGGGGCATCTGTTTCCAGCAGAAGTCTGTTGTCAGGGACCCTTTGGAGGGCAGCAACCTGATACTTGTCGAAATATGTTACTCTGTCGCTAAATCCAAAGTAACAGTTAGGAAATGCCTCTAACCAGCCAACGACCTGTTCCACAGTTCCCCCAAAAGAGTGTAGGTGGATCTTCTGCGTAGGGGCTGTATTAGCCTTCATAATTTGAAGACATTTGGCGCTTACCTCCCCAGCATGTTGGTCTGTTCCATCCCGCATATGTAGAATAACTGGGCGAACCGGCATGCTAAATTGAAGTAAACGCACCATGGTCTTCTCCTGCAGATCCCAAGACATTTCTGGCTCCGTCCTGTCAAGCCCTATCTCTCCAAGTGCAACAACATTGCAGGACATAAGGAAGCTTAATAGTTTCTGATAGGCAGAATCAGAGAGGAGGTGGCATTTCTTTGGATGAACTCCCACGGCAGAACCAAACCCTCTTTCACTTGGCAGCGTTTCTGGAAATGTCTCCGGGTCACAGAAGACCATAACTCCACCAATTACTTTCACGGATGTTGTTGGAAGAACTCCAACTGACGCCTTGATAAGGTCGGCTACCGCCTCCCTTGGATTTCCATATAGGACCTTACTCAGCCTATCTGCATGGAAATGAGAGTCGAATGCTTCCAGGTCATTAGACGGGCTGGCCATTGAAAAATTGTCTTCAAAGCCCACACTGTCCACAACCTGGAAATCTTCCTCGCTGCACTCCACAGTGATGGGGTTACTTGTGTTACCCTGCTTGAATAACAAGCGTTCCTCTTCGGTGACGTGGTTTAACAGCACTAACAAGACTCTCCAGTGAAACAACAATGCTTCACAGTTGATTGGCACTAACGAAAACCTCCTAGGCTGTCTCCACCGTTGCCTACTGCAGGCTTTCTCTAGCCATTTAAAATCTGTATCCGGCACAAATGTGTCCACTGACATGGCTCTTTGACTATCCACCCACCTTAACAAATCACTAAAGGTAGCCTTCTCTCCCAGAACCTTGCATTTCAGAAACATCAGCAACTCTATCCTCTTGTTGTGAAGAGAGCTATCAGCTAATGCATTCTCCTGGAAAGGCTTTGGAAGATGCTTCTCCATAGCGTGGCGTCTTATGTTGCAAAACATACTCTTGCAGCTTGCAATTACACAACTCTTCAAGCGCACTTTTCCGCGACTTGCCTCTTGTGGGGGACTAGATCCTCTTTTTTGTCTTTTCCTGTCCAAAGTAGCCCTCAGATCTGATTGTGCCACTAGAGACCGAGATAGTTCTCTGTCAACCAGTGGTGGCATTTCTACAGGTAGACCCCTAGGAGACCGTAAATCCCTGTCCCCAGGAGCCTGGAAGTTGGACTCGTCAATGACCTCCCTGAGGTTGTCAATAACTTCCTCTGTGTGAGCAGTGGACCGGGCATCAGCATTCCTGTCCTCAGGCTCCTCGTCCGATATTATTATCGGCTCAGGCACTGTTAACAGTGCATATGGCTCTTCCTGCTTGACTGTCACTGTCAAACCGGGTTCCGTTGTGGGCTCCTGTTTGACAGTGACCACCTCCTCATGCACGACTTGTAATGACGGATCTGTACCCAAGCGTACATCTTTAGTCATTGTGCAAGAGGGGATGGCACTTGTTTGCTGTCGGCGAGTTGGTGGGCGGTAATCAATATTCTCCTTCATCCACTTGTCGCTCTGATGAAGAGAAACACACGCCCTGAACTCCTTCATCCACCCGATCTTCTTCTTTTCCTTAGCTAACTTATATTGGCCAAGAAGAGTCTGTCGGATCTTGTCGTTTTGTTTAGCCGACAGAAACGTGTGAAGACGCGCGCATGCGTTGCCGCTAATTCCTGTCTTATTTCCGGTGCTGTACCGTACCGTACTACAAAAGTAATTCAAGACAAAAAAAAAAAATAAATAAAGTAAAGTAAATAACTTATGTCCCAGAATATATAGATATTATATACAGTAAATATTTTTTCTGGAATTACTTTTTTACACTATTCCAACACTGTGCTTGGTCCCTGTTCCTTAAATCACCCAAGAGTAACAATTTGTAGTTTGTCATTTTTAAACAACATGTTTATTAGTGTTAAGATGACAAATAGAAATTAAAATCGTAAAACCCCTAAAGTTTGGTTTTCCCGCAGAAATCATGACCCCCAAAAATTTTGGGTTTGGGCTGTAATCTTTTGGGCCCCTTTAAATCTTTGTTTTTCAGTAATCAGACCCTAAATTTGGGTTTCCGGCAGAAATCGTTTCACTCCTTAAATATAAATTTTTAAAAAGGGGTTAATTTTAATTTATGTAAAATTTGTTTAAATTCCCCCCTTTTTTACTGTATAAGGGGAAATTGGGTTGTTGAGGGAAAATATTTCTTTTTGAAAATTTATTGTCTGTCCCTTCTAAATTGTGAATTCCTTATCGTAAAAGATTGCCCCTTTTTCCCCGGGAAAAATACCAAAAAAAGATAGAATACTAGTATTTTGTTTGTGTATTCAATTTATCAATAAAAAATTTTCCTTCTCTTATATTTTAATTTTTTTTTGATTTTTTTTGTTTTTTTATTGCTAACAAATTACATTACAGCGTTCTATGGAGTGTGTTTAGACAAAACAGTGATGATGAGCATCATCTTCACTTCAGTAAACTCAGGGCAGCATGCAATGCTTTAGATCTCTTTCCATCTACTTCTCAAGGTAAAATCATGTTTATTAATTATTGACTCAATTGAAATAGAAAATGAAGATTAGAAAATGAAAAATAGTGATGTCAATTTGTCATGCGATGTACTGACTTCTCTGACGATTTAGGATTTGGGAGACCTATTTGACCATTTGGTGTATTGGCACCAAATATGCGATACTCACAGGAAATATCAATATGACATTAGGCCCATTTTTTCAGCCATGCTGAGTTGAATAAGAGTTAAATTCTAAAAGATTAACTATTATAAAGGTGATTGACTAGTAATTGATAATGATAAATGTTTAGATAGAATATTTAAACGACCTTAATTATAAAATGATTGCCCCACTCTTTTTATGAATTGAACATCACTGATATACTTTGAATGATATTTTGATATTTTAGAAATTTCCATTTGTCACTTTAATTCTTGATTATCTTTTCATGGTAAAATCAAGAATTAAACACATTTATGGCAAAATGTAAAGCTATTTTGATTGTTACCTGTTCATTGACCATTAATACTTGTATGACATTTTTCAGTTCATGAGATGTTGATGTGTGCCATAGAATATGGAAGTCCATGCAAACCTGACCATATTACATTTGGGGAATTCTGCGTACTTGTTTCGGAATTGCGGAGTTACTACAATATTAAGTTAGTACGATTTTATCTCCCCCCCCGCTCCTCTCTCTGTTTCATTATGACCTTTTATTGTTAGATTTAATATTTTCTCAAGGTTTGCAATATCATTTTTATAACTCCCAACAGGCAACTTTCAAACAAAATTGAATTGAATCGTATGACATCAATGTACCTACAATATCTTTAAAGCTGCATGCCTCCAGATGAGCCGAAATATTTCAAGAAAATCAAACTTGAGAAAAGTGTTTTAAGATTTGAAGAAAAGTAAAAAGGTTCAAATTTCAAGTAATTATTTACATGTAATGTGCGATTTATTATTGACTGATTTGCAGTACTTATCACCATATTTCTACAATGTGACTAATTTGGCTAATATGGGCTAATTTTGCATACTTTGACCTCTTTTTGTAATTTCCTTGTAAGAGCCGTTTGCAGTGTATATTATTTTCTTTGTTCATTTCAAATTATTAAAAAGTCATTTTCAAAAATGTCATGAAAGTTAGCATGAATCTGGTGTCATGGTACTTTAAAGGGACTCCTTTGGAATCCAAAAGCCTAAAGAAATTTACATTAGATTCTTACATACATGTATTCTCAACTGAGGGACTTACAGCAGAAGAAAATATGTAAAAGATAACAAAAAATACATATACACTCACATTTAAATCTAAAAATAATTTTTTGTATGATTTTTAGTCTGGTTTGAATTAAAAGCATTAAAATTAAAACACCTTTAGATTTTGGATCATTTTGCTCAATGAAAAAGAGGACCTTTAAGATTTTTAGTTTATATTGAGACAATATTACGGGTATCAAGGTTTGGAAAAAAGATAACTGTTTAAACAGCAACTTTATGACTGTGTTAAACATGTAAACAACTGTACTAAAATAATTCTTAGAATTTAAATTATTAACTTTGTTGTTTTTTATGATGAAACAGCATATTCTGTTCGTACTTGACAACAATTATTACAAAATATATCTGATTATGGAGAAACTATTTTCTGTTAGGATCTTACCATACAATACACAATTAGGTAGCATGCCATTGGAAAAAAATAAATTGAAATAAAAAAAAAAGTGTCATATCTTGTCATAATAAAACAATGTTAAAGTGATAAAATAAGCCGCGTCACTTACAAAATGAACATAATGTGTTTGCGACCAGCTTGGGTCCAGACCAGCCTGCGTATCTGTGCAGTCTGATCAGGATCCATGCTGTTCGCTATCAGTTTCTCTACCTGTAATAGGGTTTGTAAGCAAACAGCAAAGATCCTGATCAGACTGCGCGGATGTGAAGGCTGGTCTGGATTCATGCTGATCGCAAATGCATAACGTTGGTTTTGTCGTGACGTGGCTCAAATGTTAAAACCCAATCTAAAATTTCTTCGGCTGTTGGTCTTATACTAACTGCCAATTCCAGGTAATATATTTTGCTAACTTGATTTTGGCTTAAAACCGACCAAACCAATTTAAACATGATACATCTAGACAATTATATCTTGTTACATTAAGTTTATGTGGATTTACAATTTATTATATTCAGTCCAAAAGCACCAGTACCTCACAGTTTGATAAAAGTTAGAAGTGAGTTAAGTCTTCATAAAAAGAAGAGAAGAGGTGAGTACATTTTATAATGTATAAATTTCCTGATTCTTAGAAATACAGTGCAATGAAAATAGTATTTGTTCAGGCATTGTAAAATATGTTCAGAGCTGCTTTTCATGCCGGAGGAGCAGCTTCTAAATCCAATGTGCAGGCAACATTTTTTTTTACTCATTTTGCATCATATTCTCTTAAATCATACTTATAATTACAAGCAGACGAGTGGAATTTTCGATCTCTGTTGTATAAATGTGCCAGTATTTCACAGTCTCATGCAAAAGCTTTTCTTCTCCATATTTATTTAATATGTATATTTGTAGTAAAGCATCACAAACTCATAAATTTTTGGCATTGTACTTTTTTTGTCATTTGCATTTTTAATCACATAATTATACCCCCGCACAACAAATCAGGTTGTCCGTCCGGCCGTCCAGTAGGAACGTCCGTCCGGCTGTCTGTCGGTTTTTTCTTGTCCGCCCAATAACTTAAGATTCCTTTGACACTTAGTCTTCATATTTGGCATGGAGGTTAGTCATGATTAGTAGATGACCCCTATTGATTTTGAGGTCACTAGGTCAAAGGTCAAGGTCACAGGGGCCTTGACTTCAAAAAGCTTGTCCGCCCAATAACTTAAGATTCCTTTGACCTACAGTCTTCATATTTGGCATGGAGGTTAGTCATGATTAGTAGATGACCCCTATTGATTTTGAGGTCACCAGGTCAAAGGTCAAGGTCACAGGGGCCTTGACTTCAAAAAGCTTGTCCGCCCAATAACTTAAGATTCCTTTGACCCACAGTATTCATATTTGGCATGGAGGTTAGTCATGATTAGTAGATGACCCCTATTGATTTTGAGCTCACCAGGTCAAAGGTCAAGGTCACAGGGGCCTTGACTTCAAAAAGCTTGTCTGCCCAATAACTTAAGATTCCTTTGACCTACGTTCTTCATATTTGGCATGGAGGATAGTCATGATTAGTAGATGACCCCTATTGATTTTGAGGTCAAAGGTCAAGGTCACAGGGGCCTTGACTCCAAAAAGCTTGTCCGTCCAATAACTTAAGATTCCTTTGACCCACAGTCTTCATATTTGGCATGGAGGTTAGTCATGATTAGTAGATGAGTCCTATTGATTTTGAGGTCACCAGGTCAAAGGTCAAGGTCACAGGAGCCTTGACTTCAAAAAGCTTGTCCGCCCAATAACTTAAGATTCCTTTGACCCACAGTCTTCATATTTGGCATGGATGTTGATCATGATTAGATGACCCCTTTTGATTTTGAGGTCACTGGGTCAAAGGTCAAGGTCATAGGGACTTTGACTTCAAAAAGTTTGTCCACCCATTAACTTAAGATTCCTTTGACCCACAGTCTTCATATTTGGCATGGATGTTGATCATGACTATAAGGTGACCCCTATTGATTTTGAGGTCACTGGGTCAAAGGTCAAGGTCACAGGGACCTTGACAAAAAAAAGCTTTTCTTCTTAATTGTTTAAGAATGTCCTGTCCGCAATGTATTGATTTTGACATTTTCACATTTGAAGCATGTAGAATACATAACTTAGCAATGCACTGGCTTAGTAACCTCAGATTTGGCAGGGAGGTTGTCCTTGAGCTATAAATGGCCACTGTTGATTCTGACAAAGTGGTATGCGGGGGTATTCACGCCATGATAGTGGCAGTTCTAGTTTGCATTGAAAGTTTTCATAGAGCCTCAGAATATTGACAAATGCAATTTGGATCCAAATCTGAAAACTTGTCTAATTTCTTTGAGTGGATATGACTCAAGAATGTATTTCCTATAATATTCAAAACTGCCAAGTGGGTAGACCATGATGGTCCTAGGAAAATATTCCATATTGTTAAGTTAGCTGAAAACATTGTTGATCTGCTCTGGTATTCTGCTTCCTGGTTGTAACTAGGTATTAATGCAATAAGTAGGAAACATGACTCAGAGCTACAGATAAGCAGGGTATCTGAGTAATTACCCAATAATTTTAACCAATATACCCAATTAAAATAAAATCTTTGAGTAATAAAAAAGCAAATCAAATTTGTACCCAATTTGTTTCGATTCTGTAGAGTATTTCCAATATGTCGGACCCTTGTTCACCTGGCGAAAACAGTGAAACAAATTTGAAATAGCCTGTGGCCCTTTCTGTACTTTCATTTTCCATTTGTTTACTGGGAGCCACTGAGTATACTTTAAATTCTTTTTAGCATTCTTTTTAGCTAAAACAAGCATACATCATTATCTTGTTAAGGTTAATCTACACAAATAAATAAATTTTTCAATGATACTCAATTATGTTTCTGTGTTACCCAATTGTGTGTCAAATCCAGGGGTAAATACCCAATTAACTCAAAAGCTTATCTGTAGCTCTGATGACTCAAGTGGGGCTCAAACCAATGATCTCTAGTCAAAATGCAGAAATTTTGGCCACTTTCCCTCCTCTCCCATGTAATAAAAGGACTACATACTGAGAAGATCCTCATGTTATCAGTGATTTTGCAAAAAATATAACCTTGACCCTATTAAAGGCCTCTTCCCAACTGAATTCTTTTTAAAGTCATGCAGTTCTACCAAAAATCTGATCTTACACCAGCTTTTTTACTTCCCAAATAAGCAATTTCAGCGATAGTTTTTCCCCAAAAAAAGAGTCTTAAAAAACAACTCTTCCCAATTAAGTTAAAAAAAAACAATCAATGTGTATTAAATATAACAAATACTGTTTCCATTACACTGTTTGTGGTAAATGAATTTTTATTTTTTTTTACTTTTTCATAAATAAGTAGTGCCTAGATGTGTATATTGTGTTTATTCATATTTAATAATTTCACCTCACAAAGCTTTTTGCAAATAGTGAGCTTTAAATGTTTCACACAGTAAAAATTATCACTATATTTTCTTTTGTTAAGCATGCTTTTAAAATAATTGCCTCATATTTGTTTACATTTTCACTATTTTTTACTCGTTTGTTACTATTACAAGTATAATTGAGTTTTTATGCCTCTGTTATTTAAATTTCTGAGGCATGATCAAGCTTAGAGATATGCACATTGACGTTACGTTTGAAAGAACTTTCAAGACATTAATTTTGTTTAAGAAAAATATCTTTTGTATAGGAGGAGTGAAATGTTTTTGACAACTTACATGGCATATTGTCTTGGTTTGATTCATTACATTCATCATTTGCTTTAAGAATACTGCAAGTTTAAAACTTCATTTTTCATTGGTCAATTTGAATATTTGAATTATCAAAACTTCAATTTTCATTGGCTAATTAGAATGTTTAAATTATATCAAAACTTCAATTTTCATTAGCCAATTAGAATGTTTGAATTGTAAAATCTTCAATTTTCATTGACCAATTAGTTCAAATAATCTTTATTCACTAGTGCTTTATATTTCATTAATTTATTTTGAATTTCATAAGAAAAAAACCCAAAACATTTGTGAAGTTAGAAAGACATTTGACAGGTTAAGTGGCCATGTATAATTATTTGCTTGCTATTAATTCCATTCATACTGTGCCACACTATACCCTGCCAGAAAGCTTTCTGATTAATAATGTTTTAGGAGTTCTCTTATCATTATTAACTCCCATGTAATTTCATCAGAAGACCCAAATTGATTGGATGTTGTTAAGGTCTATTTTACATATGAGCTGCGTCATGACAAAACCAACATAATGCGTTTGCGACCAGCATGGATCCAGACCAGTCTGCACAGTCTGATCAGGATCCATGCTGTTCGCTATCAGTTTCTCTACTTGTAATAGGATTTGTAAGCGAACAGCATGGATCCTGATCAGACTGGATCCATGCTGGTCGCAAAAGCTTTGCGTTGGTTTTGTCGTGACAGGACTCATATCATTCATACATGACTGTGAACTCTCCCATTTTAAGCAGTGGACTCCCACTTTCTGCAGCTGTATTTTCAAAGATTTATCCTAAAATAAAGGGTATTTTCACAAATTTAAGAAATCTACCTCTTTTGCATGTCAGAACTTTCTTCTTTGTTTATAGCAAATTCTAAAATCTACTCTTTTTTTTTAAGCAAAATCTCCTACTTGATCATCAAAAATAGTTCTAATGTATGATCATTATGAATAAATGAAGGACTTAAATGTTTCAGATAAGATACATCTGTTTAAACTTTTGCCCAAGATTCATGAAATGTCAATCAGAATTGGTAAATCAAGTGTTTATAGGGCATTTGTATTACCCTTTAGTTCTTATTAATATGGTGTTATTATGACTCTTTGTTTACTCCCACAGTTCTGTGATTAATACCAATGTTAGTTTTTGTTTTGTTGTTTATATCCATAATTTCCTAATATTAGTTTACATATTTTTGTTGTTTATTCCAGTCATTTTCTTTTTAATTCTTTTAACTCTGTCGTTAATTCTGTTTATTTCCTGGTAAATTCCCTTGTTGTTTCCAATAATTTCCCTTAGTTAATTCAGATAATTTTTCTAGTTACATGTAATTCCCATATTTTTTTTTTAGTTAATTCCCATAATTTTCTAGTTTACTTTTCCAGTCAATTCCCATAATTTCCTAAATTATTCTGATAATTTCCAAGTAAATTCCCATAATTTTACAGTTAATTTCTATATTTTTCTAGTTAATTCCCATTCTTTTCTCATTAATTTCAGTATTTCCTGGTTGATTCCTATAATTTAATAGGTAATTCCCATAATTTCATAGTTAAATAGAATTTAAATATCCTAGTTAATTCCTATAATTTCCTAGTTGTTTCCCATAATTTCCTGGTTAATTCCCTTAATTTCCTTAGTTAATTCCCATAATTGCAGTAGTTAATTCTAATAATTTCCTGGTTTTATTATCCTCTGCCGAAAGGCGGTGGGGGATGTAGAAATAGTCTCTGCCATCTGTCCTTCCATCCCACAGTTTTGTCCGGAGCATATCTCAAAAAGTATTTGAGGTATCAACTTGAAACTTCATAGGTGGATAGATCTTATTGAGGTGGAGTGCAGTGTATAAAATGATAACTCATAATTTTTCAGTTATTGCCCTTTGATATTTTTCAAACTTAATTTTTGTCCAGAGCAAACTCAAAAAGCCTTTGAGATATCAACATGAAACTTCATAGGTGGATAGATCTTACTCAGGAGGTGTGCAGTGCACAAGGGTGATAACTCTTCCCTTCGTAATTTTTGAGTGATGATACTTTGTTATTTTTCATACTTAATCTTTCACCTGAGTGGAGCATATCTCAAAAATTCTTTGAGATGTCAACATTGAACTTCATAGGTAGATAGATCTTATTGAGAAGGAATGCTGTGCACAAGAATGATATTTCTACCTTTTATAATTTTTGAGTTATTGCCCTTTGTTATTTTTCATACTTTTTGTCCGGAGCTTATCTCAACTTAAAAGTTCATAGGTGGATAGATCTCACTCAGGAGGTGTGCAGTGCACAAGAATGATAACTCTACCCTTCATAATTTTTCATGCTTAATTTTTTGTCCAGACAGCAACTTATTAAGTATTTACTATATAACTTATTAAGGTATTCACTTGAAACTCAAATTGTGACTAGTTCTGTATATGATACATGCTGTGAAATCATAAATTTCCTTTCAGGACAAATTTTGTGTAATCATTACTTTTGGATTTTATCTGCTTTAAATTCACACATCTCCAAATTTTGATAAAAGCTTTCACATGTATTTAAAGCTGATTAAATTTTTACGGCAGTTTTATACTTGCATATTAATTGGAGGGCAAAAAACGTAAACATTAGATCAGAAAAACTCTATATAATAAGGGACTTACAATAACCTTAACATTTGACTTTGAGATCTGAAAATAAGGGAATTGGTACACCAAACTGCAAAAAACCTGTGAAAGTTAAAAATTTCTGTGTTTCTGTCATTGATTTTTGAGAGGAAAAAAAATCTTGAAAGACAGATAATTATTATTTCAACATCTCTGCAGAATATTAAATTATAACAACTTTGAGCATCATCTGTGCACATGCATTGATTTCCTACCAGAGTTTTACATGGTATATAGGTGTGGTGTGGTTTTTTGGATGGATCTTTAGATTTTAAGTGTGGTACAGTTCCGTCACAAATTTTTACTGTATTTTTGTAACATGACTGAATCAGGTATACGGGTATTTTTGTTTTTTTTGTTCTATTAACCCTGAAGAAGAAAAAAATGTTTGTTTCTCTCTTTCAGCTGCAGAATAACTGAATTCTTTACATGTAATCATATTATTACATATTTGCATACATGTTTTTAGTGGGAAAAAAAACAACTCAATGAACAGTTTTAACTGGTCAGAAATTTCAAGGATTTTTTTTGTTCAAGAGACTGTTACATAAAGCTACCATTACATTCAAAATCATTCGACTTAAAGTAAGACAAGAAAGATATCAGCGAGTGAATGCAAGAAGCAAACATTTTTATATTATTTATATAGTTGTGAACCATTAATTGGGCTATCTACATGTATATTGTGTATTTCTCTCCTTTATTTACCTTTCAGAGAGTCTTGCACACTTTCAAGGTATCGTCACAATAAATGAGCCGCGTCATGACAAAACCAACATAATGCATTTGCGACCAGCATGGATCCAGACCAGCCTGCGCATCCGCGCAGTCTGATCAGGATCCATGCTGTTCGTTATCAGTTTCTCTACTTGTAATAGGGTTTGTAAGCAAACAGCATGGATCCTGATCAGACTGCACGGATGCGAAGGCTGGTCTTGATCCATGTTGGTCGCAAACGCATTACGTTGGTTTTGTCGTGACGCAGCTCAAATGTATTGTAGTTTTTTGTGTATCACAGTCAATCTGCAATACGTAGATATTTTTCACTTTTATTTTTTTTTCTTGTTGTAGGTGTTGTGTTTTCTAAGCTTGCTTTATGCTTTTGTTGATAATAAGGATTTTTCTCGTTTTCTGGATACGAAAAAAAGGCACATCAGTAGCATTGCATCAGCTGTTGGTAAAAGTTAAAATGTTAAAGCTTATCAGTTCTAGATTAGTATCGTTACTGTTGAAACTTTAAAAGCTGGCTGCAATAAAGATTATACCAGGTCTTGCACCCAGATAGATACTTGCATATCTGTACAGTCTGACCTGAGGCTCATAGACACATTTTCCAGCTTAAACAAAAGTGAAATTAGCCAGAAATCCGTTTTTTAGTAATCAGACCCCTATTCTCTGTTACCCAAGAGCATGCAATTTTATTTCCTATAGATAGTAGATGACCATTTTACTATGTAAACCTTTACCTGAAAAAGTTCAAGGTCAAAGTTCAAGGTTATAGTTAATATATATTTTTTCTAAAGTTTATTGGAATTTGATATTGCTGTGTTTCAAAAGTTCCAGGTCAATTAGTCAAGAATATTCTTATTTATTTATAACTTTGATTTGCTCAATTTAATTACATAATCTCTTTTATGATCAAAACTTTTAAGGTTTGGAATTTTGATATTACACATATTAGCCCTCATTTTGCCTACTACAGTATTTAACTGGAAAGATTAGTTTAAATATTGTGCTTTACTGGAAAAAAGGATGCTGTTGATTAGAAGGGAGCTTATTTTGTATTTTTGCTTTATGCACTTTTATGCCTCCCCAACACCACATTGCTATCCTGTAATGCCACACCCTTTTTTATTCAAAAAGATTTTATCTTGTAATTATTACAATTAATAATCATTACATTTTCACTATTTTATAACATGGGAAATACATGTAACTTGTATATTAAAACAGGAGGTTTTATGATTATTATCTTTATAATTTTATGACAAAAACATGTTGTTTTTTTTCTTTCTGTCTTCTTTTGAGTACTAATGTGGATTATAACTAGGAAATAAAAATAATAAAATAATTGTACACATAAGAATATAAATGGCTTTTTACCTTTTAAAAATGTTTTTAGTAAACTTAAAAAAAACTCTAGGTGTACATGTACTTTTATTTGCCTGAAGTCATATGCAGTCATGAAAATGTCATATACGTCAATCTGGTCTTTCTTAAAGTTCAAATTTTGCTTTGTACATAGGATTCTATATCCAGATGGCTTATGTAAGGTTGGTGGTGCTTTAACCCTGATGCCACCTTGTAAAGGACGTTTACCCATATTATTTAGTTTAGTTTATACAAATTTATATTAGTTTGATTGTGTTGGAAGCTATTAGCATATTGAAACACTCTCGAACCCGTTCCTGGAACCAACCAATACTAAGCAATGAATGTAAAGTTTCTTGCTCAAGGAAACAACGGCTTGCTCCCTGACAGGGTTTGAACCCATGCGGTTAGCAATGCTTAGATTACTAGTCCGACGTGTTAACCACTCGACCATGCCGCCACTCATGTTTGGTTGTAGCTTACATTTGATCAGTATTAGATTGAAAAAGGAAGGAAAGTTGTTTGGTTTTTGTCTTTTTTTGTAATTGTAATAAAGCTTAACAAAAAATAAAATGGTTGAAAGTGTTTCTGAAATAATTTTGGATATAAAAAAAGCAACAGAGCATGTAATAGTTTGCTAAGTGTAGTGACATGCTTGAAGGGGTAAATTACATCAAAAGACTTACCTCTTACATCCTGGACAGTGGGAAACACGTAAATCCATTCATGCGCGTCACTAATTAGATGACGAGGCATTTGGGTACCAATCTAGAAAGCTTTTCAATGACCTTTACAGTGTCTGAAAGACTTAAAATCTAGGCATTCAAAAGGGAAAAGGAATTTGATGCTTAAATGTGCTTTTTTTTGGGTGAGGGGCAGAATATTTGCTGCAGACCTTTATCAAAGTGATTGCATATTAAAACATTTGAAAATTTTAATTTTTAAGTTATCAGTTCTTCCTGATTCAGAAACTACTTTAATCAGTAAATAATATTTACTTTGAAAGGACACCTTAAAACTTGTTTTAAGTTTTAAGTTATATTTGATATTGTTGATAGCATTAGTGAAAGTTTGTGCATGATTCAGATAGATCCAATTTTGTATATATTTTGCTTAAGTTACAGTTATACTAAGGTTTATCTTCTTTGTTTTAATATACAATATGTTTTATTAAATTAACATGAATGCATTTATGAGTAAAGATCCTGATATTTCATAGATGTATTATATTGTCTGAAATTATTTTCTCAATATTGTTAAAAGTGCATAAAGCTATATATCTGCTGCAAAAATTATTGTTTAAATTTTTATAAAAAAAAAAAAGAATACTTGCAAAATGCTTTCATGAAATGAATAATTGTAGTAAATTGCCATAAAAGCAAATGGCGCATGGATGAAATTATTGTTAAACGGATAAAACTAAGCTTAAAATAACAGAATAATATTTTGTTTTAGAACATTTTATTATGTCACAAATTATAACAGAGGCATTTTATGTTACAACTCTTTTGAGAACCGACCATAAGATTATGGAAGCAATATAATTTCACTGTTGATATATTTTATAAAGATATTACATAACATATAGCTTTATACCCTTTAATGATTAAACAATTGATCCTTGTTAACGTTGTTTCTTTTCTTCAATAAACAAATGACCAGATCTTATCCTATTTCTTTTCTTTCTTCTTCTTTTTTCTTGAAGAATGAAAACATATGATCTTAAAATATGTAAGATGAAAGTTCATCGAATTTTATCTGTTAATTTAATTTTTTTTTTCCAGTTTTTCTGGGCGGCTCCTGCAACCCTACAAGATGGAGATCTGAAATTGCTATACCATATTTCAAGGATCATGGAATTACCTTTTACAATCCTGTAATTAATTTTTATTTTTAAATTAAGAAGAAAAAAAATATTCAAAATTTAAGAAGAAAAAAAAGAACAAAACAAATAACTTATATCAAAAATTGATTTCTCAATCTTGACAAAGTTACAAAAGTAATAGTAGTAGTGGACAAAGTGTTTGGTTTTAGTGTGGCTATTTATAGAATAGGGATTCATGCTACTGCACAATTAAGTGTCTGCGTGGCTGTTACATTTTGGTTAAGTTTTTGCTTGCAAATTTGAATATACAAAGCTACTGCAGGGAATGGGCTGAAACTTTACACACTTATCCTCTGTGATTATCTTACATGATGGACACATGTCCCATAACTTTTGGTTACCTATTTACAGAGTTTTCTTTTCTTACTGTCAAGTACTGTGAATTTTTGTTTTGAATTTGCAGCAGGTGCAGCACTGGAAACCAGAACTCATGGAGTTAGAGGCTCAAGCTAAACAGGTGAGTAATGTAATTATGTGTTTTAATGGGAAGTTCAATAATAATATTTTACTTATTACTTTTATGAATTTTAATGCAATCCTTTCTTTCCTTAAGTAAACTTTATACATTTGCATTTTCCATGAAATAAGAGAAGAATTTCAGATGTTAAAACATTTCAGAAATTTATTGATAAATTTGTTATTTGTGGCCTAAATATTTTTCTATAATGATTGATTAATATTTACATGTTTTACAGACAGCAGATGTTCTTTTCTTTGTGATAGACAGTAAAACAAGAGCTATATCTTCCATGATAGAGGTGGCCTATCTAGTTGGTAGGTATTTATTACCCTTATTGTACAGTTCTAACCCTAGGGGCCTCCGTGGCCGAGTGGTTAAGGTCGCTGACTTGAGATCACAGGTCCCTCACCGCTGTAGGTTCGATCCTCACTCGGGTTGAAATCTTTCATGTGAGGAAGCCATCCAGCTGGCTTACGGAAGGTCGGTGGTTCTACCCAGGTGCCTGAAATAATGCCCGAAGGGGCACCTGGGTTCTTCCTCCACCAATAAAGCTGGAAAAAAAATCGACGGAAAAATCTCCGTGGGACGCTCTAGGATTGCCCGACTTGAGTGTACGGTCGCCCATATGGGCTTTCTGGGGGCGACCTGAAATAAATGCATTAAAAGCCAGCTTATTTGTGCCAATACTGAACATGGTCTGCACAGTTTGCTATTTAGTCAGCATATAGTTTGAAATTTTTCCTACCAAAATGATGAATGGTTATGTCCAGATTAAAAAATGGAAAAGCCAACTTTCGATATTTAGCATGGTAAGGGTTATTTATATACAAAGGAACACAGTGGACCAGTGGTAAAGCTGTTGATTTTTAATCTTGTTGTCACCATTTTAATTTTGCTTTTCCTACATAAGTCAAATATAGCCTTATGGATTGAGTCATAAATAAACAACAAAGGTCCAGTGTGATGGTTCTTTACATTGATCTGTTCCTGCTGCAAGAAGAAATTTTTGTTTAAGTTGCACTGTCTACAAAGTTAAATTACTTTACATGCAAAAGAGACTGGGAAATAAGATCTCTAGTGGACTTAAATAGAAACACTGCTATTTTTGTATAATGTACTTGCTCTCCTCTGTATCTGGGATTGTGTATTGTTATTTGAAGGGTTTTCATCCAAAAATCTAAAATTGAACAATAAAGTCTGTTGGAAATACACAGATGGACAGGGTCAATGGCATGGCCTGATTTTATTATGGCCATCTGATTGGCGATAACTGCCACTTACAATCAAAGCTTTCTTCTAAATCTACCTTTTGACAAATTTAACAGGAACCCTTAACCTCCTGGAAGTAATAAGCCTTTGCCACCAGTAAAGAATCAGTCCATCCTGCTTATCCTTTCATTCTGTAACTACACTAACACTGTATACTGTATGTTGTTGACTAAATTTAAATTTGTAACTGGATATCCCCAAAATTGATAATGGACAACCCCCAAAAATAGAAACTGGGCATGTTTTTTTTTTACAAAATTCAGCAGGATTTTTTAAGTTTTGGGTTTAGGAAACAATACTATTTTGTTGGTGGTTAAATGTATTTGATTTATTTCAGCTACACAGAGGCAGGTAGTTGTCATCATGTGTGAATACAAAGACACTAATATTGTGATAGATGGTGAAAAATTGTCTGACAGGTAGATTTATATGTTAAAGTTTAATTTGCTCTTCATTTGTAATGTGTGATGTTATTAGTTGAAATTTTATTGACAGGTTATATGGTTATAAGAGAATTTAAATAGATATGTTTCATCTTTTATAAATAAGAACAAAAACAACAGAAATCTTGCTGTTTATTTATACCTAACGAATTATGAATATAAGTTTTGTTTACATATACCTTATTAGATATGTTTTATGTCCCCCACTGAGGGCAATGGTGGTGGGGGAGGGGGCACATAGATTTTCCCTTGTCTGTTCATCATGCTGGCCTGCTGTCACTCTGTATATCTATAGACTGAAAAAATAGTGGAATATTGGGGCATAGACACATTTTAGTTAAGAACAGATTTTACTTTACTACAATACAATAAGTTGATTTATGAAGATGAGTGATGTTTTGACTCAAGATGGTGCAATATAGATACAGTACTTTATACATGTACTTGATTTAGATGAGAAGGGATCGTGTAAAACAGCTGTAACTCCTTTTTTTAAGTCATATAAGTTTCAGCCTTTTTGCAGTAAGCAATCAATTTGTAGGTTTTTGTTTATAAAGTCATATTTTCGTTTCAGTGAAATGTTAGACTTGGTCAAGGGCAGATTAATCCTTACAGATCTGGTGGAGAGAAACTCCGTACCAATATTTGCCGATATTCATAAAGCATTGAAATGCACACAGAAAATACTGTCTAATGTAAGTTAAACTCTTTGATTTAAATTCATACACTTTTGTAAGAAAACAGTTACAGATAAAATGACATAAATTTTCATGAAAGATTAGTTAGTTGTGGTAAAATGTTTAGAATATGCAAGAAAAAATATCTGACATGTCAAGGGTCAGATTATGCCTTTGGACAGATATTCCTCCCTATCACTGACATATATAGAGGATATTGAATGAGTGTAAGTTTTATACCAAATTTATTGAACTCGTTGAATAAAATTATAATTATATTATGCAAGTCTCTGGCAAGCAAAATATTATTTTATTCAACAAGTTCCATAAATTCAGTATTGAACCTACACAAATATAATATTCTATTTATCACATATTCAAAATAAACTTAAAAACTGCTTTAAAAGCGCAAAAGAATCATTTTTCATTGACCCGCCTATAGTGCACTGCTAATATTTAGCAGGTCTTTACACTATGTTTGTATAACTTAAATAATGTCAGGTAAAAATACATGCACGGCCAAGCAATACCATTTTTTAAAGTGGCAAAATCGGCACAGGTATGTGATAAATTCTGATCAGAATTGCAACACATGACAGATGTTATGAAACAATGTGGCTTAAAACCTAACCCAGTCAAAATGGTAACCATTGCTGTAGAAAATGTTATATGTTGAATGAGGCTAAGACATTTATGTATGTTTGCTTGCATGGATTCCCTGCTATCGAGCTTGCTTACAGCTCGGTAACTATACAAGGATATTTATCTGTGCCAGGATTAATACAGATTAATACATTGAAAAGCACATTTGGTGATGTTTGACCAGTAAAGCTAGCTAATTGCCATAATGTCATAAAAATTTATTTATGTGGTGTATACCTTATAACATAGCTAAAAATAGAATTAATTTGTACATAATTTATACAAAGTTTTTGTTTGAATCTTGTTTCAGAGAATGCAAGTTCAAAATCTCAAGCTGACAGATGGAGCTCAGCCTGTTAGACACGGTCATCTAAAACTGGGCAGGGCTTTGTTGTAAGTAGGAGGAGTTTTATATCATGTATATTACAAAATAATATTAATATATTAATATAATTAGATTAGGGGTGGCAATGAATAACAAAAAAATACTTGAGTACTTGGTCATTTTTCCGATAGAGTACTGGGTTACTTGGATTATTTCCAATGGTCTTTAAAGCTTTATCACACAATATCAACACCGTCTGCATGCTACTTTCGTTTTCTATTTGAATTCATGAATTTGTAACTATAAATATGACTGCAAGGGAGGTAACTTAGAATAACCAATAAAATAATTAATTAAAATCAAATCAACAGCATTATATTTTACAACATAATAATTTTTGCAATGTAAAGTTTAAAACATGTATTACAGTTTATATACCTTTTTTTCTTGAAATAATATAGACCTATTGGTGGCAAAGGATATAAGATAGCAAATACACAAAAAAATATAAGAGAATATCATGACAGCATATATTAATGTTTTTATAATTAACAATTTTTGTCTAAAATCTGTTACACAATTTCTGTTTTACAATTAACGTTTAGTTTAAATATCATAAGAGGCAGAATGATGTAAGCAACACAGGACTGAGTTCAATCCCATGCGCGTGTCAAACTGTTGATTGCCTTGTTAAATTTATGATATCATTTTCACAACTCTGCAAGGATGTTTTGATTGCATTTAACAGGCATTTGTGAAGATACGTGTACAACTCTGAATTTCTGAACTAATTGGATACACCAATCTTTTTAAATCACAAAAACATAGAAATTATATATTTTTTCCGAGTAAATGAATATCAATTTTGTTAACCAAAGTTCGAACGTTCGATGGAATACTCGGTTAACCGATTACTCGGTGCCATCCATAAACTAGATGCAAGAAAATTGCACAAGTTATGATATATCACACTACTAATGAAAGATTCTTCCCTCTACCATTGGTACATGTAAGGTAAGTCAAAGTAAGTAAAAGTAAAGTAAGCAATTCTGGCAAATTGATACATGTTGTGCTGTCTGATACACAACCTAAGCTGAATCATTTTCAGTTTCATATTGTTATGTGATTGAATTGTTATAGAATTTTTAGGAATCTCAACAAATGTAGACATTACTAGAGATGTTTTAATTTGGTATAAAATAACATGTATTTATATATTTTCAGGGAGTTGAGGGAAGCATTTAATTCAGTTGATAGCAGTGATCTCGGGTACCTCACTAGTAAAGATGTAAGTTGAGTTTTAGCCTGCTAGCAGCAACTTAATATACTCATGTACTTAGAATAAAATCAGACCATGATCAACTGGCACATCCCTGTTTTCTGATCATGTTGGCAAATCCCTGTTAAACTGGCACATACCTGTTGTCTGATCATGTTGGCAAATCCCTGTTAAACTGGCACATACCTGTTGTCTGATCATGTTGGCAAATCCCTGTTAAACTGGCACATACCTGTTGTCTGATCATGTTGGCAAATCCCTGTTGAACTGACACATCCCTGTTGTCTGATCATGTTGGCAAATCCCTGTTGAACTGGCACATCCCTGTTGTCTGATCATGTTGGCACATCCCTGTTGAACTGGCACATCCCTGTTGTCTGATCATGTTGGCAAATCCCTGTTGAACTGGCACATCCCTGTTGTCTGATCATGTTGGCAAATCCCTGTTGAACTGGCACATCCCTGTTGTCTGATCATGTTGGCAAATCCCTGTTGAACTGGCACATCCCTGATGTCTGATCATGTTGGCAAAAACCTGTTGAACTGGCACATACCTGTTGTCTGATCATGTTGGCACATCCCTGTTGAACTGGCACATCCCTGTTGTCTGATCATGTTGGCACATCCCTGTTGTCTAATCATGTTGGCAAATCCCTGTTGAACTGGCACATCCCTGTTGTCTGATCATGGTCTGTAGACTGTTCTCTATGCAGTCAGTAAATATTGAGAAATTTTCCTTATAAATAATGAATGGTCTTGTCCAGATTGAAATATGGACAAGTCTATTTCAGATATTTAGGGGTCAATGGCCATAAATTAGCCCCTGAATATGATTCATGCTATTTTATAAGATGTTGTGCAAATATTATGTAAATCATTTGAAAAAATATTTTGAAATAGTATAACAACCATTTTTCTGTGTTCACTCCAAAATATACAATGTAATTACTCATTTTGAAGTTGCTACATTGTAAATTAAAATTTTATATAATCTTAACAGGTGTGTTTAGCTTATAAAAGTTGCACCGGTGAAGATCTTGATACTAAATGGTTGAAACAACGAAGAAAAGTGCAGGATGAATTTGTGTATGAGGAATTTTGTGCAATAGTAACTGAACATAGACAGCAGGTGAATAAATCATTAATTTTCTTGAATTTAAAATTTATTGAACCCCAGGCATTTTTTGAAAATACTCCCAGATAGTTTGCTTCTTGTGATATCTTCTAGTGAGTGTCTACAAAGTTTGTTCAAATAAAAACCCTGGGGTCAAAATTGGCCCCGCCCCAGGGGGTCATTGATTTTCCGTATATGCATATAGTAAAAACTTAAAAAATCTTCTTTTAAAGAACCAAAAGAGCTAGAGCTAAGATATTTAGCATGAAACATCTTCTAATGAGTGTCTACCAAGTTTGCGCAAATAAAAGCCCTGGGGTCAAAATTGGCCCCTCCCCGGGGGGTCATTGATTTTCCCTATATGCATATAGTAAAAACTTAAAAAATCTTCTTTTAAAGAATTCAAAAAGCTAGAGCTAAGATATTTAGCATAAAACATGTTCTAATGGGTTTCTACCAAGTTTGTTCAAATATAAGCCCTGGGGTCAAAATTGGCCCCGCCCCAGGGGTCATTGATTTTCCTTATATATGTGTATAGCAAAAACTTAAAAAATCTTCTTTGAAAAAATGTAAATAGCTAGAGTTTAGATATTAAGCATGAAACATCTTCTAGTGAGTGTCTTCAAAGTTTGTTCAGATAAAAGCCCTTGGGTCAGAATTGGCCCTGCCCCTGGGGTCATTGATTTTCCTTATATGTGTATTGCAAAAACCTAAAAATCTTCTTTGAAAAAACCCAAATAGCTAGAGTTTAGATATTAAGCATGAAACATGTTCTAGTAAGTGTCTACAAAGTTTGTTCAAACAAAAGCCCTGGGGTCAAAACTGGCCCCGCCCCAGGGGGTCATTGATTTTAACTATTTGTGTATAGGAAAAACTTAAAAAATCTTCTTTTAAGAAACCCAATGAGCTACAGCTTAGATGTTTAGCATGAAACATCCTTTTATGGGTGTCTACCAAGTTTGTTCAAATAAAAGCCCTTTGGTTAAAATTGGCCCTGCCGGGGGGGGGGGGGGAAGCAGATCATTGTTTTCATTATATGTGTGTAGTAAAAACTTAACATCATGAAACATCTTCTTATGGGTGTCTTTTAAGTTTGTTCAAATAAAAGCCCTGGGGTTTAAACTGGCCCCACTTGTAAATGTAAATGCATGAAAAAACGATATTTGTCTATTTTGTGATCATGAATTTTGCGTCTAGAGGTACTGCTCCATGAGGTAATGAGTTAAAACCTAAGTTTAGTCCTTTGCCTGCTGGCAACACCTTAATTGAACCAAACCACCAAAGCAGACCAAGATCAGCTGGCAAACCTCTGCTGTCTGATCACAGTCTGCACTGTCCGCTGTTCAGTTGGTATTTTATTTTATAATTTTTTACCATGAAAATAATGACTGGTTTTTGTCCAGAATGAATGAGTCCATTTATAATAATTACTATGGTAAGGTTTTAGCATATCTATTATAGTTGGATTGTGATTAAACTTTCATGCTTTTTAGCTCGACTATTCGCAGAATAATCGAGCTAATGCAGTCACCCATTTGTCGGCGTCCCTGTGGTTAAGTTTTTGCGTGCAAGCTGGTATCTCCATAACTACTGAAGGGAATGGATTGAAACTTCACACACTTGTTCTCTGTGATTATCTAACATGATTGGCACAAGTCCCATAACTCTGATTTGCTTTTTTGCATAATTATGCCCCTTTTTCGACTTAGAAATTCTTGGTTAAGTTTTTGCGTGCAAGCTGGTATCTCCATAACTACTGAAGGGAATGGATTGAAACTTCACACACTTGTTCTCTGTGATTATCTTACATGATTGGCACAAGTCCAATAACTCTGATTTGCTTTTTTGCATAATTATGCCCCTTTTTCTACTTAGAAATTCTTGGTTAAGCAAATATCTCCATAACTACTGAAGGGTTTGTGCCTTTTTTGGAACAATTTTATGCATTCATAATAATAAAGCAGTGATTAACTCGATAAAACATCTTAATAACAAGCCTTTGTACCTTTTCGGACAATTTTATGTATTCATATAGGTAAGCATTATTATACTCAATGAAACACACTTGTGACAACTTTTCGAATAGTCGAGCGTTACTGTCCTCCGACATTGCTTGTTTGAATCACTCTCACTCTCAAGTGACTTTCTTGCAAGTTACCAGTTTTGATATGGTACCAGGAAACAGTTATGAGAAATTTGAGCAAGATCCCATGATCCTTGTGTTGTGGAGCAGACACATTTGCCCCTGTTATTTCTCAGTGTGCTTATATATGTCGTATAATGTGCAAAAGCCATTATTAAACAAGTCTAAAGATCTAAAAATCTATCACTGGTACCAGCTTGAGTTGATTTATTTGAGAATATTGGACTTTGCTTAAGGCTCTTTTCACCTTATGGCTGAGGGGTTGCCTTTAAGGATTGAGGCATCAGAATTGCAGCCATTGTGTATCCTTGAGTGATCGTAAGAGGTGACTAAGTGGGTTTGAATTATTGGAGTCTATGCATCTCTTAGCTCCAGAAGGTGAGGTAGTTTTGACCCCTGTTGTTGCTTTAAATTTGAAACATATGAGGTTAGCCAAATCATCTTTCCTGTTTTGGTGCCATAAGACCTTAATTTTTGTGTGTGCTGTAAAACTAAACATAAACTGTCTTAATTTTAGGATTCAGAATTCCAATTTTACAAGATTATATTCAACACAAAGTTTATAATATTTTTTGTGTACCATTTCAGGCAGAAACTCCAGGCTATTTTCAAAGATTTTTTACACATATCCTACAACCATTTAGATGGCTTGTATCCAGTAAGTACTTCATCATGGAAATTTAGAAATTTCAGAATATTTAGTGATACGGAACACTTGAAAACATGATTTTAATTTATTTATTTCATAATAGTTTTTTTACATTCATTTTTTTTTCACACATAAATTCAAACCTGGGGTGTGTTTTACTAACGTACCTACATTATCGTAACTTGAGTTCAAATGTAACTTTTTGCGTAAGCAGATCTTGTGTATTTATTTGTGTTTCACTAAACTTTCTTAGCTATGCATTTGGGTAGGTTTAAACATAAAGTTACGCTCACTTATTGCTGGTATAAATGTCATGTTCTGTTTAGTGAAACGCAACTAATGTAAATTTACTGTTTGCGTATGTCCAAATTTGCGTATAAAGATACGCTAAATTTACGGATTAATAGTGAAACACTGGCCTGATTTTTATTTCTACATACTCATTTGTAACAATGAATTATATATATAGAGGATAATGAATACGTGTAGGTTCAAAACTAAATTTATTTAACAAGTTTAATAAAATTATATTCTGCAAACCCCTGGCGAGCAAAATATTACTATTCAATGAGTTCAATAAATTCAGTATTAAACCTACACAAATATAATATTCTATTTATCACATTATATATATATCTATTTATCCAAAATAAAGACTGTTTAAAGCGCAAAAGAATAATTTTTCTTTGGTGTGCCTCAAGTGTAATGCTGATATTTAGCATGTCTAAAATACATAATGTTTGTATAATGTTATTGACGTCTCGTCAAAATATATGCTCAACAGCAACATTGGCACAAGTATGTGGTGAATATGATAAGAGTTACTTGTGAACTTCAACTTGTAGTGACCTGAGAAAGCAAGCAGTATAAATTCGGACCTGTCTGTACTTTAGTAAACTAAAGCACAGTCTAATTAAGGTGTTTTTACTTGTTCCTGCCTGAATCTTGCACTTTAATACATAAACCTATTTAAAAAAGCACATTTCCCAATTCAAAGCAGAATTTCATGTACTGGTCTGGGACCACCAACCAGACACTTTTTGAACATTTTTCCATACAGATTTTATAAATTTAAAGCTAGAGATCTGAAAACCACTGAACAAATAAAAAAGGCATTTTCGGGGCCATCCAGGTTTGGTGGTTGTCCGGTTTTGGTGGTCTCCAACCAGTACTGTAAAATCAGATATTTTTGCGAGGCCAAATTTCGGAAAATAGAGTAGTATAATGAGCAAGGTTAGATATTTGGGAATAACTATTTTCAGTTTTGTTAATTTAAAATTTATAGTTGTAGGTATTTGGCAAACATTTATTTTTGTAAAAACCTTTAAATCTCTAAGTAAACTTAGTTTTATCGCTTGAAAAAAATCCATGACTTTGCAGTAGTCAGTTTGATGAATTTAGCATAAGATGCATCCATGGTTGAGTGGTAAAGGTCTTTGATTTCAAACCACTTGTCCCTCACCGCTGTGGGTTTGAATCTTTCCAGGATTTTTTAATTGTTTCTTGTGAGGTAGCTATCCAGTAAGCTTACGGAACATTGTTCTACTTGGGAGCCTGTCGTGTCTAAAATAATGCATGGAGGGGCACCTGAGGTTTTCCTCCACCAATAATGCTGAAAAGTTGCCAAATGTAATTAACTGTCTTGGTGTGACATTTAACCTAACCAAAAAAAAAAAGTTTTACGTGAAACATTGCAAGATGACTGTGATTCTATTTTATCTGTTGCAGAGTTTAGCCCACCAGAGGCACAAGTCGAGGAATACGAAGATGAAGAAATCCGGGATGTTTACCTAGGTGGCAGTTCAGGAGAAATTCAATGGAGGAACAATATTGTTATACCGTCTCTCAGGTAAACTGTAGCATGTATTAACTTTCATATTTTAAACAGAACTAGAATATGATTTGTTTCCTTGCCTGAAATAATGCATAAAAGGGCAACTGATGTCTTCCCCCACCAGCAAAGCTGGAAAGTCACTGTATGTCCTATACTGTGATGGTGTGACGTAAAACCTGACCCCCAACCTATTGTATATGGTGTCTGTCTCTCTACCAAGGGATTAAGAGTTCAAGTCCTGCTTGTGTAAAGACAATGTGACATTGGTATTGGTTTCAGTCAGGATTATTTTCCCCCCTTTGAAGATTTCGGAGGGCAGACATTCAAATAACCAATAAATTTTTGTCACAAGTGAGCTGTCTAAATTAATGGTTTAACAACCTCATAATGGTATCAGTGTCAAATATGACATTGACTTATTTGACCTGTGTAATGTTGAGTAATTTAACAATTTTCTTAAAAACTATCACATTCTCCCTGCTAAACCACAAACTTTTAAAATACTAAATCTAGTATTTACTTCTCCTTTACATATATCTATAGACTTTGTGTAATGAAAAACAACTGAAAATTTTATTGTATTTAGATGTTTTTAAAATATGCTGTAACAAATACTGACTGATCATGCTAATAATATTTAATGAAATTGAATTATTTTTATATTGTAGGAAACATGGTTTATCATTTGTGGACCCTGCTGTACACGACTGGGACCAAAAACTTATTCCAATTCATGTTGCTTTGAGAGAAAATTGTCGTCTTTTGTTTTATGTGATATCAAGTGATAGAAGATCTCTAGGCTCAATGTGTGAAGTAAGTCTTATATTAATTTTATCTTTTATGAGGTTGACCTTTTTGCTCGATGTAAATGATGTCTAGTTAACCATGCAGTAATCTTAAGTAAAAATTAAACAATCTTTATTTATGCCTTACCAGTCATTGATATAGTTAAAAGTGCCATATTTATTAATGCATAGTTTATGTCAGTCAGGTAATTCTGGATAAAGCTTGTATGCAAATAAGATTTGCATTCAGTCAGGAAGGGCGTCCATGGCGGAGTGGTTTAGGTCGTTGACTTCAAACCACTTGCCCCTCACCACTGTGGGTTCGAATCCTGACAGGGACTTTGGATTCTTTCATGTGAGGAATCTATCCAGCTAGCTTATGCAGCGTCGGTGGTTCTACTCGGGTAACCCTTCATGCCTGAAATAATGTATGGAAGGGCACCCGAGGTCTTCCTCCACCAGTAAAGCTGGAAACGTCCCAATATGACCTATACTGTGTCTATGTGATGTAAAACCAAATCAAACAAACAAACAAAATTCAGTCAGGTCAGTTATGTATTTCCGAATCAAGCTTGTATACAAATAAGATTTTCATTCAGTCCGGTATATTATTATAAATGCATTAATTTATTTCTATTATTTGTAGGCAGGTTATTATATTGGTAAAGGATGCAGGATGGTGTTGTGTATTCAAAATATTCCAAAAGAAGCTGTGATAGATTCAGATAAGGTCAGTACATAAAATATAATAAGAAGTTGAAAATTTATCGAAGCAAATTAAAATAAGTGGTTTTTTCACCATTTTGAAGAAGGGAATGGTTCTTATAATTTTCTTTTTACTACTCAATACTATAGGATGTTGACTGGTGTCATGTAAGGAAACTAATCAGCTAGTGCACAAAAGTTTGGTGTTTCTACCTACCCAGATGTCTAATTGTGCCTGGGCTAAGAATGTATGCTTTGATCGTATCGTATCAATTTATTCAGTGAATATTCATAAACACATAGAATAGTATCACATATATCAACTTGCATATATATGAAAATACACACATAAATGCAACAAAAATAATTATAAGATTAATTAATTAGTATGTTTTATGTTACCCTAGGATTGCCCATTAAGCTAAAAGCTTATTTCCAATGGGGTCCATTTACTGTAAAATTATCACACTAACTTACATAATAATAAATGGATTATTAAGAAGCTAAAATAATTGACATTTTTTGCATAATTGTTCAACAGTCAAGACACATTTTAGATATAATAAGACAAGTACATTGTACACAAACAAACGTATAAACTAATACTATATCAAATACAACATAAACATGTTACAAAACCTTATCATAAGTTACACATCAATTTAATAATTAATAAACATATTATTCACTTGTTTATCATTTTCATTATTTAAGAAAAGTTTAACTTTCGTTTTAAATGTTTGGATATTTTTTGATGTCCATGTATTTAGTTCAGTAGGAAGGCAATTGGATTGAAGTCATCAAGTGGTTGCTGGTTCAATCCTTGGGCAAGATGAAATTTGTCTATGACAATTGAATATATAACCTGTTACTGCATCAAGGTGACCATATGTAATTTTTGTATGATTTCAGTTGTCAGAGCAGTCAATTAAGGACTACAACCGCGGACGGGAATACTTGTCTGATCTTGCTAATAGGGAGGGTGTTCCCTTGTTTGAGAACATAGAAGAAGCCTCAAGTAGTGTGATAGCCATTCTAACAGAACAACCCTCCCCTTGTTCATGATTTCCAGATAGATGGGATGTTATATCCATTCTAACAGAACAACCCTCCCCTTGTTCATGATTTCCAGATAGATTGTATTATGTCACTTCTCACAGAACAGCCCTCCCCTTGTTCATGATTTCCAGATAGATGGGATGTTATATCCCTTCTTACAGAATAGTCCTCACTTTGTTCATGATCTCTAGATCGGCTTGTAAGGTCGTATTGAAATCTATATGAAGACGTGGAGAATTTTGAAATTTTCTGAATATTTATAAGGGTATGTTTATGTAATACCTGGCTTCTTATTTTATAATATAATATGTCTATTCATTGATAACATATTTAATCACCATATCACTTTAGTGCAGTAATTAGGGCAAATCCATATGCCTTGACACCCCACCCTTAATCCCCAAGTTGTGGGGCATATATAAAAGCAAGGATTATAGAAAATAATATCTAAATTGTTTTGATCAGATTACAGGATAATGATTTGTAATAATATAATATCTCTATTGGATCTCAAATATGTTAGAAAGACTGGTGCTTTTATAAAATGAGCCGCGTCACGGCAAAACCAAAATAATGGGTTTGCGACCAGCATGGATCCAGACCAACCTGCACATCCACGCAGTCTAATCAGGATCCATGCTGTTCGCTTACCAACTCTATTACAAGTAGAGAAACTGATAGCGAACAGCATGGATCCTGATCAGACTGCCCGAATGCGCAGGCTGGTCTGGATCCATGCTGGTCGCAAACCCATTATGTTGGTTTTGTCATGACACGGCTCAAATTATAAGATCTATCTTGTTTATTATATTACAAAATTAAAGGGTATAAAGTTATATACATAAGCTGTCCCTATGGCAGTGAAAGGGTTAACAGAATAAAATGTTTTGGAACAAAATATTATGCTGCTATCTTAAGTAGAATTTTTATGGTTTAGAAATGATTTCTTATCCACTTTATTCAATCTGAACGAAAAAGACAAAAAAAAAAACAAATGAACATATAATTAATTTCTTTTAAATGTATTTTAGAATTATTTTTTTTCAAAATTCAAACAATGATTTCGTAAATTTTGTAGGCAACAGATATATAGCTTTATACCCTTTGATTTTAGTTTTATAGTAAACAAGCAAACTTTGTTAGATATCTTAAAATTAAAATTGAATTTTCAATTGATTATATGATTACATACATGTACATTTAAGCATTTGTTATGTAAGAATTCCGGAAATTAAGTGTGATATAAGTATATAAATCCCAGTGGTACATTCCCTATACATATACAGAGCTGTATTTTGTTACAAATGTCGGTCTCGCGAGATATTAATTTTCTTACACTGCTCTTATTAAAATACATGTACATGGCCTCAGAAAGCTACTACAAAATAATTAGTCTTTTATTATATACCTGAATATTTAAGACAAAAAGAAGAAATAAACTTCATGAATGACAGATAATATATATAATTTTTAGCTCGACTATTCGATAAGAATAGGTAGAGCTATTGTAGTCACCCGAGCGTCGGCGTCCGTGTCGGCGTCGGCGTAACCACTTATGTTAAAGTTTTTGTAATAGTTCAAATATTTTCAAAGTCCATTGACATATGGCTTTGAAACTTTGCACACTTGTTCACCATCATTACCCCAACCTGTTAACAGGAGGAGGTAACTGTATCAAGCATTTTTTTTTACTATCAAGCACTAAGAATAGTTGAGCGTTGCTGTCCTACTGACAGCTCTTGTTTTTTTTTGTAAATTGACCATTCCCTAAAGTAGATTAGGTTCCTGTTTCCAAATGGAAAGTAATGCTTATGCCTAAGATGGGAAGCAATGGGAAAAATAGTCTAGCCTTTCCTTATATGGTTCCCATTGTCACTAACATAATACAGGTTTTTCTATCCATTAGCTGATAAGAACCTCATGATTTGCGTGTATTTTAGGGTTAAAATTTATATGTACATAATAACAGTGATGATATTTTCATTTCTATTACATTGTATTTTTACTTACTCTTTTATCTAATTCCAAATACTGTAAAATTCCTAATTAACACCCCCGGGGGCTAAACATTTTCCAAAAAGGGGGCTATTATTACAACACAGTTTTTCCTAAATCCAAAAATCACTGTAAATACATTTAGTGTTAGCAAGTGTTGGTAATAACATTAAAAAGTGTTAAGGTTTTAAAGTTCATATTATACATATTTGTGTTTACTATAAAATAAAATGGATGGCTTTAATCATGAGTTCAGCACTAATGAGTAGATTGTTTTCCTTATCAAAAGGCCTTGGGGGGGGCCTTTATTAGGGGAGGGGCGTTTATTAGGAATTTTACGGTGCTCTACAACTGTGCATGGCCACAGTTATTAAATTATAATTGAAAATTTGATCTCTAGAAAATTAAGAATCATTCTAATTTGATTTAAACTTAAATGAAAAAAATGAAATTTTTAGAAATGTATTATCTAGTCCTGAATGTTGTACAGTGTAATGTTTAGGATTGTTGTGTGCCCTTTACTTAGTGTTATTAATTTTAAAGAGCTTGTTACTGAGGTACAGTCAAATCAGTATGTCAATATTATACTAATATCATAGTGCTTGAATGTGGTTTAATTACCGAGTGCATTATGATAACAGAACAATTTAATTACACTTTATGTCAAGATTGGCAGAAATGACATATTTTCAAAGAAAATACTCCTTTTGACAGAAATTACTCCTTTTGACAGAAATTACTCCTTTTGACAGAAATTACTCCTTTTGACAGTAATTACTCCATTTGACAGAAAATACTCCTTTTGACAGGTATTACTCCTTTTGACAGAAATTACTCCTTTTGACAGGTATTACTCCTTTTGACAGTAATTACTCCATTTGACAGGTATTACTCCTTTTGACAGGTATTACTCCTTTTGACAGGTATTACTCCTTTTGACAGAAATTACTCCTTTTGACAGGTATTACTCCTTTTGACAGAAATTACTCCTTTTGACAGGTATTACTCCTTTTGACAGAAAATACTCCTTTTGACAGGTATTACTCCTTTTGACAGAAATTACTCCTTTTAACAGAAATCACTCCTTTTGACAGTAATTACTCCATTTGACAGAAAATACTCCTTTTGACAGGTATTACTCCTTTTGACAGAAATTACTCCTTTTGACAGGTATAACTCCTTTTGACAGAATTTCCTCCTTTTGACAGAAATTACTCCTTTTGACAAATATTGCTGCATTAACAGAAATTACTCCTTTTGACAGAAAGTACTCTATTTGACAGATGTTACTTCTTTTGACAGATATTATTCCATTGCAAAGTTCTGTTAGTCACTTCATTGTTAACATGCACTATGTTTTATGTATTTTTATGATGCTTAAACATAAGAGAAGCTTTCTGGACTTAAAATAATCCTATTTGAGCTTGCTATGTGGAACCAACAAAATGTCCTATGAGTAAGCAATTGGTAGAGTTCTGGGTATAACTCAGACCTATATAATTGGATGGAGAGTCAGATATGATAACCTTTGTAACAAATATCTAATATATAGGATATTGAATGAGTGTAGGTTTAAATAGGTTTTATATGTCAGATACAAGCTTAAAGCTTATGTTTGCACTGTTAACCATAACTGACTATAGATAAAGTTTGTCTTATTGTCTTAATACTAAATTTATTGAACGAGTTGAATAAAATCATAACATGCAAACAAGTTCAATGAATTTAGTATTGAATCTACACGAATACAATATTCTATTTATCACATACATGTATCTAAAATAAGAACTGAAAAGTGTTAAAAAGAGTAATTTTTCATTGACTCGCCTATATGTGTGAGCTAACAGCGCGCTTTTACGTTATGTTTGTTTATAACGCAATTGACATCTTATCTTATGTTATTACACTAGCGTAATATAGTTTTTATTAAATGGCTTTATTACACTCCCGCACAGCAGTTTATGTGTTAAATGTATTTGTTACCTCAAAGCTTTCCTCTATATAGGGTATATCTTGTTTTTTAAGTAGAGATGTTTATTTATCCAAATTATGCATGCTCAATTTTTTTGTTAAAATGAGATTTGAACTTCAAGTCTTAAGTATTATTTGTGAGGAAATTGTTGAAAATTAGTTTTATCCCAGTTTATCCATTGATAATTGTGTGTATTGTCAATAAGTGTTTTTCCATTATTTTTTTTATTTGGTATAACTATAAAATTAATGTTAATCATTTATTGTTGAAAGTGGGAAGCTATTTTTGTTGAGTGAGAAAAAATTTGAACATTTTTACAATAGAATTTATTGTGTAAAAACAAGTTTAGAAAATGGGACCTTTGTTGATTGAAACTACATAAGTTTTAATTTTGTGTGATTTTTTTTTAATACATTCTTTCTTGTGAAGAGTTAATTTCAAGAGATATCTTGATGTCTATATAAGTGTTCAAATTGTCTGTCAACCTTTGATATAATTATGATTATGTGATTTTTGAAAAATTCTTTCATCATTATTTCCTAAATGCAAAACTTTTAACATCCTTTGCTATGGTAGCTAGAATCTATTGCCATCAGCAGTCTAAGAGTTGATTTGTGTGACAGATTTATCTTGCTTTATATTCAGAATTTTCTATAATGGCTATGTACAGATTTCAGTGACAAAATTTAAAAACGAGGTCAACACTATAAAATCAGGTTAGTCTGTCACTACCAACTTCTTATACTGGGAATGTACAAGCTGTGCTTGCACTCTGCCTGCCAGTGTATTGGCCTAATACTATTATCCACTGGTACAAAAAGGCATTAAGCTTCAATATTTTAAATACTCAGAAATCATATACACAGGGTATTCAAATATTAGATATCAGATTGTCATAATCATACTATATCCTGTATATAGATCATATAAAATTTTCCAATTATTCAGTAGTCTGATTTGTTAGTCATTGAGTTGAATTGACTTTTAAGCTACAGAATTTCCATGGCAACGGATGACTATCAAATGAGTAATAATCCAGACCTTATACGGTAGTTCTATATGAAAGTGGATACTTAGTCCAAGCCAATCCTCTTTTCTCTTCATATATTCATTATCGTAATTTTTTTTAATTGAAATATTTTTGTAGAAATTAAAAATGTTTTCAAATCACTTCATGAGATATAGAACCAAAAATATTGTTTGATGGGAAACAAAAGCTTATTTTATACTCATTATTATGAAATAAGGTTATTACCATATTGTTTCCAATTAACATCCCAAGGGCTTTGAATAGAGGGTGAATGCAGAGCACTAAAATTTATGTGATATGCTACTTTGCTTTAAGGTTTATAGTCTTATTATGTTTAAAGAATTTTTTCAAAATATGGAGTTACTTATTTGATTTTGTTTTAAATTTGACTAAATAAAAATGTTTTCATGTTCAATTTTCTTTTATAAGATTTATAATGGTTTGGGGAGGGGAGGGGCACTGATGGCACTGATGTTAGAGGGGGAGGGGGGCTTAAAGGAAAGGATTTGGTATTTGTACCTTGAGTGTTTATTGGTAACAAAATGGTTTATACCTTTATAGAGTGTTCATTTCTTTCAATATTCATAATAGTTTATTAGATAGATTTTTGTTGTATTTATTAATGTCATATCAAAGAAAACAAGAAATGTAGCTTTAATAATTATAGTATTACTGATTATATGTATATAAGTATTTAAATTTGAAATCCAAGATACCATTGATAATGGAATGAAGGCTTTTTATTCATCACTGTTTAAGTATAAAATTTGTAATGACATTTTGTATTTCAATGCCAAACAATTTAAGGAACTAATTTTTATAGTACAGACATGCTTTGTATGACAATTTTTAATATCCTTATTCAAAGAATAGTGAGGCTATTCTCCTTATTGTTTGGTGGGGGACGGTCTAACTTCAGTTCATTATTGTTTTATTTTCTCAACAATTGAAATACTTATGGAAACTGTGCCCATTGTAGACCAAGCCACTTTAAATCTTTTCAGTCTTGTTTGGTTTCTGTAATATACCAGAAACTTATTTAACCCTCAGTTTATGGGATTAAATATTATTTTCCATGGTTTCAACGCTTGTATCTTAAACTTGAAACATTGATGAATACCACCACAGTCTTATAACTTTGACCAAAGATTATCAATTTAAACATTTATCATAGGCTTATAGGGAAGACTTAAGGCTTGCCTAACAGTTACTGTGTTGCTTCTTTGAATAAAGTCTTTATTGTTAATAATAAAGTCTTAATTTGTAAATTTTGTTGATGTTAGTTTTGACTGGATAGGTATAGGAAATAAAATGAATCTGTAATTTTATGAACAACTTGATTTGCAGAATACACTAATGTAAATGTATACTGGGTGATTGTAAGTGTATTGTAAACAGTTCCTAACAGTATTTAAATCACAGCTTTAAGATAGTGTATAAATTCTGCATAAATTATCACATAAATTATCATTTTCTTTATCAAATAACAGTAGTATAGACTTAACAAGAATTGCATATCAAAAACTTTTTATTTGTTTCTACAATGTGCATGCTTCTATCGGGTCCATTAAGTATTTTTTATAAATAAAAAAGGTAAAGTATATATCTAATTGATATCTTAAACTCAATTTAAGTACTGAAATAGCACTGCTTTGATTTTTGCAATTTTCTACAGCTGCTGTAAGAGATTTTTAGAATATTGATGTTTTTTTTCTCTAATTTCCTTGTCTAAAAAATCAGATCATTTCCATTCCATTTTTCATAGTATTTTTAAACCAGAAAAAAAATCTTAATGGTATTTCATCAATGTGTCTATGAACTTTGAAAGTTTAGTGGAATTTCACTTTAATTTATAGAATTTTTAGAATATTGATGTTTTTCATTTTATTTTTCTAAAAATTCAAATCATTTTCATTCCATTTTTCACAGTATTTGTGAAGTGAAAAAAAATCTTAGCGGTATTTTATTACTGTTTCTATGAAACAAAATCAGTCATTGAAAGTTAAATAGAATTTCATTATTGTAGAAGACTTGTTTGCTTTAAAATTGAATAGAGTAATTGTACTTTAATATACAGACTTCATCACATTTTCACTTATGTTACTTTTTGTTGTTTGTATCATTTTGTATGACTGTATGTATTTGCAAAAAAAACAAAAGTGAATAACTTAAAACAAGGAAATGATTTGATACATATCTAGCTTTCAAGTTAATATACCCCAGCTGTTATATGTAAGATTTTCAAAATTTTTTATGCATTTAAATCGTAGTGTAGCTTCTTCAAACTAGATGATTATTTAAGCTTTAATTTGGACAATTATGTATAATTAAAGCCATGTTTTAATGTTTTAGATTTGAATATGTTACTTATTTAGAGTGTTGATGTACATAAAATCAGATGTAATTTTGTTGTTTTTTTTGTAATATTTGTAGATTTTTGGTCTTTTTGTATGATATCTGTAGATTTTGGTCTTCTTATGTAATATGATTTTTGTTTATTGTAAAATAATTTATTTTTTATTTGTTTTACATGTTGTTGATTTTAAGTTGAAAATGTTATGCAACAATTCTGGATGAGTTATTTTTGTATTTATTTTTTTTCTAATTTTTATGTTTTAGAAATAGTGAAATAAAAAGATAATAAAATTGTTTAAAGATGTGCTAGAAGTACATTTTCTTGTTTGTTATTCATTTTTGCCTATTAAGATTGAAGAAGGTGATATCAGACTTGTAAGCGAAATTTGTGGTGGTGTTGGTAGTTTTCTCTCCGGATCATGGCAGTAAGCCACTTTCAATTCACCATAGCACAGTTCAGTCACTGCATTGTCCCTGGGAAGGCTGTCAAAAAATTTACCAATACTAGTTGCCTTCACTTTCGCAAGGAACTGATAACTTCTGTACATGCAAGAGCATAGATAAAGTGCGAATGACCGTAGAAAGGATTTCATGATCATAGAATCACAACTTGTAAGCAAAGTGTTGAGGAATGCTTCAGGCGGTGCTCGCGGGTGTGGTAGAGGAACCGCACATTCCATTATCTGTAATTTACTGACTCGATCAAACATTGTCGACAATATCCTTCTTATAGTATTCATATTTGAGCCACGTTACGACAAAACCAACATAGCAACAGTGCATCCGCACATTCTGACCAGGATCCATGCTGTTCCCTTACAAATACTATTACAAGTAGAGAAACTGATAGCGAACAGCATGGATCCTGGTCAGACTGCACGGAAGCGCAGGCTGGTCTGGATCCATGCTGGTCGCAAACGCATTACGAAGGTTTTGTCATGACGCGGCTCATTTGTTCAATCGCTCTTTAAGCGTCTCCATTTTCAATAATAATAAATGCATGTAGTTTTCTTTTGTGGCTGTAACTTTGCTCTTGTTGCATGGGTAGAATCAGCAAAGAGTTGGAGAGCATAGGAAATGCAACACATTCCAGGCCTCTCTGTGCACCAGCATAAACTCCATTGTATTAATAACACTAAAAGTAAAAAATAGCAGTAAAAGATAACTACCTACCGGTATATGCCTGAAAGACTATGAAACCTGCAGTAACCCGAAACCAAACCCAAAAGAAAACAAAACATGTGAAAATCATGACTATGTTGACTCAGATTTCTTGTTATTTCGAACATTATTGCGAAGGATATGGTTGTCTCTTTTTCTTTCTTTCGGCTTATTTCGGCTTTATTTCGGCATTTTGGTTGTTTATATCCGAGACCAGGTACGTATATTAACATATATAATATCCGTACCTGCTGAGACGCCCAATAGGAGTAAAATTGTGCACTGAATTTAACGATTAAAAAATTTACTATGCAGATATTCTGTAGTAAAAATTGAAATAACTGTTATAAGCATTTATGACCGGTGCCTCTTGAAATTTAAGCATAAACGTTGAATTAAAGATCATGGAAACTAACAAAAGACGCACTCAGTAGGGGTTCAGAGGGGTTCAGATAAACTAATTCATATTTTATTGCACAAAACATGATTATTAAAAATGTTACTAAGATAATAAACTGTTGTCATTCAACTCGGTGATTTTAAATCGTAACTTTGTTGAATTGTTTTGAAAACTTTGCACGTTTTGCAACCTTACTTCATGTTTGAATCATTTCCGTATTTTAGTATTTACGCTTTTTACAGTTTTTAGTAATCTTAACTATAAAACAATCGTGTTTGTTTTATGCCAACATCATTAAACTTTCTCGTAATAAAATCTTAGTTAAAACTGACGTTTATTAAGTCTATGACAATATTTGTAAGAGTTAATTTTTATTCAACTATGTGTAAACAAATACATTGAAAATATACGAACAAAGTAAGAAATGCAAACATTTAGAGCTTAGTAAATACATAGTGTAAATTTGATTTATACTCTAGGGTAGATTTATTATAGGGGGCCTATAGACATAAAACATAATTTCAGACAGTTAAACTTCGTTGTAAATTCATCACAGATGAAAATCAAGTGGAATAAAACATTTATGGTCTGGCTGAGTGAAATTAACGAACACTCCGTACAAAGTTAGGCTACTGGATCAGGGACTGAAAGGGTATGTTAAAAAAAGAAGCATTTTCTTATTTCAAAATTGTTGAATTATTTGACTTTATAATTTTATTATAATTATATGAATACACGAGGTATCGGATCAGTTTACATCATTCCTATATAAATAAGGTATTGGTTTGTTTTGGATGAATATGCTATATATCACTCGGAAAAGTGAGGAATTGCCATATTATTATATTTTTTTTTGTACGAGTTGTTATGGATTTTGATTAACGAATAAAAGCCAGAATTTTAATGGTTATCATTAAATAAATAGAAACAAGTTTTTTTACTTATAAATAATTAATACGTAATACTACGAATAATTGATAGCGCTATATGTTGTATTTTTATTTGTACATTTATTTATATTTTGCATCAGAAAATTATGTAACAGAGATGTATTTACATATAAAAATGAACACTTTTGGAAAAAAAAGTTTTTTATCAGTAAACCAAGAAAGGCGAGACTTTTTTTTTCAAATTAGAAGGATTTAAGATTAAGCGTAAATGAATAACTTGTCATTTTATTTATTTAAAAAATACCACTTTAAAGGGAAAATATATAATGTACTCGTACATAAATATTATAGTTAAAGATGTAATTTCAAATACATCAGCATTGTGAACATCGCAATAGGTGTTGCATTAGTAACTTTGCAAAATAGAACAAGACTTATTTGTTTTCGAAATTTACATACTTTTTCTCTATTATTTACTGATTTCGTTAATCAATACGATAATTATAGTGCAATTGATTTATCACTTATGGCAGTCGGTCACTCTTTATGCTGTTGCTTGATTATTTATTCAAGTGCACGAACTGGATTGCCCCTGCATAAAGTTTTAATGATTTTAAAAGTTGATCAAAATTATTTCACCAGATTCAAAATGGCGACTGGAGCAATCTTCCACTGGGCGGACTACCTCATATTTGTTCTTGTGCTTGTTATATCTACTGCCATCGGAATATTCTTTGCTTGGCGGGATCGAAAGAAGCAGAATGCATCCGATTTCCTTCTTGGAGGGAGAAAAATGGGAATACTTCCGGTTTCACTGTCTCTCATGGCCACGTTGTTGTCGGCTGTTATGGTTTTGGGAGTTCCGGCGGAAGTTTACTACAATGGCGCCATCTACTGGCTGATATTGTTTTCCAACCTACTTGTGTATCCGGTTGCTGCACATATGTTTTTGCCCGTTTATCACAACCTAGGTATCACAAGTGCATATGAGGTAAGTTCGAAAACCAAGAAAAATGATACACATACTGATAAATCACAGTGAGTTTTGTTTAAAGGCCGAATATGCCTCAGAAATGCTTTTAAATTTATTTTTCAAAAGGCTTTTAATATTGGTGTACTTTTATAATATCAAAAAAGTTGCTAGTTGGGCAAATTACTAAAACATCTTTTTTCATCTGCTGCTTTTTTGGCAAGTAGTACAGTTATAGTGAATGTGTATTTTGTATGGAAGTCAAAATACTACTTTGTTTACATTTTGCTACTTTTATGACATATGATTCCAAATTTATCGCTACTTTCTCCAGGTAAAAAGCATTTAACATTCTCCACAATCATTATTTAAACATTGTAAAATTCATGTTAGCTTTTCTAAAGAAGATGTCTCAACATATAATGTATTTTGTTTTTGTAACGACTGACCAAGAGTTGGCATATTTGCCTTCAACACGAACATGAGGAATAATGTAACGATTTTAAAAGTTATGCCCAATTCCAAGTAACGCAATACAAACAAATCCAAATATAAACTTATCCATAGATGAACATTAAATATAATAATGGTTAAGGAACATTTCATCTAGCTACATAGCGTTTTTGGTTATTCATTTAAACATTACATATTATACTATCGTGATAATATCTTAACAAGTAATAAAGAAATGTTACACAAAATTGATTTTCCGTTACTTTAATGGGCATTTACCTTGCAAGGTAAGACAATTTTCAAATATTTTCCACTTTGAGGTATTCTGGTGGCCAAACTGACATTTGGAAAACAAATTCAAGCGTTTCGGAATTGCTGCACTCAATTTGCAATGCAAATATTATTACAAAAACTTTGACGATCCAGTACAGAATATGAAATAATGCTGCTACTGTGTGTAAAATCATATTTTTAGAGTCGTTTTAAGCTACCTGCCATTGTCTTAGTTTATTGATTTAAGGACTATGTAGATTTAAAAGCATAAGGTGTCCAAGCGACACCCTTTAACAGTATTATTTATTTTATGAGCAATTATTCTAGCTTTCTGTCCATGCTTAGTTGGCCTTTTAACGCTTATGATGGCCAACTGAGAAACCGTACACCTGTACACCAGTATGTTAATGTAAAACATTTTCACAAGAACATAGTCCGAATTTACTAACGGCGTATCATGTTTTCTTTGCTCAATTTCTTTAGCTACGACTTTTACTAAGGGGTCATGCATTATGTTTACTAATATATATTAAGATGCTCAAATATTCTATACTTATTTATAACATTTCTCACTCAATCGTACAGATCGTAACAAGTAAATACATTTTCTATTATATGTGTCTTGAAGTTCTAAACGTATTGTCAAATGTTTGGATGAACTATGCAAGTAGTTTGTCAAATTTAAATAAAGTTGCTGCTTTAGTGCATTTAAAATACAATCTTTTAATAGACAAAAACACGAATCGGACACTATTGATGTTGAAATTACTATCAAACATTCCGATACTGTTCTTTGAAAACTTTGTACTTTTTATATATACATGTATAAGATTGACTTGAAAATTAAGCTTGCAAACATTTACATAGGGTTAATATGATGTGTGATTTACGGTGCGTGTGTCGCGATTGCTCTAACGGGACACCGTAGTGGATGGTTCTGTATAATATGTCTAAATAAGAAATTGATTACTTTGAATTGAAAATGTTCTGTCAATTTTGGTTATTGAACGGGGGTAAATTATAACCTTCAACGAATGATTTGTATTTAATACATGTAGTAAAAAGCTAAGTATGATTCTATTTTTCGTAACGTTCTAAATAATATTGATAATAAATGGTGAACTTTAGAGAATAAAAATGCCATAGATTAAAAATCGCAGCTGTAAATTCATCATTTAACTTAAGAACCGTAAACTACAACTTGACACTGGTTCTTAAGCCTCCTTACCTTTACAGTTTATGTATTGACAGGGACTATAAAACTGTTTATTTACGTATTAGTAATTAATCTCTTTTGCGTAAAGTGCACTTTCTATATGTTAAAAGAACACTTGTAAAGGAGTTCAATAATGGTTAATGGATTTATAGGTGTTAAAGGTCATGCTAAATGAGGGTTTTTAGGATCGATTGCCGTATAAATTATTAAAGCTATTACTACCTTAAAATAACTCTTAAAAGCACTTCCTCGCCAATTTCGTTTATTACCGCTTAGAGATGCTCTCCATCAAATACACTTTGTCTTGTTTAATATCTTAATTTTTATACAAAATATATATGCTTACTCGTACCCATCAATTTAATATATAAATTATATATGATTATAATTACTCCATGATTATATTACACGTGTATAATTATGTTTTTATTTAACATTAAAATGTTTTTGGTACTATTTAATATGTTGTAATAACGTAATACTGAACGATTTTAATTGCTCACTTAATGATATTTCCAGTATTTAGAGATGCGATTCAACCCCCTAGTGCGTATTCTAGGCTGCATTGTCTTCCAGATCCAAATGGTAAATATTTTGATCTTATTTTGTTCTTCATTATATACATAAAATACAAGTATATATGTTTTATCTTTCACAATTAATACGAAAGCAAAAGCGACGATGGCGATAATGATAAGAATAATGTTTATGGTCATGATGATGAACATGACGACGACGACGATGATGAAGATACTGTTTATGATAAGAATAATTATTTCAAAGAAAAACAAAATTAATGAATTTTTCTCAATTTGTGTTATAATTATCTTATGTAAACTTAATATGGAAACATTCATTTATTGTCTTACTTTTAGCATAAAATATGGTACATACGTATTTTATCTTATTATATGATTTTTTTTATCAAAGGAAGGAACTAGATGGGTGATTTTTAAATTTGATATGACAGGTCCTATTCTTATCATAGATTAATTGTCATAATTTTCTTGCAGACACTAAGTATGTCAATGGGACTCTTTGCACCTGCAATTGCTCTGAATCAAGGTGAGATTATACCTTTGACACACGCACTCATTTAATTATCATTCCATTATCCTTGAAGATAATTTCATTTTAATTTTAATATCTAATTTTGCGCAGTAAAAATTGCTTTCAAATGATAAAGATCTTAACATTTTTGTATACAAATTCGCTCATTAGCTATACCATAGTAGTGTAATGTGATTAATTGAATGATTTATAAATGTAACTTATTGATTAATGTAATGTTGTAATGTAATGAAAAATCCTTTTCAATGATAAATATCTACACATATTGTACAAACTTGCTCACCAGCCATACCATAGTAGTGTAATGTGATTAGTAAAATGATAAGTCAATGCATTTTATTGATAAATGTAATGTAATATAATTAATTCCATGGGTTTACGTTTTCAAAATGAGATCAATAAACGTGCCTGCTCATAATACTTGGTAGTTTAGCAAAGTCATTATTGCAGCTATAGTCTAACCCACCAAATTTGAATATTTCATTTTTATTAAATAAAATAGGAAAATCATTAAAAATTTAAAATAAATGTCATGTTAAACCTGACGTCAAATCTCTAGGCATGTTTTTTTTTTTTCCATTTTTTTCATGTACAGAAGTTCAAGGGTTAATAAGATACGATTTATTTTTCCACAGTTCTATAATTGCCACTATCGTTCGTGCAAGTTTGCTTTATCTTTTATCTTAATGTGATTGTTTCCAGTAATGAACATCGACATGCTGATTTCCATCCTTGTGATCGGTGCCATCTGTACATTCTACACGGCTATCGTAAGAATAATATTTTTAAATAAATTACTTTAATACGATAATTATGATAATGATGCTTTACATACAAAAGTTGTTTAAAATTCCTAAAATAGCTTTGTTGCTGTTATTCCAAAGCTAAATGGGGCGTCCGTGCTCGAGTGGTTAAGGTCGATGTCTTCAAATTACTTACCCCTCACCGCTGTGGGTCCAAATCCCGACAGGGACTTTGGAGACTTTCATATGAGGAAGCTATCCAGCTAGCTTATGGAACGTTGATGGTTCTACTCAGGTGCCCGTTTGTGCCTTAAAAAATGCATGGAAAGGCACCTAAGGTCTTCCTCTACCAGTAAAGCTGGAACGTCGTCATATGACATATACTGTGTCGGTGTGACGTTAAATCCAATCAATCAAAAATGCTATATCTTTATACTTATTCGTCTAATACAACGATATAGGCAGTGTCTGCAGTGCATTATACATAATACACACTTCTAGTAAAATAGATTCATAAAAGATGAATAATTTGCATTTGATGACATATTAAGAGTTTACACCATAAACAATGCATTTTTTCCACCAAAATCCCAACAGCAGTATTTTGTCATTTGATTGCCCTGTTCCTTACCATTCTCTAAAGTACGGACTTGCTAATGACGTTCATAGAGAGGGAACCGCAATCTCCATGGCAATATTCATATCAAGATAGTGCTTATCTTACAATCATAACTTATGCTAGTACAGTTTCAAGATTGTTCATCTCATATCTGTTTGTTAGATAAATTGATAGATCCTTACTCCGACCTTTTATTTGTATAACTATAGATTTAACCGCAAACATATACATGTGTTCTTTTTTGTTAAGAATTATGTAGTGAAATTCTTATTATAACCCCAAAATCTGATAATTCAAATAAAAAAGAGATTAGGGTCATGTAGGGATCTATGCATTCTTTGCCATCAACGTAAAGTTTTACAGAATCCCCACATGCGTATTACCAGCAAAATGTACACTTGTATTTATCTTATTTTAGGGCGGTCTTAAAGCAGTGATGTGGACCGATACGTTCCAAATGGTGATTATTATGGGTGGAATAATTGCCGTTCTAGTGCAAGGATCAGAGGAGGTCGGCGGATTCAATAAAATATGGGAAACAGCTAAAGACGGGGGTAGACTGGATATAGTTAAGTAAGAAATACAATTTTGCAAACTATATCAACATTTACTTTCAACTTAGAGTCTAGTAAGAGATACGATTTCAAAAGATGCCAACGTTTACTTTCAACTTAGTTAAGTAAGGGATACAATTTTTAAAACATACTTACATTAACATGTACGTTTGTACTTTAAACTTAAGTTTGCCTATACAATTTCGGAAGATGTCATATGATGTATGGACAACGGGCTCTACCAATATGCTCATCTTCTCATGAAAACTAGCTATGTATATCTATAAGACAATGAAACTATGTTTGAGACAAAGAAATCTGTGAAATACTGGAAGTTCAGTGGTTTATTTTTTCTAATTAAATATAATTTTTATGTTTGTTCACTGGTAATAAAATTATGGTAAAAAGTATTTTTTTATTACTAAGTATTCATTAGTTCTAAATTGAATGGAATCGTTCACTTTTCATATCTTATGTTTTTCTTGCCTAAAATGTGTAATACATTCCATATAATTTCGAATTCATTATAATATCAAATGGACGTCCAGTTTTCTTATAAAATAGTAAAGCGATATTGTAGTATACATCATTTTTATTACAGTTTTGATCCCAGCCCTTTAGAGAGGCATACGTTTTGGACGTTAGTGATAGGCGGAGGAATAACTACATTAACTGTCTATGCCGGGAACCAGGCCATGGTACAAAGATACCTCAGTATGGAGTCAATCAAGAAAGCTCAAATGTAGGTCAAAATAAAGTGTTTTTTTTTTAAATAAATATTGCAATAAAATATAGTTAATCTGCTTCATGTAGTTATTGGTTTTCACGTTATCTGTTCCATTGCTTTTCTTTTTAAAGTTGCGACGTACTTTACTTCAGTGTAGCTATAATGACATTCTTGTTCCTCTCTGAATATTTAAATATGTGTGAACCGGCGATAGGGGTGTGAAATATATTTTTTCGTTCCTACTTTTGGGGATTTTCCCTCTTTCAGTTAGTTGACATTGTTTCATTTGTTTATGTGTTACATTTTTGTCATGCCAGCACATGATTAGATTGTTTGGGGGGTTCTTTCACGGCCGATACCTCTTTTGTAGCGCCCTGTATCTACAGTTGCCCGCCGGAGTTATAGTGACAACGCTGTTTGTGTATGCCGGACTACTTTTATTTGCCAAATATCCAGTTGATCCTATCTCAGACTGCACTATATCGCTTCCCGACCAGGTATGGACACATAAAGATTTAGAACTCCAAGTAGTTGTTAAGTTTAAGAATATTACTGATTTAGAATGTGTGTAGGTTCAATAACGAATTCGATAAAATTGTATTATTTGAGCTCCCTAAGGCGAGCATAGTACGAGTTCAATTTTCTTTCGATGGACCTATACGAATATATAATTAATTTTTATAACATACTCAAAATAAGGACAGTAATTTTTTTTAATTGGTGCGCTAACATTGTAACGGTAACAAATAGCGTAATATATTAACGCAATAAAGTGTATAACGCATGTAACGTCGATTCAGAATAATTAGGTGCTGGACCGTCCTATATAGCTTTTATTGAGTCGAAAAAGAATGTAATACATTGACACATATATTTAATGATATGTAAAAGAATTTCGTTCTCATTAAAATTAAATTTTAAATTGTTAACCCTTAACCTGCTGAATTTTTTTTTAATGGACTTGTCCAGCTTCCACTGGAACTGTCTATTATCAATTTAGATTTATCAGGAACATCTAAAGTTAGTCAGCCAGTACTATAGAGTCTAGTCAGACGTCTGGGACGTGCAGGCAGCCCTGGCTCTATACTGGCGACAAAGGCTTATTGCTTTTGGTTTCAGCAAGCTAAGAGTTAAAGTTAGTTTTGAATGTATTTCTGATTTCAGTTAATACCATGGCTGGTAATAGATGTATTAGGGGACTTCCCAGGCTTACCTGGAGTTCTTCTGGCCTGTATATTCAGCGCATCTCTGAGGTATGATCTTTTGATAAAGTCTTTTTGAGAATAAAGAAAATTACTTCATATGAACTGAACACACTAAATATCGTGTAAACTAAAATTTAAGTTACTATAACATTTCCATTGTATTTATAATATTAGATAACTAATACCAGAGGAACACACGACAAAGTCGGAACAAGTTGAAAAAAAAATATGAAAAACCTACTAGTTTTGTGTATGCACTATCCTTTTTTGTAATATTAAGACTCGACGTGCAATCAAAATAAAGATGTGAATACTATCAAGCTCTGTGATATTAAACTGTTTAAAATATTTCCAAATTATTTGATTAAAATAGCTCTAGTATTTTTTTTCAAATTGTTACCAATTAAGCACAACGCCTAATTCCAACATTTTGCTTTTTAATAAATAAATATAAACTATTAGGTCGAAACGTAATGCCAAATATGTCAGTTTCATTGCTTGTAACAGTGAAATTTCATTTTTATTCAAACGAATTTTCATTTTTTTTTCGTACAAATTAAACGACAAGAGTTACATATGTATTTATATGCACATTGTTTTACAGTACGGTTTCGTCCGGTATAAATGCAATAGCCTTGGTATTCATGGCAGATATCGTCCAACCTGCATATCTGGCTATAAAAGGAAAAACTCTCAAAGAACCTAAAGCAACTATAGTCTCCAAATTTATAGGTAAGTCCAAATCATTCCGACTTGAATTTCCGAAAACTTTTAGACATAAACTACACCGTAGAGTTGTAATTATTTCTGTTGAATAATGATGCAATTTTGCATATTAATATTGCACGTTTATTTTAACCATTGCTTTAGTGAACTTTATCTATCAAATTAATGACAACATGATATTTTGTTTTACTTCTTTTTTCGGAATAAAATTAGATAGGTATTCAAGTATTAACAATATAATGATTATAGTACTCAATGAGTTCAAAGAACGATTTAAAAAAAAAAGAAACGAAAAAAAAAGTCATTTGTTTGGAAGGAAATCTTCGTCTAAATCAAGACATTTAAATTATACAACTAATGCTTTTTTCAACTCTAATACTTCATATATTAAAAATGTCAAGGGTTATAGTACTTTATTGAGGAGAGTTATGTCTTGGGAAGATAAGTTTCGTTCAAATTATGCTTTATCCAATTGTACAATCGTAATACTTAGGTTATAGCACTTCCATGAACGTTTTGAAAAGGGAGTTATTTCTTGGGAAGGAAACGTTTGTCTAAATCAAGACTTTCAAATTATACAATTAATGCTTTGTTTTCATTATCAATAATTAATATCTTAAATGTATTCCACAGCAATTATCAGTGGCGGTGTAACAATAGGTCTAGCTTTTATTGCTGAGCTGTTTGGGGATTTAATTCTACAAGTTGCTCTTAGTATTTATGGTATGATTGGAGGTCCATTGCTCGGTGTGTTTGTGTGCGCCATGTTTATACCAATGGTCAATGAATGGGTATGTTCGAAACCGTACTTTGTTCCTATTATTCTATGTTCTTTGAAAAGATACTTTGTAGAATATGAAACAAGTTAATTTTGCAAGTAACATTAATTAATTAAATGATAAATATTCCCTCAAGACGATAAACGCAGAAAGAATATTTGTTTTCACTAAACGTTTTCACTGCGGTATACCGTACCCCGGATATTGCTCGATATTATGAGGACTTTCATCCCATTTCGCGACATTGAACGGGGAACGAAGGTAAGTTCAGCGACGATATTTTCCAAACTAATGGCTATTTCATTTGTCTAAACGAGTTTTATATATCTAGAGGTATGTTTGTAGCTCTAAAAGACGTAAAAATATTACAGCTATTTGTAAAACTGATTAAACTACCCCTAAACGATCCGCTGCTCACTAGAAATACTGACCGCGATACTGTAGAATCGTTAGAAATTATTATATTACCAATATAAAAAAAAATTGAATCGAGCAATTTTTTTATTCACAATCCAAGTATGCCTTGTCCAAATTTCAGGCAAAAAGTGTGAAAGTACAAAAAGATACAGGCCAAAAAAGATACAAGACAGTGTACCGAGTATTGATTTTAAGTGTACAGAGTATTGCAAAATAGCCCAACTTTAGTGTACAGAGTATTGCAAAAACAGAATGAACACATTAGTATGGAAACTCGATATTTTTGATTAATTTTTACGTCTGTTTATCGATTTTATTTCATTTTCTGATAATGTACTTGTTAATATGATATTTATTCAAATATTTCAGATTCAACAGTGCATTTTCAGTGTTATTACAGTTCTTTTCCTACGGGCAAATACAGAGATTTAATTTCCAATTTGGTTGAAAATCACACTATGGATGAAATAAAGTGTGCGCGGGGTCGGAAGCAGGGTAGAACCATCAAAACTTACGATAAAAAACTTTAAATACATGTCTCAAGACACTTTGATCAAGGAGACCCATCTCTGAAATGGACAAGAATAAAAAAAACATATTTAGATGACATTAATAAAAGGTTTTACAGGGCAAGTTTGCCTTAAGAAACATATCGACGAAATTAATAAAATATTGGCCCCAGGGCTAATGCCGTCCAAGCATGCCGGTATCGTCTTAACCTTTTACTGCATGAGCATAATGCGAAAAATGGCTGTTTTCAAGCCTCTTGTTACAAGTTCAAACTGCTATGAAACTATAAAAATGTTTCAATACTGATCAAAATCAAACGGGGCACAAATGTTAGCTGGACCATAGCCTGTGGAATAGCATGCTCAATTTTAAATTTCCAATTATCATGGCAACAGGGTGGGGGGGGGGGGCGTCTCAAAATTGCCAAAAAACTCTATTTTGCGTTGTTTTTTCCCATCAAAACTGATTTCAAGGTGCACCAACTTCTCAATTGATTGATTTAAAGTCTTAGGTTTTCGGCGTTTATTACACGGTACCTTTAAATCGACCTGAGGCCATTTAGCCCCCACAAGTCCCAAGTCTTCTCGGCGATTAGAGGGGCTACTGCCCCGCTTCAAACCCCCAAACATAAGGGGGCACATCCCCCCCGCCTACGTAACCCCCTTGATGTACCTTTTTAATGGGGGTGGCGCCGAAAAAGTGATCACTCTTTTGAACAACATTTCTCAAACGAAAAAACCGTGTTTGGGGCCTAAATAGCGCATGTTTTACACTATTTGAGGCCTCAAAAGGGGTGGGGGAGTAAAACCTTCATGAGGTAAAAGGTTATAAGGAACATAACCTTTTTATTGCATCTGCTGCCCTTTATCATAATCTTATCAAAATCTATTATTCGGTTTTTTGAGCTGTACCCGCTCGGCAGTCATACGGTAACTCATTGCTAATGGCGTAACAAAAATTCACGTGCAGACGGTCTGCCGTTGCTAGAGTGCAGGTACAAAATGCCCGAAAGTTACCTTTATATGGATTTTTGGCATAGTAGGAAGTCGGTTGATATTAGATATTGGCACACTTGCTCAATACCGTCTAATATTGGCAATCTTGAGGCAGTATTAATGCACTTTGGATGCATTTTTTACTATTTAATTAAAGTAAGATATGCAATAATTATTAACAAATTCTGGAAAGGTTGACCCTTCGATAGCAACGAGAACATTTTAAACACAGAAAATTGCTGAGTTCGTTCGGCTGAGATTTTTCACGAGCAGGAATGAAAATATGGATTATTCGCAGATGTTTCCAGTAAAGTACCTCCGAATTCTGCATATTCTGCACATATAGTGTAAATAAGTATACACAGTAAGAAATATTTAAAATTAAATGTGGTAAATACTTTGTGTTTACTACTTGCATTTACTCTTCATTGATAACCAATACTCGTTACACTAAAAGCAATACTCGTGACACCGGCGGGCAACTCCAACGCAATACTCGGTACACTGACATGTGTATTTATTCTCAAAATGCACTGTCATCTGAGGTTCTATTGTTGATTGAACATTTACAACATAAACATTATCATCATTATCACATTTCACTCGATTCAAGTTTTTCTTTTAAAGAAGTATATGCACAAAAACATCAAATTTGATTGATCCGAGCTCATTTATCATGTGAGCAAAGAGACGAATTTTACCTCCTAATTACATTTCAAAGCTATTTCTCAACATTTTTGGGGTTTCAGTAACTAGAGAAATTATCGTAGTATTTGTTTTTCTACAAAATTTATATCAAACCGATTCAAAATGACTAAATATCGTCACTAAACATACCTTCTTTCCTCGTTCAAAGTCGCGAAATGGGATGAAAGTCCTCATAATATCGAGCAATATCCGGGGTACGGTATACCGCAGTGGTTTTTGTCTTGATTCATCTTCCATTTAAACTGTTTATGTCTTTGAAATATACAAATACACATTTCTTCATTAGTATTTTTGTTGTTTGTTTACATACATGTACATCTATCTATCTATTCATAACAGTAACTAGATATAGATCTAGAACAACATTTGTATAAATACATACAGATAGTAATTTTATACCGTTTTGTAAGAGGACCACAATGGAAATCAAGGGACCACAATAGAAATAAGAGTCTCACTGTTGTGCTTTTCTTGGTGTTGTGTGTATGTCATGACTTATTTATTTATTATTTATCTTTACTTATTGTTTTAAATGTCCATGTAGATTCTCTATTCTATACCAAAATAAATCTATCTATGAAATACTAGTAGATCTATTTGGAAAGTCAAGTGTACAACAGACAATGTCATGTTTTTTTAAGGGAGCTGTCAGTGGGCTTCTTGTTGGATTAGCTATGTCATCATGGCTGTCTGTCGGTTCAATTATGATGGCAAATGACAATAGGCCTCCACCGCCGGTATGCTCTGCACCCGATAACGTCATCGGCAATATGACAAACATGACGTCAGTAATGACGTCAGTAGTGACGACATCAATGACAACAATGATAGACAATTCTACAGGCCCAGTAGAGCTGGAGTCATTAAGGTATATCTGCTTTAATCAATAAAGTTTGGCATTTCACTAAAATAATGAAAATATTGTTATCGCTAAACATTTTTGTATGACATATAATAATTATGTGCATCAGGTAAATAAACTAATCATTTTACAAAAAAAATTATTGTAGCTATTCCTATATAGATCTATTTTTCAAAGTAAATCCTCTAACTAAAATACTGATGAATGATAACTTAAGCTAACATTTTCTTGTCCACAAGGAAACAAATGTTGCTAGACCGCATACATGCAGTGTACGTTCACTGATATTTACTTTGATTTTTGCTCGACATACTTTTCTGTGTCGGTACTATTTCGTTTTATTCATTTTATATGTTTTTAAATTTCTTTTTTTATTTTATGTTAAAACATAAAATAAGATAAAAAAAAATTTAAAACTGCTTGCTTAACACATTATTTGAAGCCCGGCTTTTTTCTCTTTTTATAGCCGGTTAGAGATGTTTTACAGTCTATCATATCTCTGGTACAGCGCTTTTGCTGTTTGTGTGGTGATTTTAGTGGCTGTTCCAGTCAGTTGTATTACAGGTACAATACATATAATTGCTATACGTTATATATGTATATTAGTTTTACTTCATGTTCTGAAAACGACGCAAATTCTTCAAACGTCTACAACCAACAAGAATATATAATGAAGCATGTGTCTTGATTTCAAGCATATTACACTTTGACCAATAAGACACCATGCAAAGCCTATAAATTAAATATAAAAATTATGTGATTGTTTTCGTGAATTGTATTGTGAAAACGTATACAGATCTCTATAAAATATGAATAAGTTCATTGCATAGGATCTTTTTTATCCAGAAAAATATTGTATAACAAAACCGATTAAATTTTTAACTTTTTTTTCAATCTTAATTTAAACATTTTAGTACAATAAGAGGATTAAGAACTACACGTATGTTTTTTTTCGTTACAATTCATTTTCAGGTGGGACACGCAATAAGCCAGTCGACCCGAAGCTATTGTCACCCTTTTATCACAAAATGGTCAGCTTTTCTTCTATCATGACCAGATCGGAAGATTACAAGGTAATAAATAAAATTTTATTATTTTTATCATTGAAATAATTTATACGAATTGTTCAGAGATGTCTCTATCATTTTAATATGATGTCAGCATTCGTGACAATGATACATGTCTATTATTATAATAATATTAAAGACATGATATTGTGTTCACATCCTTGAGTAAAATATTCTATTTACGGAAATTTATTGAAATCTACGAATTTCTTACTAAATATGTCTAATTTTAATTTTAAAAAATGAATATAAAATATGTATGGGAAGCTGTGTTCTCTATTACGGGTCGATAAAAGTTGGTCTTTTCTTAAAAAAACCATAGTATACCGTATCTTTTAAGTCTGTGACAAGAAATGGAAAATTTGAATTTCTGTGTGCATGCTTCAAAATATTTAACCTGTTATACTAGTATTTGTTGATAGAAATAATATTGCATGCTGTTCTTCGAAACAAGTATTTGAAATCAGGAGGTAATTCATTATTTCAGGAAAATTCCCAAACAAATGGAGATCCGAGAACAGTATTGTAGGGAAAACAATACTTGTTTCAAAATGGTATTTTACCATTTCAGTACATTTAATTTTTGTTTACAATATGCCCGTAGATATCTTTTAAATTCAATATTTTAGTTTAAAAACTTTTATACCAATAACATAGATATTATCCGTTATCCGTTGTTAGCATTATTTTTCTTGCATTTTATCCGTGTTCTTATGTTTTATATCATTTATTTCTTGTAGCCTAGATTATTGATTATTTAAAATTTGACATACATTAAACTTTGTTATAAACAGCTGTACAATATTTTCTTTATAAGACACTAGATTTTAGTTATTTTTATCCTCTTTTCATTGTTATACGAAGGTTGTCTCTCTTAATCGTGGATTTTAAATATAGCCTAAAAATGGGATTGATAAATTGATGGATGGATGGATGGATTGATTGAATAATATCCGTAATCTTAGAATGATTCGGAATCATTTTGCCTAAAATTGTTCTTTCTTTTACCAGTTATAGATTTTCAATTATTATTTTTATCCATATTACAAATTATAACATTTTATAATAGCACGATTAACATTGGAACAGGTTTGTATCTTAAACACTTCATGATAACGTAGTAAATGTTAAAATATATATGAGCCGCGCCATGACAAAACCAACATAATGGGTTTGCGACTAGCATGGGTCCAGACCAACCTGCGTATCCGCGCAGTCTGATCAGGATCCATGCTGTTTGTTTACAAACCCTATAACAAGTAGAGAAACTGATAGCGAACAGCATGGATCCTGATCAGACTGCGCGGATGTGCAGGCTGGTCTGGATCCATGCTGGTCGCAAACCCAATATGTTGGTTTTGTCATAGCGCGGCTCAATTATTTACTTTTCATATAGTTCATTTTGTTTGATCAGTGTTTCTTTAAAACTTTGTTGAATTAGTAAGGGATATGGTATAACTAAAAAACAAAATCACCCCTGTTTGAAACATCCTTGCTAGCATATTCTTGATGAAAATTTTCGTAGATTAAATTGATGTCGAAATATATTCGTTTTTGATGCTTAAATGTATATTAAACTGCATTTTCTTAAGCATATCATTTTCAATATTTATACATGGTTTAATTAAAAATAAATAAATAAAAAAATAAAAAAAAATAAAAACACAGACGATTTCCGTATATTTTACTTCATCTGTTTTTTTTCTGTAACTATTCAATACTACATGTATTAGTTTTATATTATTGTTTTATTATGATAATAATAATATTAAGTTTCTTTTTTACATTAACATTTCTTTACTGATAAACGAAAAAGTGCTTAATGCAATTGGAAGCCATGATTTCAAGCACAGCCGCTTTTTATTTGATCACTTTGCTATATTTTGTTTTTAAATTATTCTTTGCAGGATTGCAATGGGTTGCACAGCGATGCACATAACTACACGGTTTATGCCATAAATTCGGACATTAATTCAGAAAAATCACGTATCAACGATTTGTACACTCCAAAATTTGATACCAAAATGTAAAAGCGGTCCAATTATCGCAGCAAAACCGGATTATTACAAAAAAGTGTACCAGTTTTCAAACATACATATATGAATTTGCTATAGTTTTATACTCCTCATCATAAGATAGGATATCATTTAGCATTTAAATTGTTATTTTAATGTCAGGTTCATTTAATCTTAAGAATATAAACACAATATGAAAACTTTTGTGTAGTATTAATTGACTGTTTATTCTATCAAACTGCTGAGTTATGTTTGTTTAATGTTAAATTTGTGTGAACACATATGTCATGCGACATATAATTTTTCCCGTTCGTTTTTATCAGATTGTGATAATTTACGTTGGTTTTATGGAAATACTAGTTATTAATGTATAGATTTATATAAGGCTTATTATTAACCGTTATCCTATTTATATATTTTTGGGGCGACTTTTGAAGGGCATTGTGATAATTGATATTGATTTATGAGAATGAAATATGTTACATAATTTACCTCTTTCGCTCATCCAATAATTTTCTAGCTTTATTTGAGCATTGATTTAGGATGCATGCTTTACCGGATACGCTACCTCAAATCATTTTATAGAAACGAAACTGAATTTGTACGTTTTTAGCATACAACTAAAATTTAATGTATTTTTTAACTTAATTAACTGAATACGCTACCTCAAATGCATTTTTAATTCGTTAGATTTGAACACTGATTTACTTGATATGTTTCATGATTTAGCCAATACGCTAGCTCAAAACACTTTATAGAAACTGAATTATTGCTTTTCATTGCTTGTGTTTGAGCAAAGAACTGAGATTTGAGATTTATGCGACTGATCGCGAGATTTATCGAATATGCTACCTCAAATGCCGTTTTAGATATAGAATTTGTTCTTTTTAGCATACAACTAAAATTTAATGTATTTTTTAACTTAATTAACTGAATACGCTACCTCAAATGCATTTTTAATTCGTTAGATTTGAACACTGATTTACTTGATATGTTTCATGATTTAGCCAATACGCTAGCTCAAAACACTTTATAGAAACTGAATTATTGCTTTTTATTGCTTGTTTTGAGCATAGAACTGAGATTTGAGATTAATGTGACTTACGGCGAAATTTACCGAATATGCTACCTCAAATGCCTTTTTAGATACATAATTTGTGCTTTTTAGCATACAATTCAAATTTTATGGTTTTATTTTAAACTTAATCTACTGAATACGCTACCTCAAACGTCTTTTTATAAACAAAATTTGTGCTTTTTTGATCATAGAATTAAGATTTCAAGAGTTACCGAATACGCTACCTCAAATTCCTATTTAGGTACAGGATTTGTGCTCTTTTAGCATAGAATTATGATTTTCTTGTTTTTGTGACTTGATTTACTGTGTACGCTACCATTTAATAATGCCTTTTAGAAACAAAATTTGTGCTTTTTTGAGCATAGAATTAAGATTTCAAGATTTACCGAATACGCTACCTCAAATTCCTTTTTAGGTACAGGATTTGTGCTCTTTTAGCATAGAATTATGATTTTTCTTGTTTTTGTGACTTGATTTACCGAGTACGCTACCACAAATGCATTTTTAAATACAGAATTTGTGCTTTTTGAGAATAGAATTAACATTTCAAGATTTACCTTATATGCTACCTCAAATGCCTTTTTAGATATAGAATTTGTGCTTTTTAGCATAGAATTATGATTTTATTAGTCCCCTACCGGTTTACCGGAGGGGACTTTAGGTTTACCCTCCGTCCGTCTGTCCGTCCGTCTGTCCGTCCGTCAGTCCGTCCGTCCACAAAACTGGATCCCGCGATAACGCAAAAAGTACTGAAAATATTTATATGAAACTTGAAATATGGATAGATGGCAGATTGGAGATTATGCACGTCTTTCTCTTTTCTTCTTATGTTGAAAATTCTGGTTGCTATGGCAACAAATAGACTGAAAATATGGCAAATTTTAGACATAATCTGGATCCAGTGATACTGCACAAAGTACTGAAAATATTTTTATGAAACTTGGCATATAGATAGATGGCAGTATGGAGATTATGCACGTTTTTTTTTCTTCCTACGTTGAAAATTCTGGTTGCTATGGCAACAAATAGACTGAAAATATGGCAAATTTTAGACATAATCTGGATCCAGTGATACTGCAAAAAGAACTGAAAATATTTTTATGAAACTTGGCATATGGATAGATGGCAGTATGGAGATAATGCATGTCTTTTTCTTTTCTTCCTATCTTAAAAAATTCTGGTTGCTATGGCAACAAATAGACTGAGAATATGGCAAATTTTACACATAACCTGGATCAAGTGATAACTCAAAAAGTAATGAAAATATTTTTATGAAAATTGAAATATGGGTAGATGGCAGTCTGGAGATTATGCACATCTTGTTCTTTTCTTCCTATGTTATTATTATTATTTCTTCCTAAAATTATGGTTGCTATGGCAACAAATAGACTGAATTTCAAGATTTCTGATTCTAGTTTTTACGTATTTTTCACTGTAAGTTCTTTATTTCTAAAGGTATTTTCTTCAAACTTTAAATATAAGTTTCTAGTCATCAACCACATCATATGTGACAAGGTTCACAACTCTAGCACAAAAATAATCAGACTTTCCTCTCTTGAACTTAGAATTTTCATGAAAAAAAAATGTTTTTTTTTTACTCTTTTTTACTTCAAATTCAAAATAAACATTAATTATCAACACCTTCATTACTGATTGTTCTTTGTTACACTATTATCGTGTATGACGTCTTGCATCTTTATTTCAAGACTTATCTCCTTTTTAAGATTTTTTTTTAAATGTTATATTTTGATAACAGGGATGTTTAAAAAAAAACTTTTAGAGTGTCCTTTAGTCCGTCTGTCTGTCTGTACATAAAAACTGTTTCCTGTGATCACTTTTAAAGAACTTTTTCGACAAATTTACTTAAAATAAAGACATAAGTGAATGGCCAATGGCCCTTCAGAATGTTGCTGGGGTTCTAACCGGTAGGGGACTTATGGATTGCTTGCAATACTATGATAATTGCTTGTTGTTTTTGTAACTTGATAACCGAAACCGCTACCTCAAATGCCTTTTTACATACAGAATTTGTGTTTTTTTAGTCTTGTATTAAGATTTCAAGATTTACCAAATACGCTAACTCAAATACCTTTTACATACAAATTTTTTGCTATGTTTTAACATTATTTTATAGTTTATGATACATGTTTAGTGATATACCTCAAATACCTTTTTAATTTGTTATATTTGAACATTGATTTATTTGATATGTTTCAAGATTTACCCAATACGCTACCTCAAATCACTTTAAAGAAACAAATTATTGCTTTTTTATTGCTTTTTATGAGCATAGAACTGAGATTTGAGATTTATGTGACTTATGGCAAGATTTACCGAATACGCTTCCTCAAATGCCTTTTTAGATAAAGACTTTGTACTTTTTAGCATATAATTAAAATTAAATGTATTTTTTAACTTAATTTACTGAAAACGCTACCTTAAATGTCTTTTTAGAAACAAAATTTGTGCTTTTTTGAGCATAGAATTAAGATTTCAAAATTTACCGAATACGCTACCCCAAATGGCTTTTTAGGTACAGGGTTTGTTCTCTTTTAGCATATAATTATGATTTTATTGTTTTTGTAACTTGATTTACCGAGTACGCTACCTAAAATGCCTTTTTAGATACAGAATTTATGCTTTTTTGAGCATAGAGTAAACATTTATGTGACTTTTTACGATATTTACCGAATACGCTACCGCAAATGTCTTTTTAGATGCATAATTTGTGTTTTTTACCATAGAATGTTTAGATTTTTTTTGCAACTTGATTAACCGAATACGCTACCTCAAATGCCTTTTATATACAGATTATTTTCTTTATTTGAACATTTTTGCATAGTTTATGATATATGTTACGTGATATACCGAATACGCTTTCTAATTTGTTATTATTATTTGAACGCCGATTTATAAATTTTTTGATATGTTTCATGTTTTACCGGATACGCTACCTCAAATCACTTTATAGAAACTGAATTATTGCTTTTTTTGAGCATATAACTGAGATTTATGTGACTTATTACAAGATTTACCGAATACGCTACCTCAAATTACTTGTTAGATACAGAATTTGTGCTTTTTGAGCATAGAACATGATTAAACGTGTTTAGTAACGTGATACTCCGAATACGCTACCTCATCTGCATTTTTAGGTACAGATTATGTACTATGGTTGAATATTTATTGATAACTTATTGGATATGTTACTGGTTTACGCTGTCTCCAGTTCTTTTATGGATACAGAATGATAGCCACGTCTTAACATAATACTATTTTGTGATTGCTTTTATTCTTTTGTTTAATTTTGATAAAATATGTAGATTTTATTTCTTTTTTTCAAAATTTATAGCAACTGTTAATCATTTCAACGGACGCTAGATTTGCATTTTGTTTTCTTTCCAAAGGCAAAAAAATAATGCATTTATTGGATATTGGGAATAATTAAACATTTGAGTTAAACAATGCTATATATATCATGAGTGAAAGATATGGTGAGCATTTGCATGGCTCTTAAATGAATATGTAAATATTATTATGAAATATATTATGAAATATATCACGTGTTACTTATTCCTTTGCTCGCGTTATATCAATTTCAACTTTAAAGTGTATAAAGCTTTACCTGATGAAATATTTAATAAAAAACAGCATCAAAATAAAGTTGTTTTCATAACCATATTGTCGGTTTTGAAAGATTTGTAACAAGAATTCTTCGTAATTTCATACACATGAATAGTGTATTAAACAGAATAAAATGTTTCGGAACAAAATATTTCTGCTGCTATTTTAGTAAGTCTGGCGATGATTTTCACATATGCCCACTCTCTTTCAATAAAATATAATGACAATTTCTTTTATTCTATGTATTCTGTAATCATTAAATCACAATAAAAAACAACAGCAAAAATAATTTTACAAATCCACAGACAGCAAATATGTAGCTTTATACACTTTAAACTGAACTCAATTTTTTCAGAAGAAAACAATGTGTTGTGAAAATGAAATCATTTACTCACAAGAAATATTTTACAAATGAGCATTTGCGCTTCCTTTCTGTATGATAAAAAAAAAAGAAACAAGAAAAGAAAAAAAAACAATCTTAACATTTACATATGAACAACTTAGATAACTATATAATAAATACTTGTATGGAACAATTTTTTACAAAGTATAAATAAAACATATTCCCTCAACCATTTAATAATTAAGATATATAAAACATTATCACAGTACATCCACGCTTTATTTTCAAAAGAAAAGTATCAACATTGTCACATAAAATATGCTATTTTTTCTAAATATCTTATTGTAAAACATACTCATTTTGTATAATGTATATTTTTCTTTGCATATTTCTACATTAATTTTCATTGTACGTAATGCATTTTTTTCTAAATTTCTTACTGTTGTAAAACATTAACAATTTTTACATATTTTTCTTTGCATTTTTACATGAAATTTCTAAATACTTAATAAACAGTGTACTAAGTCCATAAAACGACTTGCTTTATGGATTCTTATTTTCTCTATTTTATTACTGAAAATCATAATACCAGGCATATCGCATTATCATTCCGGAAGCAGTTATATGGCACGACTTAATTTGTATATTTGCACAGCTTGAGCGCAAATAACAGCACTGTACCCTATAACCACTTTCGAGACAACATTGTCATTGACTGACTAGTAAATAACATAACAATTTTGTTATTGTAAACTATTCATTCCTTCATCTAGTAAGGAATAGTTTTTTTTACTTCATCACTTTTCAACATAATTAAACTGAAGGCAAACCACTGACTAATTATTTAGTCTCCTTCAGATATGTGTAACTGGGTAGCAGGTATACCCTTCTAAATTCCCCCTCCATCTCTAGTAGTATTATAATAAATATAGACACTACTATCAATGTGTGTGTTGTGTCGAAACATTATTTGTTTATTGTACAGTCATGTTTATATCTCTCTAGACATTATTTGTACATACGAATTTGTGCATGCACTGTCATTGAAAGGATATAACGCCTCAAATGAATAAAACGTGCACATCAAAAATGCCACTGTTAATTGTTGGTAGATTTTGATAAATTTCTTTGTTAAATGTCACAATAAGCTTAAACTTTTAATGTCAGACGTTTCGTGCTTGTAAAGAATAATGTTCTTTCGTTTTAAATTTCAGGCGAAACATTACCTAACAAAAATGTTGGTATATTTTTACATCAATAAAAATGTCTTCTCTATGGTAGAATATGCTAGTTTATTTTTGTTTTCTTAATTTGTAAGCTTGTATAGGTTGTGTACGCCGTCGGGACAATGAGTTTACCTGAAAAACAAATGAAACATCAAGTTCAATATTATTAAGTATACAAAAATTGTAGAATTTATTTCTGTTCAAATGATAAACGCCCAATAAAATCACAAGACATACTATATTGATTTTTATACCGTGGAAACGATTTTGAAACATATTTTGTATTTTAGTCGATCAAAATTATGTTTTGGTATCATTTTATAACAAATTAAATGTTTTATCACAGTGTATAAAGAAGCAATTTAAATTTATTGTACATCGCTAGACTAAATAAATTTGAAATAATTTATAGATAACAATAAAAAGCAGCATTAAAATGGGTAACCGTTTAACATTAGAAATACAGGTCCGTTTATAATGCACTTATCTTATACATATATAATGCCGTGATAAATATAGTTTAAGATATGTAATGTATTAAATTGAATAATGTAACTAAAGGCTACATACTCATCTCCCTCGACTTCAGCGACATCGTCCTTTTGGATTGTGTCATCTGTTGCCGCCTTGAAAATTTAAAACACAATTTTTAAATATCTTGATAATTTAAGTGGGTGCAAAATACAACAATGCAGCAAAGGCGCTCTGGAACCTTTGATAATGTCAAAACAAGTATCTCTGCCATCTAAAATGAAACTATCGTTTACTTCCACAACACAATTAACGATATAAACTCATTTACGAGTATTTTACTGTTTGACTTTTTACCATTTCGATAGCTAAAATGATATTTGTTGCATGAAGTCGAACACATACATAATACATCAGTTTTACATATTATTTCCTTAAGTTGTCCGAGTTAATGTCTATTACAATCATATAATTCAAAATACAAGGCGTACGTTCGTGCGAGTATGTGTCACTCCGTTACACAGACTCTACTTTCTAGATACACTTTATTAACAACTTATATAAGTTTCAGTTTCGGTTTTACATCAAATCTATAAATTGAAATATTAGACCATTAGTAGCTGAATCATGTTATCATTTTGTTAACCAGATAATATTGTACACATAAAAAGCCTAAGAACACCAACCTCTGATATATCTTCATCATTTATGTCTGCCGAAGAGGCCTTCTTTGTATTGAGTTCTCTGAAATATTACATTCATTAGAATAAAAAATGACATCAAAATCAATAAACTAAAGAGATATTAAAAGTTATATCTTTATAATGGAAGAAATTATATATTTGTTCGTTATTTAACTTAAATAGAATATTCACAATTAATATAATCTGTCTTTTTTTTCTTTGAAATTCCAAAATTCAAGAGTAATCTTTTACATACCCTTTATCTGAACATGGAACTAGCCTGAAAAGTAAAGACGTACATGTAGATTTCGTCGAGTTTTAGCTATACTAAAAGACATTTTAAACATAAAATCTCAGCTAACGTGATATCGAATCTGGAGTTATAAAGTTTTTATATTCTAATTCAAGTGCATAGTTGAAAATTATCTGTTTGAGTATGCTTCATACATTTGTATATTAGAAAACCATGACATACTTAGCCTCAGTAACAATGGATGATGCCTCGGAGTTAACCCCACTCCCATCGTTTTCGTTGAGTATCTAAATGCAATTTAAATGTTTAATGTATATTTACAATTTGAAAAATGCAATTTATTTCGTCAGCGGAAATGTATAATTTTAATGTCAAATTTTATAGCACGAGTCGTGACACTATAAAGTAATATAAATATATAATATATAATGAATTCAATAAACAATATCAAAATGGGAAACCGTCAAGGTCTTCCAAAGCAATACCACAAAATAGAAATAAAGTTGCTGCAGGTTCAGTGTTACTGAGCCTTTTCATGGACGGCAAAAATAATTTATCGTCGTTCTTATAATAATCATCATAAATTTTGTTTTTGAAATTTTATATTTGATATTGGTCAATAAGATAATTAAAGGATACCGTTATTTTTTCTAGAAAGCTACATACAACATGATCATATCGCAATTTTTACAGTTTTGTATCATTCTAACAAAATAAACCCTCAGTGATAGCAAAGTAAAACATATCGCAATTGGTACTATGTTACCTCCTCAGGATCTTTTTCTAATGGTATCTCGTAAATATCTCTGAAATACAGAGAAAGGAAATTAAACCTTATTAGGTAAAATCAAATACATTTATTTAAAATACAATTCAAAGAGTTGTTATACAATGTAAATTTGAGAAAAAAATATGAATCACTTTGATTATGCTGTGTAAGAGATTTTGAACTAGTTTAAACAATTGATAGATATAGCATTTACACAGAAAATTACATGATATTTAATTACATATATATGAAAAAGTACTTACTCTTCTTCATTAACTGTTACTCCTCCATTGTCAGACCCCTACAAAATTAAATGTGTATATTGGTGGTGATTGAGTATTTTAAAATATTTGTCTGTGTAACAAATAACTTATGCAGCAATATTATTTTCAAACGAGAGTTTATATATTTGCAAACAACATGTGATAGTGCACCAGGTTTTGCAATACGGGAGGGCAAAAGAAAAACAACTGCATTTCTTAAAACAATCATTTTGCGCTGTATTGTTAACTTTTCAGGAAACGATAATGAGTTTGAAAGGAGTAAAAGATAACCAAGACGCTCCTCGGAGACATACTAAAATATATAAAGACAAAAGGTTCAGATGTCTTGTACGGTCGAGCATTATAGCTTTCTTTCAATTATGCAAATTACCTTACATCTCTTTATATCTATATATTTTACATCAAAAATACAATTTACAAGCATCAAAATGCCTTACCTCTTTTGTCGTATCAGTGTTTGTTGGTGCTTGATCATCCGCATTATCACTGAAATATTTAGCATTTTACACTTATCCCGAACTAATTTACATCTTTTGACTTAAAATAACATAAAATAACTAAAGTTTAAAAAGGCAGAAACGGAATTATAAAAAGGTTAATCTATTGTTCATTATTTTTTATTAATTAATTAATTAATTTTGAGGGGATACGGGTTTGGGTTTCACGTCGAACAAGCACTGTAAACGATATATATTAAAACCATTATGTAAAAATCATAAAACTCAAGACAGCCATTTTTTGAAGGAGGACAAATTCATGCGTTACTGAGGCATTATGTGCATTCAAATGAAAGTATGTAAAATGTATGGATATTTACTTTTTATCCGAACAAGGCACCAGTCTGAAAGAGAAAACAACATTCATAAGTAAATTAAATATCGAACAGTTCAGCAAGTAAAAAAATAACGATGAAGTTTAAACTTCAGAAAAAAGAAATAAATGATCAAATGTGCATTACACATTCATGTGCAAAATATTGCATTTGAAAATAAAACAAGAATGCTTGTGAGACATCACAACAATCTCAAAATTGTTGCTTTGCATTAATGACATTAAAATAAATTATAAAATTACAACGCAATCAGGACTGTTGTATCTGTTTGAACACAAACTAGGAATTCAACAGTTTCGTTTCAACGAATGTAAGGTAGCAACGATCACAAACAATGAATAAAAACTTTGATAAATATCGTTTCTTAAGGACTGACATTGGAAGTATCAACAAACTATACAATGACTTACTCTGCTGTTGTTACTTTAACTGTGTCATTACTGGCTTCTTCAGTACCATCTGTAGCCTGTTAAATAATTAAAATAAAGTTCTGGCATGATTTGAATATTTACAATAATTTCTTAATTATTTTGTTGATAAAGTTTCAATATTTCTGTTAATATGTATAGATACGAGTCTTATTTCTTACCAAATTAGAATCGTACGCGAGGATGCAAAACTGACAAGAAAAAAACTCCAACACAACACTGAGATAAGATAAGTGGTTGTTTTTTACAAGTTTTATAGTCTTTTATAATGTGAATTTGACTAAGTAATAAAGAGGTATGAATTTTCTTTACCTTATCTGGACCTAGTATATCTGAATCCGTTGAAACTGGTATAGTGTAAACGTCTCTGCAAAATGAAAAAGAAAACTGAATGTAAACGTTGTAGTAAGGTTCACCATTCTTCAAATAAAATGCATTTACAGTAAACTTTATTCCGATTTATTTATATGAAATATTCTAATATGGTTCGAGAATAGAGGATTCTATGAATACGTCTATTCTTTGTGTTGTCAAGATATAATAATCACTAATGCTTACCCATCATCTGAACAAGGAACTAATCTGAAATAATAATAATAATAATTATAATAATAATGTTTATATAGAAACCCATATTAAGTAAAAACATGAAGTATGTTTATTTTGTTACATATTTAAGACATCTTACTCGTGATTATATATTTATGTCACAAGACATTTTTGTAACTGGTGTTTTGTCATGAATATTTTGCCATTCAAAGCGATTTAACAAAACAAAGCTATGAGGTAAAATATCATTTTTGATTTTACTCAGTCTCTGCACAGTTCTGGTGAATACCAAATGAAGACTTAAATAAGGCTGAAACTTGATTTATAAATCAAACAAACATCAATTCAACCCTACTTTTGCTGTTTTGTACTACTTAAAACCCTGTAAATATAACACTGTCCATGCCTAAGATACAATCAGAAATAGATTGTTAATGAAATTGAAATACTGAGTTCATTTTAAAAGTAAAGTAGCTTTTAAGAATGGAACAAAACAGCTATTATATTAATTTATTAATGGCAGACTTAACACTTAAAGATTCTGCTTGATAAATGAAATTTTCAGAAATTCTCAGCAAATGTAATACGTGATTCAGTTACTCAACGACTCCTGGGTCAAGAGAACATGATAAAGTATTCACAGTATGGTCATGCATTGCTTTTACATCAATTATATCAGCGAACCTGGAATGATGCATGTCACTTGAGATAATGTGTGTCTATAATATATGAGCCGTGTCATGACAAAACCAACATAATGGGTTTGCGACCAGCATGGATCCAGACAAGCCTGCGCATCTGCGCAGTCTGATCAGGATCCATGCTGTTCGCTATCAGTTTCTCTACTTGTTATAGGGTTTGTAAGCGAACATCATGGATCCTGATCAGACTGCGCAGGCTGGTCTGGATCCATGCTGGTCGCAAATCCATTACGTTGGTTTTGTCGTGACGCGGCTCATATGTTTATATACATTCCCCAATGGTAGACATAATTTAAACTTTATGTGTTGGTATAGACGCGCCGTTCTGTTATGGCATAATTCATGATTACGGCAGATACTGACTATTACAGGAGAACAGGAGAAGAAAAAAAACTGTTCAGTCTAAAGAAGTGTGAAAGAAAGTATCTCAAACTTTAGTTAATGAATACATACTTAGCTTCATTTATCTCAACAGTGCCATTGTTCTCATTGGTTACCTAGAAATTATACACCACAAATTAAATACATATTTTATTTTAATATCAATTAATCGATGTTTATATAAAACATAATTTTAAGTAACTTTACAAAATGTCAATAAAAATTACTACACATGTAGTTTGTTCTTTAAAAACATGTCTGCAGAAATGATCGTTAAAAAAATCTCATAAACATATTTTTATTAAATGAAAAAATTAAAGGCTGAAGATTATTTAAAAGGCAAATCAATAAACTTGTATTTAACGCTTTGATATTATATTTTGACGTTTTGAGTAAAAATACCTCAGTTAAAAAAACTTTCTGATTTTATTTGACTGAGTTTGTACATGTTGTATATTAGATGCTCTCTCTTTGAACGATTGATATTTTCATCTGCGTAAATAATGCGATTTGAATTTTATTAATATATATTCACTTACTGTGTCAGGACTGTCAAGTGGTATATTTAAAACTTCTCTGAAACATAATATTCGTTTAATTAAACATATAAAGTAGAGAAATGAAGTAATTTCAAAGACGAAATAATAATTATAATGATGATAATAATACAAAAATAACAAAATAATACGATTAGAAACTACAGCATTGACTATATTGCATACACTAGGCATTTGATTAGTTTTTTCCTATTTTTCCATTCATGATAAGTGTATAGAATGTTCAATAATATTATCTGGATGTGTAAACTTCCCTTGAACATGTTAGTATTACTATGAAAATATTATTATAATTAAAAAATCTATTCGCCATTGATCAGATTACAAAGAGGTTGTAGAATATTTAAAATGCTTCTAATCCTTTATTTTGTGTCATTATTTTTTACATTATTTATTTATATATTTATTCCGTTTTTGAAAATGACAAAGTTCTTGCTTACTGTTGTTCATCATCAGGACATGGAATAAACCTGTAATATACAACATGCTTAAATGACAAAATATATCAACATTGTTCTGCTCACTAGGGAGATACTTATATTTGGTCGAGCATCTAGCTTGACACACACACCTTCCTTTTTAGCTAGGTACAAGTAAAAAAAATCCCGTACTTAATAAAACATTGTCAAATAATCTTTTCACTTTAAATTATTTATTAGTTGCTGATGATTATTAAGGCGTTTTATCACATAAACCGCGGCGCAGGAGTGTAATAAAGCCATGTAATAAAAACGATATTACACTAGTGTAATAACACTTTGACGTGACGTCATTTGCGCTATATAGAAACATAGCGTTAAAGCGCGCTAATGTTAGCGTTACACTGTAGGCGCGTCATTAAAAAATTACTCATTTTAACAGTTTACTGGTCTTATTTTATATATGTGATAAATAGAATATTATATTCGTGTAGATTCAATACTAAATTTATTGAACTCGTTTAATAAAACAATATTATGCTCGCCAGAGGCTCGCATAATATGATTTTATTCAACTCGTTCAATAAATTCAGTATTAAACTACACTCATTTAATATCCTCTATTTATAAGAGCGTCATATTGTTTCTCATTAACTGATTGTTTCGGATTGTTTTCATTGGTTTTTGTTTAGTACAGTTTACATTGTAACGTAGGACCGTACGGATACATTTAAACGAGATTTTTGTACGCAGGTGTATACACAAAATACAAAATATAGTTATAAGGTATGAGTAGTGGCTATTATTCAGATAATGTAGGTACATGTATAAAGTATATAAAAGGTAAGAAATTCATACTCAGCCTCTGTAATCACAACAGATTTGTCACTGCCATCGGTTGCCTAAAATAAATAGTGGAAAAAACTAAAAAAAAAATGTTATCTTAAGACGGTATCAGAAATTATAAAATACTTTTGAGTAGTTTATTTTTATATTATGGGCGTTATTCATAATGATATATTCAAAATAAAGTACTTATTTGCCATTTTAATGCAAATAGTTGGCTTGATGACGAAAAGATGATAAATGAATATAGTAAGTATATTTCTAAGCTAATTTTTGATAATACAAGATGGTTTCATTGTATTTACATCAATTATCTTGATGAACATTTTACCAAAATACATAGAAAATAATTACTTGATTTGAATATTACAGTTTTATTTCAAAACGGATATTGATTGTATTATCACCAAACCCCCCCCCCCCCCAAAAAAAAAAACAAAAAAAAACAACAACAACAAAACTTACTTTGTCGGGTCCGATTATTTTGTCAGAAGTTATAGGAATCTTTAGTGCGTTTCTAAAAATAATTGTAAATATTCAAGAAACATCAGTCAAAAATGCTATTTGGTATTATGTTATTATTTTTATTAGTTTTCTGTCTAAAATTGCTATAAAACATGGTTTTATAGCTTTTTTAAAGATGGTATCAATTTATTAAACATAATTAAAAAGAGTTTCGATTAGATCTAATAAACTATCCTTTACTACTATTACTTTATTTGAGTTAATTTAGAACCATTCGTGTCTTATATTTCGAATAAAATTTGTTCTTTTTACCTGTCATCATCAGGGCACGGGATTAACCTGAAAATTACAATAAGTGAAGGTATATTAGCTTTAAATTTAAAACTATAATGAAACGCAAAAAATAAAACACACACACACAAAAAAAACAACAAGAACAAACAAACAAAATAAAAAAGTCTTTAAACAAAGTTATAGAAAAACCTTTTATTTTAAAATGCTAGATTAAAAAAACCCTTTTTAATACGTTGAAAAAGTTTAAAATAAACTTTTAAAAAAAATATAAATTAATTTTTTAAAAGTATTAAAAATTAGCTTATAAGTTGCGTTATAAAAATATGTTAAATTATCTCTTGAAAAGAATTAAAAATTAAAAAAAATTTCTTAACAACATATCTGTTTCGGAGAAATTTTATAAAACTGCAGACCAGAAAAAAGCTAAATGTGAACAAAAAATTGGGGATAGAGCCTTGTTTTTTTTTTTCAAATTTAATTGATTTTTTTTTCAGTTGAAATTTGTATACCATACATTGAAAATAATGTTTTTTTTTTCATGGAAAAGAGGAACTAAATTGATATTTTGGGGACAAAAAAAATTCTGTTTTTTTATAAAGGGGGGGTTATAAATTTTTAAAAATTATTTTCTGTAAACAAAAAATCTCTCAAGTGAGATATACCTTTAACTAAGAATTCGATTATGAATTTAATCAATGAGTTAATATTTATGTAATAAATTAGGATAAGGCTTTATCATTGTTATATAATATATTTTCATATATCTATTAAATTGTTCTTCAGATGAAAGCACTAACAAACAAGGGATATAATACTTACTTAGCTTCTGTTATCTTTACTATCTTATCGTCACCATCGGTTACCTGGATCAAAATAAATCACGACATTTATCATTAAGCATTCCCAACATTAATAAACACTGAGGATATTAACCTTTAACCTGCTGAATTGCGAAATGGTTTTGCCCAGCTTTGAAACTGTGAAAGTCCATTCAAAGTTTAAGAGATGGGATTTCAGTATCAAAATACAAACAGATGAGCTACCAACAGCAAAAAGCCTGGCTAGACTGCACAGCCGACTTAGCTCTGAACAAGTGGCAAAGGCCAATCACTTCAAATTCCGACAGATTAAGGATGGAAAAAAAATTAAAAAAATAACTTTGCAAAATATAAAGCTTAGAGTGGTACATTGATTAAACAAAATTAAATGTAAGGTTTATTGAACATTAAGAATTGATAAAAAGGGACTCTTACCTTGTCGGGTTCTATGTCGTCGTCTGTTGGTATCTTGTAGCTCTTTCTAAAATTCGGTAAATAATACAAATATAATGATAAGAAGGTTGCAAGTAGTTGGTTTATTTCATATTGTTTGGAAAAATTGAACTGGGACTGAGATTTTTTTCGGAATCATTTTCGTTAGTGTCCGTGATTTCTTCTGATTTAAATAATTACTTTAATGACAGTATTGTTATCAATCATCCGTAATTTCCATAGGAATCAGTGGCCTTGGTGTTTTCTTTTTGCGTTCACAAACAAGGTTCGAATTATTGTTGGGTTGATTTTTTATAATAAATATTTTTCTTTTTTTTCATTATTTTATAGTGCGCAAGTTTTATTCTCAAATGGTTTAAAACGCTGGCGGTTTTAGACTTGTGTTTTCCTGTTTTTGAAGGATTCGATGTTTTCTTACAAGATTACAAGATATGTTAGAGATCATATTTACATACAATTATCGAGAAAACCGTCTAAAATATTCCATATTCTTTAAATAAAACCGTGCAATTAAATGACAAAACATAAAGATCAATTTCTTTAAAAACGAAATACTTATTCAAAGATAAAAAAACTGCTTTTTTTCGTTACTATTCACTTTTCACTTTAATATTCAGTTTAACTGAATCTGAACTATAGATACACATAGGTTGAAAAATAAATGGAAATGAATTCTGTAAAGTACAAAATGTTGATATATATCAATGCAAATGTTATATGAAGAATGACATTTAAGTGAATATAATCATTATTAAGACGGAAATAGCGAATTTCAATTAAAATATTGTGGTTTTTTTTATTGATTAAAACAATCAAAACAAACGACAGAGAAAAGTGTATACCTTTCGCTTGAACATGGTACTAATCTGCAAAGAGGAAAACAAAAACGTATTGCATTAAACGTTTTTTATAAATCGGCATATCTTAATTTCTCTTTGATTCGTACGTATGTTAGTAACTATTATTTCTCTACATTTACAAAATTCGGTTCTAAGATTCATTAATGTACTCTAAAAAAATAAAGATATTCTTTAAAGTTTGTTATACCCGATAATTCACACAATGAAAGCAGATGTAAGGCTGCTTGTTTGTCATATTCGGTATTTACATGATTGAAGCAGAAGCATAATTGATTGTGTTAGATTGTAATACTTACGAAGCCTCTATAACTTGAGCTTGGTTCTGTAGAATAACAAATTATATTCCATATATTAATAAGGTTCATATTGTTTGGCATAATATTTTTCCGGAATCACTTTGTTAGTTTCCGTTAGTGACCGTGATTTCTTCAAAATATACTCAATCTTAATACTCAATTTTTAAAGAACAATTTTTGAAGTCAATAGTATATTGCTTGGTTATTTCAAGAAAACATCGATAACTTTAAAGCAGCATGCCTCCAGATTCAAACCAATGTCATGAAAATTTTAAAAGTATTTAAAAATAAAATATTGTGAAATGAACAAAGAAAGTATCTTAGACATTGTAAACTGCACTTGCTATCATGTTGATTACCAAAAAGACTTTCAGAATTCAGTGTATTTTTTGTACTAGACTAATATAAACTCACCTTAGAAATGTCCTTGATGTCTATTGGTATTTCGTATACGGTTCTGAAATATTCAATAATGCATTTAAGAACGCAACAATGTTATTTTAAAATTAAACTCTTAACACATTTGAGCCGCGGCACGACAAAACCAACATAGTGCGTTTGCGACCAGCATGGATCCAAACAAGCATGCGCCTCCGCGCAGTCTGATCAGGATCCATGCTGTTTGCTATCAGTTTCTCTACTTGTTATAGGGTTTGTAAGCGAACAGCATGGATCCTGATTAGACTGTGCGTATACGCAGGCTGGTCTGGATCCATGCTGGTCGCAAATGCATTATGTACATGGCATTTAAAACAGGTGGTCTTTATTTTGAAGAATATCTAACTTTCTTCTATTTAATCAATGAAGGTTTGGTTTAAACATATTTATTTTTTCATCATGTTACAATATTCACATCAAACACAAAATTTATACAAAATCATGATAAATTGGATTGAACTGGAAGATGATTTAATAAATTGTTACATCCAAGATAAAATATATTAACATTATTATTATTAGGAAAATAAGACAAAATTAGAACAAAACAATCGAAAAAAAAATAGAAAGAAAAACATAAAGAAGTGTAAAGAAGTTTAAATTAGGAATGAAATTCGAGTAAAGAAGAAAATATGAGAAAATTTAAAGATATAAAGAAGTGTGAAGCTATAGAATTGGGCGAACTGCAGAATGACACATTCATAAAGATGATGGACCTTTTCAGATCAGTCAAAACGTTTAGACTTTTCAATATAAGTGTGAACAGCTTTGAATATACTTTCATTCTCTCCAACTGATAAAGATGTGTTTCCTGAAATAATGGTTTTAAGAGAAACAATACAATAAGTATTGATAACATTTATCAAGGAAGGTCTGATATTATCATACTGCCTACAATGCAAGAAGAAGTGAGAGGCTGTTTCGCGTAATCCACAGGTACAAAGAGGTGATGGGATGATATTTTTGGAAAATAGGTCATCTGCAAGTAAGCTACAATTTGTACGAATACGGGCGTGAATAATTTGATTTTTACGTTTTCCAAAGTAGAAATATTGCGGTACAGTTTTTGTTTGTTTAAACAATTCTTTCTTAAAAGTTGAAACTGTTGCTGCATTTCTAAGAGATAAAGGAAGTTCATTAAAGGCTCTAGTTGTTGCAGGGAGAAATGAGTCATAGGACAGCGATGTTCTAGCTCTTGGTGTTCTACGATCTTCACGGTTACGGAGGAGATAATTTTCGTTATCAACTAATGGCGGACATAAATCTGAAAGATAAGATGGCGTTAGGTTGGACTTCATTTTGTAGAAAAGGAGTAGCTTATGTTTCTGACGTCTGGATTCTAAAGTGTCCCAACCAACTTCATCAAGAAGCTTTTGCAAAGAGACTAGTTTAGTTGCACCTGTAACAATACGGGCAGCCTCATACTGGACATTTTCAAGTGCGGTTTTTTGCTCGAGTGTACAATTGTCAAAAACTATATCACCATATTCTAATATTGGCCGAATAAATGAAATGTATATAGTTTGTAGCGATTGTCGGTCAAGAGTGAACTTAAGCTTCCGCATTATATTTATGCGCTGATAAGCTTTTCCAAGTACATAATCAATATGAGTATTCCATTTCAAATTATTTGCAAAAATAAGACCTAAATGTTTGTGGCTAGATACCTCCTGAATTTCAACATTGTTCATAAATACGTGAGGATGATTTGGGGTGTTTGGTTTACGAGAAATGATTAGAGATTCTGTTTTCTTAGGGTTGAATTTCACTAGCCACTTTGAGGCCCATCTTGATATTGTTTGTAAGTCAGCGTTCAAAGTTTCGGCAGCACTTACTGGATCTTCGACTGTAATGTAAAGACTGGTATCATCAGCGAACAGGCGTATATTAGCTCTTATGTCGGCAACAATATCATTGATAAAAATGAGAAAAAGAAGGGGGCCCAAGATGGACCCTTGAGGTACACCTGCTCTGATATAATTCCACCTTGATGTTGCACCTGGAACAACAACCCTTTGTTTTCTGTTCGACAGATAAGAGGAGAACCAACCTATAAGATTTCCTTTAATACCAAAACTTTTCAATTTATGTAAGAGGCCTTTATGCCAAACCCTATCAAAAGCTTTGCTGATGTCGCAAAATACTGCTCGGACCTCTTTTCCAGAGTCAATTGCCTCAGTAAAGAAATTATACAAGAAAGTAAGCTGATTTACGGTTGAATCGCCGGGGACAAAACCTGACTGAAAAGGTGTTAAAAGGTTATGTGATAGAATATGGTTATAAATGTATTTAAAAACAATTCTTTCAAAGACCTTCCCTGTTGTACATAAAAGAGATACAGGACGGTAATTCCCAGGTAAAGATCGATCTCCGGATTTGAAAATTGGAGTGACATTGGCTTCTTTCCACGCTTGAGGATATCTAGATGTGCGAAGAGACTGATTGAATAGATCTGAAAAAGGAATAGACAATTCTTTGGAAAGTTCTTTTAGAACCCTGTTGTTAATTCCATCAGGGCCCGATGCTTTACCTAAAGTAAGCGTTTGTAGTATTGACTCTACTTCGGTTGCTGACGTAACAATTGAATCTAATTTATGAGGGGAAAGCTCTTCTTCTTCAATAATCTGTGTAGGGTTTACATCTAAAATGGTTTGATCACGGAAATAATTGTTAAGAATATCAGCTTTACACTGTTCATCTTCAAATAGATCGTCACCGTCTTGCAACGGCGGTATTGTTGAAGAGCCATTTGATGGTTTTATAAAAGATTTTAGACAAGACCACCAAGACATAGTTGACCTAGATGTAGTTTGAAGGTTTGCAGCAAGTTTTTGGATGTGATCATCTTTAGCCTTTCTTATATCTGAAATTAATTGATTACGCAGAGATCTAAATTTTGTCCAGTCAGCTGCATTGTTTGTTCGTTTCGCTTTTCTGTATGCTCTGCGTCTACGTCGTATTTGGAATTTTAAGTATGATGTTATCCATGGAGGGTCACTTGGACGAACTGTTATTTGTTTATTTGGAATACAAGATTTCGAACATTTTAAAATGACATCAGAAATATTATTGGCATATGTATCAATGTTTGTGTCTTTCAGTTCTTCCCAGTTGACAGCTGCAACTTTCTCTCTAAGGAGCTGATAATTACCTTTGTCAAAAAGCCAGATATGTCGTTTAAAAGACGCCATCTTAGGTTTCTTAAGAGTAAGAAAACCATATACAGGGCAATGATAACGTATTGTTTGATCAAAACAAGGGTCACTTACTCCTGAGTAAATAATGAGAGAAGGATTTGATGTAAGTATAAGATCAATGAGAGAAGATGAATGTTCTGTAAAGTGAGTTGGGTCTTGTATGCATTGAGAAAGAGAGAATTGTTGACACAAGGTTTTTATTTTTGTTGCTAAGACTGGATTCAGCATGTTTATATTGAAATCACCAGTTATGATGATATCCTTAATGCCTGTATCCACTGCAAGATGTATCGAGTCCTCAATACAATTGTGTGTGTAAGCTGTTGTGTTCGGATGTCTGTAGAATACTCCAAAAAGTATGTGTCTCGTAGCAGTAACAAGTTCAATCCAGATAGACTCGACACCAGGGATTTCTAGATCATGTCGACGCTTGTAGTGAATATTATGTTTTACATATAAGAGTACACCACCATGGCTGTCACCAGGTCTGTCTCTTCTTTCTGGAACTTGAAAGGAATTAAGCGAGAGAGTTGAGGAATCAATTGAATCGTTCAGCCAGGTTTCAGAAAACGAAAGAATATCAAAGTCTTTGAATTCAGCAAATATGTTGTCAAGTTTGTTTTTTATACTTTGTACATTGTAATGCATAAATGACAGGTACATAGATAAATCTATTGTGTCTGTTGAGGATATGGAAGAGGTAGAACTTGACCTTGTTGACACTGGTCCTGGGTTTGGATGAACATCTCCAGATAAACTGACTAATAAAATTAGAAAAACAAGCAGTCTTGTTGTAGGAAAGAAAACCGTATATATGACGAAGTAGGAAAACAACACATTTGACATTTGTTTATCAGATAACGGACATCTACGCTTGCTGTATGTATGCCTGTAAGGCACCGTATCGATGGAATCCCAGATAAATTTCAGCAATGAAACCAAAGAGAGTATAGAAAAAAAACAAATAAACGAAAACCATCACCGATAAAGTCAAACGCCATCTAGATCTGAGTCTGAAAACCTTCATGACGACGGGCTTTGTTTCATTTACTATCATTATGTTATTCCTTGCTCACCTAATAAATGTCTTAAGACGGTCGTCAAGAAGTAAAGATCCATAATCAGAAATAATTCAGTATGACAGTCGCAGTACGCTCCAATTGAATGAAAAGATAGAACTAGAAAACAGACAGAACAAAAAGAGAAAAGAATAAGCATAAGTTGCATGATTATAACATAGTGGAAGATGTGGAATAGGACAACATATGGTTCTTTGTTATATTATTACAAATCATATGAGACGACGAAGCAACTTTTACTACACGTTTTACTAATTTCTAACCAAGGTTTCAGAAATAGTGTGTGTACTTGAATTAATATTGGAAAAAAATCCAAAGACACCAAAAAAATTGAGCTTGTAAAAAGTTCTATGGAAAAAGACAATTTTAAGAAAAATAAAAAATAAACAATATTGAACCAATTTTAGACATTTCCAAACTTCGCTCCAACGTGCTAACTAAAATTCGTTTTAAACATATTGCAAAATTATTATACATTCACAAACTGTTCAATATTCACTTTAAAATCAATATTCCGATTCAAATTTTTAACTGATATGTAATATACATGTGCTTTTAAATTTACTGCAAATTTTCATTTTAATAACGTTTATTTATCTTAAGATCCACTACAGCGTAACAGTTAAAAAAATAATTCAGAAAAATATATCTAATAATACAATAAAATATTTCCTATAAACATAAACTTGTTAAAGCTGTCGACTTATTAAACATATACATTGTACTAATACTTTAAATTTGAAGTATTTAATGAAGGTTTGACGAAGAGTGGTATTTATTAACAGGTTGATATTTATTCAGAAGTGGGTTTTAATTAAGGTTTGACTGTACAATTTCTTTAGAACTTTATCTATACTAAGACCATATCATTATAGTAGGGATTTGTATCAATAATTTAATTCAAGATTCATTATGTACACATAAATATACATACTCAGTTACCACTGTCGCTTCCACGACAGCAACTTTTCCATCAGGCAACTGTAAAAAGCAAAAAATAAAAAGATAAAAAACACAAATACATGTATGTATAAACATACATAGCAAAATTCTTCATGTGTCAACAATTTATCTTTTTAAAGTCTAGTAGAAATTAACCTAGTGGCTATATGCAAACTTAGTTGTTTTTTTTAAGAAAATGTCAAAATTATGGATTTAATTTAGCACTTAACATATCTTAGGGTAGAGAGTTAAAGTTAAACTTCTTTATTAAGTACCTAAATTTAACTATGTTGTTGTTTTTTGTCACATATATCGAATGCAATTATGAATTGTAATCACCTTTGAATTATATATATATATCATCATGAAATATATATCATCGTGAAATCAAAATATAGCAAGGGTACGCAACTTATTGAAGGAAAATACTGCAAAGATCATTAGTAAAAATTATAAAGATACATTATTATGATAATAATTACTAAAATTACAATCATTTATCAATTTGCAACAAAATTGTCGCCTTTGGTTAAAGAAACTTAAAATTTGTAATCTCATTAAAACTAACCTTTCTTATTGGTACAACAATGTCATTTGTCAGTTGAATTTCGTTTATTATCCTGAAAAATGAATAACTGGTGTTAGTTTTTTTAAGTTATGATATTATTATTGTATTGGATAATATCAAAAATTAAATACAAAAAAAAATCTTCTCAGTATTTGCTCTAAAAAGTAAAATAAAAACGGAAGCATATGAACGGAATCTTTTTTATACTTTTTTCACGACAAAAAAGGAACGAAATCGAAATTTACGTAGAGAATGTTCGTGTTTTTCTCTTTAAATACATGTTTTTTTTTTCATTGAGTGGTATGAAAATAAATATTTCATGAATTGCGGTAGCCACGAGTGAAATATGATAATTTTCCTGCCACAAGATGAAAACAAATCATGTATTTATAGAAAAAACTTGAAAATTCTGTTTATTATATAAATTAGTCTTTTATTTGTCATTACAATTTGAAAGATTTTCCATAAATTCTGTGTACTGGCAGAATTTAAAAGAAAGTAGACCAGCAAGACACCAGCAAAATACGGAAAAAGTGTTTCACTGCAGTGAAAAATAAATTTTGACAGTGAAAATACGAAAAATGAAAATACGCATTTTATTACATCAATTTATCATTTATAATTATATAATAAAAATAAATATTTCAGTAACATAAACATACTCTCTTTTAACAAAAAGAAACATGTCTTATATTTTGCCCGTTTTAGTAATAATTGTCAATAATCTAAAATTATATTGAAAACATAAAATGTTTGCAGTTTTAACTTAATAAAAACATTTACGTACTGTGCCAAGATAACAAGATGTCCATGTCTACGTTTTTCGCAGCAACATGTATCTGTGGTTGTTGTTGGAACAGAGCTTGTTGTAAAGGATGTCGTTGTTGTAGTTAAAGTAGTAGTAATTGTAGACGTAGATGATGTTGTTGTCGGTGTTGTTGTTAAAGTAGTAGAAGATGTTGTTGAAGTAGTTGAAGATGAAGTTGACGTTGTAGTTGATGAGGTAGAAGAAGATGTTACTGATGTAGTTGAAGATGTAGTTGACGTCGAAGTTGTTGAGGTAGAAGATGTAGTTGAAGTAGTTGAAGATGTTGTTGACGTCGAAGTTGTTGAGGAAGTAGAAGATGTTGTTGATGTAGTTGAAGATGTTGTTGACGTCGAAGTTGTTGAGGAAGTAGAGGATGTTGTTGATGTAGTTGAAGATGTAGTTGACGTTGAAGTGGTTGAGGTAGAAGAAGATGTAGTTGAAGTAGTTGAAGATGTTGTTGACGTCGAAGTTGTTGAGGAAGTAGAGGATGTTGTTGATGTAGTTGAAGATGTAGTTGTCGTCGAAGTTGTTGAGGTAGAAGAAGATGTAGTTAAAGTAGTTGAAGATGTTGTTGACGTCGAAGTTGTTGAGGAAGTAGAGGATGTTGTTGATGTAGTTGAAGATGTAGTTGACGTTGAAGTTGTTGAAGTAGTAGAAGGTGTAGTTGACGTCAAAGTTGTTGAGGATGTGGTTGATGTTGTTGATGCAGTTGAAGATGTAGTTGACGTTGAAGTTGTTGAAGTAGTAGAAGATGTAGTTGAAGATGTTGTTGATGTCGAAGTTGTTGAGGAAGTAGATGATGTTGATGTAGTTGAAGATGTAGTTGACGTCGAAGTTGTTGAAGTACTAGGTGATGTTGTTGAAGTAGTTAAAGATGAAGTTGACGTCGAAGTTGTTGAAGTGGTAGTAGGTGTTGTTGAAGTAGTCACAGATGTAGTTGACGTTAAAGTTGTTGACGTAGTAGAAGAAGTTGTTGAAGAAGTAGAAGATGTTGTTGATGTAGTTGAAGATGAAGTCGTTGATGTTTTAGCAGAGGTTGATGTGGTGGAGGATGAAGAAAGTGTTGAACTTGTTGATATAGTTGTGGTTGTAGTTATCTGGAATAAAGATTTAAGAAATTGGTATATACATTTTAGTTGCATGTTTAGAGTACTATTGAAAAGTTTATTTAGTTTTACGTATTTTCATTCTCTAATTCAAACTTTTATCATCAAAATGTATCATATTGTTTGCATATTGAAGTAATAATAGAGACTAAACATTCATTACTACCTTTGATATTTAAAAAAAACTTTGAAAGAAAACACCGTTAAGTTCGTAAAAACGGAAATGGCATATTTACTAACAGAATCTTAAATATGAGTAAACTATTTTCATTTATATGCGCTTTTTTTTTATAATTTCCGAGAAATCATCTTTCATTTTATTTTGGCAATTAGCATACTTTCATTAAGATATTGTTCATTTTTCAAAATATATTGTTTTAAATATTTAATCAATGATACATGCGTTTTAAGTGGATAATGATAAAATTGTGGTGGTACAGAGCATATAAATTATCAAGAATTACAAAGTTAGACTATGAAATATCTTTTGTATATTCAACCTTTTCGAGGTAAGAGTATTTATAGGCATACAATGTATGTATACATTGCACTTCCAGAAAATATTCTAACGGTGCATTTTAAGAAGCATCAAAAAGCAAATAGAATCTAGCCGGAATAAACAATACAATGTTCTACCCTGTTAAAAATGCATAGTTAGCCTAATAAAGATCTGTTCATATAATTTTAGAATAACCTATATCAGTGTCAATTGTAAGTTTAAATCCTTTATTTGTCTGCGATGTCATTCTTTTAAAAAACAATAAAAAGGAAATAAAACATTTTTCCCCAGACATTGCGGTTACATTAACTTTAAGAAGTATTATTTCATAGGACACTAAAACCCATCGAAATCATGCATAGATCTGTAGAAAAGTTTAATTTACAAATCATAATTATAAGTTGTGACAAGTTATGTCGTTGAAAACGTTTTCATATGAAACCGCAACATATTCAGGGACTTTGATTAAAAATGTTTACATTCAATAAAGTTAATCCAGCCACATAACAAATAAGAAAATCACTAATGAAATTATATCAACCAAAAACAAATTACCTGTATAATAGATAGAGAAGCAGAAGACAACGAAGCTGGAAAGAATGATGATCCTGTGACTGGAAACATTGTTGAGGATATAAACATTGTACTTTGTTTCGGTTTAGTAGTTGTTGTTGTCTCGGGAGCTGATGTAGTTGAGCTAGATGTTCTTTTAGATGTCGAAGAGCCTGAAGTTGGTTTGGTTGATGTAAACGTACTTGGTGATGTGATGCGGGAACTCCGCCTCGTCGTGATAACGGGCAATGTAGGTGTTGTGAAGTCAGTTGAATAAAATCTTGATGTAACAGGAACTATATCAGTTGTTAAAGTTGAATAAAAGGATGTGGTTGTCTGAAAAAATAAATTGTAAAATTCAATAAAAGCGTTAAAATCTCTCCAATATATTTTTTTTAAAAGGTAAAATAAATTTAAATAGTGACAAAAAGTCTTTATAAATACTATGTTTTCCTTATTTTTTAGTTTACAATCATACAACCCTTTTCAAAAACAATAGTAAGATAAAAAGGTAGATCTTCCTCTATGCCTTTAGGCCAATCTCAAATGCAAATTCTGTCGTAACTTTACGTTGATGTCATAAGTGATTTTATTATTCAGTAGCTTTGTAGAGTAGCTTTGTGAAAATGACTGAATGTTTGACCTACGATTACCAAAATTCAAAAACTTAAGATAACGTTTTTTAAAGATATTTTGTGAAAATGGCTGCTGATTTAGAGTTTTAGTTAAAAGAAAAAAATCATAATTTAATATTTATTATAAACAATTCTTTTAAATTTCGTTAAAACTTGCATTACATACACCAGCAACGTTAAACTAATATTCGCTTAACATTTAGGAAAATTTCAGAAGATGCACTTGAATAGTCTGCATATGCTCTATAACATAATTTTACTTCACTTCATTCTGCGGTCCTAATGTCACTGTTATTATAAATGTAACAACATTAAAAAACATTTGAATAGGAGATAAATGGGGAACAAATTCAAATTATAGTTAAAACATATGCATTCAAACTTATTTTTCATAAAAAATAATAATAAAAATATAATTTTAATAACACTGCTTCTGCTCATGGTTGAGATAAAATGACATACATACCCGTATTGGTGATAGACTTGCAGTTTCCGGTCTTGGAGCCATCGATGTAGCAGTGGAAACTTAAAAAGATTTAAAATTATTGATGCATTTGATAAAGAGACTTTAAAGAAAGCCAAAATACGTCTGCAAAATATATTAGATTCAATTACCGCTTATACATTAACATAAAATAACTGAGATTTTATTTATCATACATTTAGGCATTTATAAATATTTTCTCGAACGTTTCACAAGATATATTTTAAAAGAAATATTATCATTTATGAATGACTATAACTTACATGTAGAAATTAGCGTTGGTTCAATTGTTGATGTGAATGGTTCTCCAGTTACTGTTTCAATGGCGGTTATTGTTTGAGATGAAGTAACAGTTGAGCTACTTTTTGATGTTTCTGGTGTCTCTTTTGAAGTTGCTTGTGAGATAGTAGTTGAAGATAAAGTTGACAAAAATTTTGTAGGTTCTGTTGATGCAATAATTGTAGTAAACTTCGATGTACTAAAGACAGTAGGTTTAAACGTACTTGTAACAGTTGCAGACGTGGTTGTTGTTTTATCTTCGGTACTACTTTTATCGGTTATAAAAGATGTGTACTTAACTGAAGTTTTTTCAAAAGTAGAAAATGTTGTTGATAGAATACTTTGTGTACCATTTTCCGTTGTAGATACCTCTATTGGAGTGCTCCTTTTTGTAAATTTCATAGTAGTGCTTTCCGGACTGGTAAATATCGATGGTTTTGAACTGCCAGATACCGTTTTTGTAACAGCTGTCATTGTTGTTGTCACAGTGAAAGGAAGCTCTGTTAAAGTGGATCCTTCAATTGCTGTACTTATTTCAGGAGAACTAAGTTTAGTCGACCGTATCCTGCTTGATGTAGTTTCGATTACTGTGGTTGTTGTTGTGGATATCTCAGGTGTAAAAATCGATGTTACAACAGGGGTACTGAACACAGATGATTTAACACTACTCGTTTTTGTAATATTTGAAGTTGTCGCTGCTGTTGTTGTGGTTGTTTCAGCTACGACAGAAGTAGAATCAGTAAAGGTTGAAGTATATACGTTTATACTTGTTCTAGGGGAGCTTATGTCAGTTAGTTGTAACGTGCTTGATTTAGGTTCAAGTGTTGTTTTAACGGATATGTAATCAGAGGTTACATTCGTCGTTACGATAGGTGTGCTAAATTCAGTTGGGCTTAAACTGCTTGATTTAGATTTAAATGATGTCGTTGTCAAAATCGTTTTAGTAATAACACTCGATGTTACGATTGGTGTACTAAATACTGATGAAGTTGTACTACTAGCTTCTGTTTTAGTAAACTTCGTAGTACTTGTTTCACTACTATTAGTAGGAGGTTCGGTAATTAAGGAAGTATATAAATTTGTGATTAATTTAGATGTAAAATTCTCCGTAGTTCGTGAAGTACTTGATTTAGATTCAATTGTTGTTTTCACGGAAATAATATCAGTAGCAGGAGAACTGTATACCGATGGTTCAAAACTACTTGTTTCCGTTATGTTCACATTTGTTATTGTTGTTGTTGTTAGAGTTGTTTTAGCTTTAGGTTCAGTAGAAAAATATATGGTTCTGCTAACTTCAAGTGGGCTAGTTTCAGTCGTTGGGAAAGAGCTAATATTAGACAGAATGGTAGTTTTTCCTATTGTCGATGTTAATTCTGTAAGGACTGTGAATTTACTAATAGGACTACCTTTCATGAAAGGGCTGGATTCTGTCGAAGTGCTTGGTTTGGTTTCAAAACGAGTTGTCGTATTTGATGTCGGCTTTGCAGAAACAGTTTCTGTTGAACTGTATCTGATTGAACTTATTTCTGGTGAAATGCCTTCTGTTGGCGTCAATGTCCTTTTAGAAACTTTTGTGATTGTTACAGTTATATCAGAAGTATATTCGGTTGTTTCAAATTTATTAGTTGAAGGTTCAGCAGAAATCGACGAATATATGTTTGTACTTACTTTATGTAAGGTAGTGTCAGTTGGTCTTATAGTACTTGATTTAGATTCCATGGTTGTTCTTATGGATATATTTTTAGAGGTTACAATTGACGTTACTATAGGTGTACTAAATATTGATGGTACAAAAGTACTTGATTCAATTTTTGTTGCAACTATTGTTGTTGACGTTGTCGTTGTTATTGTAGATGTACCTGCTTCGGTAGAAGAGTATATGATTTTGCTTGTGTCTGGTGAGCTTAAACTACTTAATTCTGTTTTAATAACATCCGATGTTGTTGTTTTAAGATTAATTGTTGTAGGTTTAGAAAAAGTAGAAGTTATAATGTGTGTGCTACTAACACTAGGTGGGCTTATTTCAGTAGGTGGTACCGTGCTTGATTTATATTCAGAAGTGGCAACACGTGTGCTGAAATCTGATGGTTTGAAAGTACTTGATTTAATCTTGGTTGAAATGTTTGTTGTTGAAGCAGGTAAGAACGTTGACTTGATGATAGGTGTTCCTTTATTGCCGGTAGTTTGGTTATATATTTTCGTTAATTTTAAATCCATTTGTACTTTTATTCAGTTAAAATTAAAGGGCGGCGTACTTGTTTTTGGTTTTAAAGCTGCTTAAAACCCAGTCGATTAAAAACTATTTTTTTTTGTAGAAGTCCAAAAAATATGTTGAAAATTTAAATATAAAGAGGTTTGTTATTGGGTGTTTAAACATTGATTTTTTCACTTTTTGAATTTAGCGAAATAGAAGCGTTTCTTTATAAAAAATATTTTCAAAGTCGAAACTTAAAATGTGTTGACTCAAAGGAAGTTGTTATTTTGGAATTGTTTTCTGATGGTACAAATGTGAATAAAGATGTACGCATAGGAGTCGTTGAACTGAAATCAGATGAAGATATTCCAATTTCTGTTGTTAAAACAGACGACTTGCTAATAAGTGTTTCTCTTTTCCTGGAAATAGTTGAATCTGTTGTTGAAAATGTGATCGTAGATTCATTATGAGTAGAGCTATACCTTAAAGTTGATATTCTTGTACTAAAGACTGTTGATTTTATACTTTTTGTTGTCAAAGAAGTTCTTCCAGTAGTGGATTGCTCAACAGTTGTTATTTGAGAACTGACGCGTGTTGGAATAAAGGTGGACGATTTTCCAATCTCCGTTGTTGAAAAGGGAATAATGGTCGTACTGATTACAGACGTTTCTTTTTCGCCTGTGGTTGACTGTGTTTCTATAAATGATATCGTAGATTCAATATTTGTCGAACTATAACTAGATTTCAAAGTGCTTATTTGAGTTGGTATAAAACTGCTTTTTGATGATGGAACAGATTCAGTAATTGTTGAGGAATCAAACTGTGTAGATTTTAAAGAACTAGTAAATTGTGAACTGGGGATAGTTGGTATTGAAGATTCTGAAAGTGTCGTCAACGAAGTATATTCAGTTGATTGTATAATATCTGTTGTTGTTGAAGATTCAAATAGCGTCGACTCAAAGGTTGAAATCATTCGAGAACTGTAACTTGTTGGTACAGATGTGAATGATGTTATTTCCGGAGTCGATGACCTTAAATCGGTCGATGGCATTTCAATCTCTGTGGTTGAAACGGGGAGACGAGTTGACTTGCTAATAGGTGTTCCTTTTTCGCCTGTAGTAACATCTGTTGATATAGATATTATCGTAGATTCAAATCCAGTGGATCCGTAGCTAAACGAACTAGGTTTCAAAGTACTGATTTGGGTCGGTATTAAACTGCTTTGTGATGATGGAACAAATGGAGTAATTGTAGAAGATTCAAACTGTGTAGATTTTAAAGAACTAGTAAATTTTGAACTGGAGATAGTTGGTATTGAAGATTCTGAAAGTGTCGTCAACGAAGTATATTCAGTTGATTGTATAATATCAGTTGTTGTTGTTGAAGATTCAAATAGCGTCGTCTCAAAGGTTGAAATCATTCGAGAACTGTAACTTGTTGGTAAAGATGTGAATGATGTTATTTCCATAGTCGAAGATCTTAAATCGGTCGATGACATTTCAATCTCTGTGGTTGAAATGGGGAGACGAGTTGACTTGCTAATAGGTGTTCCTTTTTCGCCTGTAGTAACACCTGTTGATATAGATATTATCGTAGATTCAAATCCAGTGGATCCGTAGCTAGACGAACTAGGTTTCAAAGTGCTTATTTGGGTCGGTATAAAACTGCTTCCTGACGATGGCACAAATTCAGTTATTGTAGAAGATTCAAACAGCGTAGATTTTAAAGAACTAGTTAATTGTGAACTGGAGATAGTTGGTATTGAAGATTCTGAAAATGTCGTCAACGAAGTATATTCAGTTGATTGTATAATATCAGTTGTTGTTGAAGATTTAAATAGCGTCGACTCAAAGGTTGAAATCATTCGAGAACTGTAACTTGTTGGTACAGATGTGAATGATGTTATTTCCGGAGTCGATGATCTTAAATCGGTCGATGACTTTTTAATCTCTGTGGTTGAAATGGGGAGACGAGTTGACTTGCTAATAATTGTTCCTTTCTCGCCTGTAGTACCATCTGTTGATATAGACATTATCGTAGATTCAAATTCAGTGGATCCATAGCTAGACGAACTAGGTTTCAAAGTGCTTATTTGGGTCGGTATAAAACTGCTTCCTGACGATGGCACAAATTCAGTTATTGTAGAAGATTCAAACAGCGTAGATTTTAAAGAACTAGTTAATTGTGAACTGGAGATAGTTGGTATTGAAGATTCTGAAAATGTCGTCAACGAAGTATATTCAGTTGATTGTATAATATCAGTTGTTGTTGAAGATTCAAATAGCGTCGACTCAAATGTTGAAATCCTTTGAGAACTGTAACTTGTTGGTACAGATGTGAATGATGTTATTTCCGGAGTTGATGATCTTAAATCGGTCGATGACATTTCAATCTCTGTGGTTGAAATGGGGAGGCGAGTTGACTTGCTAACAGGTGTTCCTTTTTCGCCTGTAGTAACATCTGTTGATATAGACATTATCGTAGATTCAAATTCAGTGGATCCGTAGCTAGATAAACTAGATTTCAAAGTGCTTATTTGGGTCGGTATAAAACTGCTTTTTGATGATGGAACAAATTCAGTAATTGTAGAAGATTCAAACTGTGTAGATTTTAAAGAACTAGTAAATTGTGAGCTGGAGATAGTTGGTATGGTAGATTCTGAAAGTGTCGTCAACGAAGTATATTCAGTTGATTGTATAATATCAGTTGTTGTTGAAGATTCAAATAGCGTCGACACAAAGGTTGAAATCATTCGAGAACTGTAACTTGTTGGAACAGATGTGAATGATGTTATTTCCGGAGTCGATGATCTTAAATCGGTCGAGGACTTTTCAATCTCTGTGGTTGAAATGGGAAGACGTGTTGACTCGCTAATAGATGTTCCTTTCTCGCCTGTAGTAACATCTGTTGATATAGACATTATCGTAGATTCAAATTCAGTAGATCCGTAGCTAGACAAACTAGATTTCAAAGTGCTGATTTGGGTCGGTATAAAACTGCTTTTTGATGATGGAACAAATTCAGTTATTGTAGAAGATTCAAACTGAGTAGATTTTAAAGTACTAGTAAATTGTGAACTGGAGATAGTTGGAATTGAAGATTCTGAAAGTGTCGTCAACGAAGTATATTCAGTTGATTGTATAATATCAGTTGTTGTTGAAGATTCAAATAGCGTCGACTCATAGGTTGAAATCATTCGAGAACTGTAACTTGTTGGTACAGATGTGAATGATGTTATGTCAGGAGTCGATGATCTTAAATCGGTCGATGACATTTCAATCTCTGTGGTTGAAATGGGGAGACGAGTTGACTTGCTAATAGGTGTTCCTTTCTCGCCTGTAGTCACATCTGTTGATATAGATATTATCGTAGATTCAATTCCAGTGGATCCGTAGCTAGACAAACTAGATTTTAAAGTGCTTATTTGGGTCGGTATAAAACTGCTTTCTGTTGATGGCACAATTTCAGTTATTGTAGAAGATTCAAACAGCGTAGATTTTAAAGAACTAGTTAATTGTGAACTGGAGATAGTTGGTATTGAAGATTCTGAAAATGTCGTCAACGAAGTATATTCAGTTGATTGCATAATATCAGTTGTTGTTGAAGATTCAAATAGCGTCGACTCAAAGGTTGAAATCATTTGAGAACTGTAACTTGTTGGTACAGATGTAAATGATGTTATTTCCGGAGTTGATGATCTTAAATCGGTCGATGACATTTCAATCTCTGTGGTTGAAATGGGGAGACGAGTTGACTTGCTAATAGGTGTTCCTTTTTCGCCTGTAGTCACATCTGTTGATATAGACATTATCGTAGATTCAAATCCAGTGGATCCGTAGCTAGATAAACTAGATTTCAAAGTGCTTATTTGGGTCGGTATAAAACTGCTTTTTGATGATGGAACAAATTCAGTAATTGTAGAAGATTCAAACTGTGTAGATTTTAAAGAACTAGTAAATTGTGAGCTGGAGATAGTTGGTATGGAAGATTCTGAAAGTGTCGTCAACGAAGTATATTCAGTTGATTGTATAATATCAGTTGTTGTTGAAGATTCAAATAGCGTCGACTCAAAGGTTGAAATCATTCGAGAACTGTAACTTGTTGGTACAGATGTGAATGATGTTATTTCCGGAGTCGATGATCTTAAATCGGTCGATGACATTTCAATCTCTGTGGTTGAAATGGGGAGACGAGTTGACTTGCTAATAGGTGTTCCTTTTTCGCCTGTAGTCACATCTGTTGATATAGACATTATCGTAGATTCAAATTCAGTTGATCCGTAGCTAGATAAAGTAGAATTCAAAGTACTCATGTGCGTCGGTATAAAGCTACTCTTTGATGATGAATCAAATTCGGTCATTGTAGAAGATTCAAACTGCGTAGATTTCAAAGAGCTAGTGAATTGTGAACTGGAAATGGTTGGTATTGACGTTTCTGAAAGTGTCGTCATAGAAATATATTTTGTAGATTGTGTCGTATAATTTACTGAGGAAGTTTCAAATGGTGTCGATTCGAAGGAAGTTGTCACTTGAGAACTGAAACTTCTTGGAATGGATGCTGAGGATTGCATACTTTTAGGAGTTGTTGATATGACACCAGTCGATGATATTTCAAATCCTGTTGTTGAAATTGGAAGAATTGTTGACTTGAAAGTTGTGCTTTTCTCAGAGCTAAACTGTGTCGATCTGTAGGTACTGGCTATTATTTTAGTGTATGTAGAGGATGCGATTGATTGTGTTACTTCAGGACCAAACGTAGATTTATATATAGGTGACCCTTTTCTAAACAATTGTGATGATGACAATAATGGCTGCATTGTTGTAGTCGAGTTCTCTAATGAAGTAATGGTTGATATGTCTTTTAAAGAACTTGATATGGAACTGAAACCACTGGTCCTTGTCACTGAAAAATAAAAATTTGACACATCTTTAATAGTCGACGTTTTACCTAATTCAAATTAAATTTCAACTACAGGATATAATTATTTGATTTATGCTTCTTGTTAGTAATGTCAAGACACCTGAAAACGTACACAAACGTCTACAAATTGTAATGGACAATATTTAAAGTATGCATACATTTAATTGTACATTTTTATGCAATTCATTTGAGTTTGACTTGAATAAAAGTATTTGCAATATATTGAATTTATCTGGTGTTGTATATGTGATATTATTACCAAAAAGTGATATCATTGTATATTTTTATGTATATATTAGCTAGTACTGTTTATCGTGAATCAACCTCATTATGTAATTTTCGAATAAAAAAGTATCGTCAAACGAGGAAAAGGGCATAATTCTATCATTTGTATGCCTAATAATTTAATCACATAAAAATCCTTAAACCGAATAGGGATATGTAAGGAAGGGGTAGAATTTATCAAAGGAAGTAATGAAGACGTGCAGGTAAGTAGAAAATAAAACAGAATGGAAAAACTCCTAACCAAAAAGGAAAAAAAGCCTTGGTCCCGAAGAAAAGATAGAAAACTGTGAAATAGGTTTAAATTAAGCACGAAATATTTGTGTCTCGAGCAAATAAATCCTTTTAATACCAATGTCACTTCTTGTGGAATATATTATGTTTGTAGTCGACACTTCAAAAAGGATAGTTGTTGTGCCAGAAGTGTATGTTGACATTACACTACTTTGACTTCTAACAGTTGTATTTGGTACGTCTGAAGCAAAAATATCATTTAATTTAAAATCAGAAATCTTTTGTTCAAGGCTAATATTTTGACATATAGAAGAAGATGTATTTACTTACATTACATAAAGAATGTGCCTAAAACAACAACTCTTAGAATGTTATAAAGCTTAAACAAATTTTAGTAATTATTAGATTATACATTATGTATTTTGATTTTTTAACTGCTCGATTGTTAACAATAACGAATCAAATACAATTTCATTATTGAATTGTTACCGAATTGAAAATTGACTCAAAGGTGATGTATTATTAACGACAAAGACGCCGATAAAAAAAACTAGTCATATATTCTCACCTGTACTTAATTGAATTGTACTGTTATGAATTATTGTTGATGAGCTTTCCCGTGACGTTGAACTTGCTACTTGAATACTTGATCCAGTATACAATGTTGATAATGATGATGTTAAATTAGTTGTCAAAAAAGATGTTATTTCTGTCAATAATGATGAGATATCTGTTGCTATCGATGACGTAGTATCAGTTGGTAATAATGATGTAGCAACTGTAGTAAATGCTAGTGTTATATTTGTTGTTAAAGATGTACCAACTGTGGATAATGTAGATGTTACATCTCTTGATAAAGATGATGTAATATCTGTTGAAGATGACGATGAAATAACAGATAATGATGTTAAGTCTGTTGGTAATGATGATGGTACGTTTGTTGATAATGACGATATAACCCCTGTTGGCAACGATGTTACCTCTGTTGGTAATGGTGATGTAACATCCGTTGGTAAAGATGATGTAACATTTGTTGTTAAGGACGAAGAAAACCTTGTTAACAATGAGGTTACCTCTGTTGGTAATGTTGACGTAACATTTGTTGGAAATATTGACGATACCTCTGTTTGTATTGTCGAAGTCACCACTCTTTCAAATGATGTTACATCTGTGGGTAACGATGATGTTACAATTGTTGATATTGGTGTTTTGTTTGTTGATAAAAATGAAGTAACTTTGGATGTTTCATCAGTTGGTAATGATGAAGTAATCCCTGATGGCAATGATGTTTCATCTGTTGGAAATGATGAAGAAGAATCTGTTGGTAATGTTGATGTTACGCCAGTTGGTACGGACGAAGTAATCCCTGATGACAATGATGTTTCATCTGTTGGTAATGGTGAAGTAATCCCTGATGGCAATGATGTTTCATCTGTTGGAAATGATGAAGAGGTATCTGTTGGTAATGTTGATGTTACGTCTGTTGGTAATGACGAAGTAATCCCTGATGGCAATGATGTTTCATCTGTTGGTAATGGTGAAGAAGAATCTGTTGGTAATGTTGATGTTACGCTTGTTGGTACGGACGAAGAAACTCCGGTAGGCAATGATGTTAAGTCTGTTAATAAAGATGATGTTACGTCTGTTTGTAATGATGATGTTAAATCCGTTGGTATTGAAGAAGAAACCCCTGTTGGCAAAGATGTTACGTCTGTCGGTAATGACGAAGTAACCCTTGATGGCAATGATGTTTCATCTGTTGGTATTGATGTTGCTTTTGTTGGTAATGTTAATGTTACGTCTGTTGGCAATGACGAAGTCGACCCTGATGACAATGATGTTTCATCTGTTGGTAATAATGAAGAAGCATCTGTTGGTAATGATGATGTTACGTCTGTTGGTAAGGACGAAGACATCCCCGTTGGTAATGATGTTTCATCTGTTGGTAAAGATGTTGTTATATCTGTTGGTACTGATGACGCTACGTCAGTTGGTAGGGAAGAAGAAATTCCGGTAGGCAATGATGTTAAATTTGTAAATAAAGATGATGTTACGTCCGTTGGTAATGACGATGTTACGTCTGTTGGTAATGACGATGTAACTCCTGTTGGTAATGATGTTAATTCTGACGATGAAGCATCTGTAGGAAATGAAGAAGGTACATCAGTTGACAATGATGTGATGTCCATTGGTAATGATGAAGTAGTATTCGTTGGTATTGATGATGCGCTATCTGTGTGTAATAGTGAGCAAACATGTATTATAAATAATGATGCTATACGCATGTATGTTGACAATAAAAACATGTGGAAATTTTGTTTGAGCGTAAGCATTTCAAGTATGTCAGTTATCGTTACCATATAGATTGTTACAGGTATGCCATAATCATTTCATACATAGAATTATTACATGTAATGGTAATCAGTGCATTATCAATTAAAATGAATGCACAAAAAACCCCAATGTTTTATTTGATATCTATACAACGTCAGTTTGCTAACAGATGTCAGTTTATGTGTTTTCCCTCTTGGTTAAATTTTATACTAATCGTTTACACAATACCTAGATTGGTACGATCTTAGATATTATTAAACATATTATTTTATAAAGATTAAAATATACTTACTACTTGTTACAACACTAGGAATGGAACTGATTGAACTTATCCCAGTTGTTTTGGTTACGGCTGATGTTAAATTCGAAACAGTAAATGTCGAAATATCTGTACTTAACATGCTTGAACTTGAAATTAATGTTGTACTTAATCGAACGTTTGTTGACTCTGACGGAACGTTACTACTTTGAGAAATAGAATAAGATAATGTTGAAATCACAGTACTTGGTTGTTTCGAACTGAAAGGAGTAGATGTAACTGGTCTATGTGAAGTTGAATTTGACAATGTTATAGTTGAAATCAAAGAACTTGGTACAGGTGAACTTGAATATAATATTGATGAACTAAATGTTGAAGTCGAATCGTCGGTGGTCACAGTTAAAATGCTTGTTTTTGGTGAAGTTACAATCGACACGGATACAGTTGAAATGTCGGTACTTAAGAAAGACGAACTGGGATAAGTTGTTAGTGAAAAAACGGTCGATGTTCTAGCAGACGAACCTGCTGTAGTCATAGTTGAAACGTTCGTTCCTCCTGAAGTTAAATCTGTCACTAATGTTGATGAAATTGAAATGTTTGTCTGCGTTGAACCTAAAACGGTTGTTGGTAAAACAAAAGTCGAAGTTCTTATAGATGAACCTGTTGTTTCAGATAAAAAGTGTGTACTTTGAGAAGTAATGTTCGACACAAACAATGTTGAAACAAGTGTACTAGAAAACAATGAGCTTGAAAATTCTGTCGGAGTAGAAGTTGATGTTTCTACTCTACTAGTTTTTGATGACAATTCTGTTGAAACAATGTACGGTGTTGATGATTCAAGTAGTGTTGAACTTTGTGAAATACTCGTTACAGAAGATAGCTCAGAAGAAAATCTTCTGATAGTAGTACTTAAAGTTGATATTATCATTGTCGACTTTTCTGAAAATAAATGTGTGTTACTCGACGTTAGAATTTCAGTTCAAACGGGCACACTTAGTAAAAAACTGGTACCCGTTGTGTCCAAAGAAAATGTATTAGCTGAAAGACTTGAGAAGAAACTTTATTTCTAACGGGAAAATGGAAATTGTTTGATTCCAAAAGAGCTGGAATAAATTATTTAAATCAGTTAGCATATGCAAAGTGTTAAAATTAAATAAACTGTATTAGATTAAAGGTAATACAGCATGCATTTAATAAATGTTAGAATTGTTAACACAGATAAAGAGAGAACATTTGGATTCAGGAAAACAAACTTTTAGCATAATAAACTAGGAACTGTTTAGATTTTGTTTCTAAATGTGAGTCGAAATGTTAGAGTTACATAGAAACGAGAAGAAAAACAATTATTGTTCGAGTCTAAATCTTACCAGTACTTGGTGGTTTAGAAGACGGTGAAATAAATGTTGATGTAAATTTGGAATCAGTAGTAAGTTTTGTACCTACGAAAAGAAAGAAATAACTATTTGACTTAAGTATTTGGCGTGAATATTTATGTTTCGACATCTTGTTTGAACTTTTTTAAAATAACACGCTCATATTTTTTTAAGGAAGAGGATAGTGTTATTCAATTATGACAATAATGCGATTGCGTTTCGTTTCCATTGTTCAGTTGCTTCCATGCTTTAATTTATCTCTCAAATATCATTTCAATAGCAGTTGGTTTATTGTCTAAAGAAAAATAATCCATCAACAATATCAAAAAATAAATGTCATTTATAATTGCTTATGTGCACATTTTCATTGTATTTCTAAGAAAGGTGAATTAAAAAAAAACATGTTGAAAGTTGTAGAACGAAAATAAGAATACTTAAAGAAATTGAGAAAAAGTGGTAAACAAAATACCATCTTAAATTTGTTTTTGATATTGATACAAAACATTGTCAGTATATTATAACTATATGGTCTTATAAATTCATCTGGACTTTATAATTATATACTTGACTTTATACAATTAAACACGAATTTTGAGAAGTGTCGCATTTTGGAACTAGTGCACTTACCTTTGCTTGGCACCTCAGAAGATTGTTTGCTTGAAATTGAAGATACATCTGAATCAGTAGTAAATTCTGTACCTGCAATGTCAAAATATGATGTTATCATTCCCTACTTATCATATCCCTCACATTGCTCAATTAGTATAACATACTCCACTTTATTTTAACTTGTAACTTCCCCTTCTTGCCTTTACGGGTTGAGGCATCAGAATTACAGCCACCAATTAGCCCTGCGTGATCGTACGAGGCGGCTTAATGGGTTTGAATTATTGAAGTGTATGCATCTCTTAGCTCCAGCAGGTGAGATGATTTTGACCCCTGATGTTGCTTAAAGTTTTAACACCCTAGGTTAGAAAATATCATCTCTCCTGTTTCGGTGCCATTTGACCTACATTGTGTTTCTGCGCAGTAAAACCAAACCAAAGTAAAACAAATTAATTTGTATATGTCCAAGGAAATTGTAAGATTTTTGCTAGCTACTATAACAAAGATAGAACCGCAAGACTTGAGTGATGATTGTACAGTATTTGCAGTTTGAATTTGCCTATTTTATTTCTTTGATATAAATGTTAGCTAAACATTAACAAAATTATATTTACAAAGTTGTTCAACCGATCAACAGTTACTATGTATATATTCCATAACCGGATACAGGAGGGCTTATAGCCTGAACTCAATTGGAAAACAAGCAGTCTACAGTCGCATAATATCGCTGACAAAAAGTTATAGATGTGATGAACTTTAATATTTCAACACATCATCACACAGTGTATGATCACACATACATTTTTTATCAATCAGAATGAAAGATCGTGTAACGTTCAAAATTAACTAATAGAATCTACTTCTTGGATTATAATGGCATGATGTGTTAATTAGTTTAATAAATAAGCTGATATTATTTCTAGAATTACGGTTTACTGATTATCGGGAAAAACCTTTTTACTCGATTCACAGGTTAAACATTTACAAATATCTCATAATAAAAATATGCATGGCTATTTGGTAAAATATTTACCTAACGATGTTGAAATTTCTGTAGTAGATGCACCAGATACTGCACGTGTTTCACTTGTGCTATGTAACAAAGTCGATGACAATAGCGTACTTGAAAATTTATAGGTGGAACTTAAATTGTCTGTCATTGCGGTAGAGATTGGAGACGATAATCCTTCAGTTGAAATTTCTGTCACAATACTTGGTTTATGTGTAGATATGGACAACAAAGTTGTGCTTGGCTTAAAAGTGTTCGAAAACGTTGGAGATAGAGATGCACTTTCAGCCGATGAGACTGGTATTTCAGTTGTTGAAAACGTTACAGGTGGTTTCGATGAAGAAAAAGATGAAATGTCTAATGTGATTTCTGTTGAATTTTGTGACAATGACGTAGAATAAGTTGATGTAAATGAGGTGACTGGTGAAACTGAAGATGTAAATTTTGAAGAAGAAGCAAATGAAATATCAGTTGGCAACCTAGTTGACTCTGTTGATGTTAAAATTGAAGATGGCAGCGACTCTCTTGCTGTAGACGTAAATGTTTTTAAAGTTGAAATTACACTTGGCAACACAGATGATGAAGTAAATAGATTTGTAATTGATGATGGCAATACTGATGAAGATATCAAAATAGATGACGATATTAAAGTTGAAGATGATGATAAAATTGAAGATGTTGATGATATTATCGTTGATGACATAACTGTTGATGACGACAATGATGATGATGAAAAAGCTGTTGATGATGACAGTGATGACGATGATATTATTGTTGATGATGACAGTGATGATGATGAAAAAATTGTTGATGATGAAAGTGATGATGATGAAATTACTGTTGATGATGACAGTGATGATGATGAAATAATTGTTGATGATGACAGTGATGACGATGATATTATTGTTGATGATGACAGTGATGACGATGATATTATTGTTGATGATGACAGTGATGACGATGATATTATTGTTGATGAAGATAGTGATGACGATGAAATAATAGTTGATGATGATAATGATGATGAAGGGGATGATATAACAGTCGAGGAAAAAAGAGTGGATGATGCAACTGATGTTGGTGTTGATGACACCACACTTGATGATGACGATTGACACGCATCATTTATGACACTGAAAATAGAAAGATATTATCTTCTTTGCTTTGTTTATTAAATTTCACCTTATGATAATAAAACAAGGAATAGATAAGTTACGTATGATGTTAAACACTTTTTACCATTAGAAATATTTAATAAGTTTATAAATCAAAGAATTAATTATAAAAACAGTAAGATTACAAGTTATTTTTGCATAATAATAATATGTTCATGAAATATGTATTTATTCAACTTACTCCGCCAAGATAATCAATGTGCCTATTTTTCTGTCTCGACATTTTCTAAAAAAATGAAATATCTACATGTTAAAACTGAGTACAATTTGTTTATAAAAAATAAAGCTAAAAAGATTCATATACCTAAAAAAGATGTTTCCTCAGAGGAATAATGCAACTTTTTTATGCATTAACATCTGCAGAAGCCCGCGAACTTAATAAAATCCCTCGGCCTGAGGGCTCAGGCTTTAAATACGTCCTCTTGCTCCAGCAGATGTTAATGCACGAAATAGGTACCTAAGCGTCACTCTTGCATATAAGTATACGTCCTATTCCGTGATTCAACGCTTTATATATGTTTTTTTGTTTGTATAAAGAAGCCATTTATTAAAATATGTTAGTGCGATATAGCTGACAGGTATGTTTTTTTTTTTTAAATAAAACAACCTGGGCAGTAATTCATGAAAGCTATTTCTACATGGCACACTGAATCAAGCATATAAGAACGCGCAAATTTTATCTGTTAATTTATTTTTTTCCTCTCCGTAAAGTTTATACTTAGATGGGTAGTAACTATGGTAACTGTTGTTATGCAAGAATAATGATATTATAAACAGCTATGCGTATCCAAGTTTATTAAAGTTAAATTAGTTTTTTAGGATAAATGCATAAAAGTAGTCAAAGGCTTCGTTGTATTCTTATGATAAACTAAACTAAAAGGAAATTGTTACTGTCTTTAATACATTAGAAATCTGTATTAGAAAAAAGTAAATTATTAAATGACATGAATAAATAAATGGCATCAAATGTTACAAATGTAATAGCAGCTTGTCTGCTTTAAAAAAAAAAAGACCTCACCAATTGTACAGTCTAAATGGTACATTTTAAATTTAAAAAAATGATTTGTTCAGTGGAAAATAATGCATACCTTGGACATTTTGTTACAACTCTGAAAAACAAAAACAAACATAAATGGGTAATTAGTTACGTTTAAAATCTGCTAACGGTATGTTTTTTAACATACACAATTTGAAAACTTAAATATGACTTCTCGCCATATTAAATGAATCTTCATTGCATACATAAATTAAGAACTAATAAGTTACTCTAATTTATTATTACCAAAATGTAAAAATGATCACAATTTTGAAACAGATTAGAGTTGGTTTACTACCTGGTACCATTTTCAATTAAAAGCATCATAACTATTACATTAAAGTAGAATATGTGTGTATTGTCATCAATACTTTTCTTAAAGTGGCATTATGGTATATAGTGAGTGAACGGGTGAAGATCAAAATAAGTTTTCATTTTGCCATAATTCCTTTTAATTTAATGATAAGTTCACATAAACAATAAATAACGCACAGATTCAAACGAAATTTCTGTAAATAATCATTTACCATCCATGCTTAGTATATAAAAAGAGTGGGGCAGTCGTTGCAGATCCTAAACATTTTCCAAAATCAACTGTTGGTCAAAGACCATTTTGACAGTCAATCTTTTGAAATATAAAGTCAATTCAGCTCAAATTAAATATGAAAAAATGAGTATAATGGCACTTGAAGTTTGAATCATATTATAACAATTATCCAGCAGTATTTGACTATAACACAAGAAATAGACTTCATTGACAAGAAATGATAAATTGATATAAAGAAAAGTAATCAAAGGAACCTTGGGCACTGATATTTTATTTACACAATTAATACACTAAGAGATTGAAATACAATAAACAAATAACATTTCTTCTTAACATAATTTTAAGAAAAAGAAGAAGACAATGTTATTTAACTTATACATTTACATGTATCTCGTTATACATCAACTAGTAGTACATATAAACGGTTGGTATTCAAATGAAAGAGAATCATTAATGTTTGAGTTTATAGTTTATACATAATGGAGAATAGGCTCTAATAAACATGAATTAACAGCAATTTTTCACCAATAAAGTGTCTAACAGTGAATGTAATGAACATTGTTATAGTCTTAAAGTCTAGGATATGAATTCAATAAATCATTTCTTTTCATATTGGCTAAATAAATAAATTTGCTAAGATTGTTAAGAACTGATTTATTGTTTGACTTAAGCATTTCTATGAATTTGTACATACTGGGTCTATGATAAAAATAACGTTTAATTAATCGAATTCTTAAATCATGGTAAACACTGCATATAAGAATCATATCTACCTGTTTGAATTCTAAGATTATGCAAAGAAATTCTTAAACGCTTCTTAATACTACTCCTTAGATAATTAGTTTTGATAGTAATCAAATAATTTTCCAAATTTTCCACCGTTTTTAGATGAATATAAAGAATGTTTAAAACATTATTATTGTTTAAATCTGCTTACTATTTTTTGATTAAAACAATCCAAAAAACTCTTTGTTTAAAATGTACCATAAATGCATTTATTTTAATTTCATTTGGTTACAAAAATACATATGCAAAACCATAATTTTCTAATAATATTTTAACATTGTATGTTCATCTTTGACACCATTTAAACATTGTTTTAATGAGTTGTTATATATCGCATCTAAAATGATATTGTTTGTATTTGAAATTTTCAACCAATATTTTATCATTTGAACATATCTGTTTTTTTTTTATAAAGGGTTTCTCCCTAATTCTCCGTATACAGCACTATTGCTGGAACTTTTATTAACGCCTAAAATATATTTGCAAAATTTGAGATGTACAGTTTCAATATCTTTTGACTTAGAAAATCGTCATACAGGACATGCATAATTCAGAATAGAGCCAACAAAAGAATCAAATAATTGTAAAGAAATATATGGTGATAATTTACCTTATTAATATTACATTGTAGAACGTTACATGCTTTTAAGACTTTTCCAATAATATATTGATTATGTAAAACAAATGAACCCGTATAATTTAAAACTACTCCTAAAGAAGTGAAATCATTAACTATGTCAAATTGTTTATCGTTCTGTCTCAAGGGGTCCCTTTTTCTAAATATAACGAGTTTTGTTTTTGAAGTATTAACTTGTAAACCGCAGTATGTACAATATTCATATAATAAGTTTAGACTGGATTGTAAATCTTCTATAGAATGTCCTACTAACACCATATCATCAGCAAAGAGTAAAATAATGATACAAAAATTGACAAACCACAATTTATTCTGTTTTTGTAAATATAGTTCTAAGTCCTCTAAAAAAAGTGCAAACATAACCGGAGAATTATTTAGGCCTTGACGAAGACCAATTGAAATTTAAAAAAAGTTTCAGAATGTGTTGCAATAATTAAAACATGATTTAACAACAGTATATATACATAGCCTGAAACATTTTTAAAATTCTTCAATCAAAACCCATGTTAAACAATTTGAGCCATAAAGCGTTTCTATAAACAGAGTCAAATGCTTTCGTGAGATCTATAAAAGCGCATGGCAGTCGCATTTTTTTAGTTAAAACATGTTCTATCAAGTTGTGTAAAACAAATGTTTTACAGAAAAGAACAGAACAGAACATAATTTTATTAATAAATCGTATGTAAAAAGCATATTAATTAAACAATAATATTTTACATGCATGCATAAAAGTATGTAATGAGAGCATGAGAGAAATGAATCAATGTATCGAAGCATCACTACTTCATGGTGTTATATATTACTTATCATTTTTACAATGGACTTACTCCGGAATTAAAAATAATTTAGGTCTTCCCGGCTGATCTTGTGATACATATACAAATATTTCTTACAGTTACAGCCTCGAAAATAAGCGCAACATGTTGACTAATCTCTTGTGAACTGTAGTGCCCCGTGAAGCTTTAACGCTAAAAAATGTGTTTGTACCAGGGGGTTAGCTTGGGGAAAACCATATTTACCCAGTTAAGAGTAAAATCAATGACATAAAGTACATACTCAGCTAGGAGAATGAGATGTCCAATTGGTCTGTTATCCTTCTTGCAATTTTTTCTTTTATTTGATTGCTCATTGCTGAAAAGAAAACAAATACAATTATAGAATTCCTTGACATTTTTGTCGAAATTCAGATACAAAATTTAGCATTGTTTTATTTACACTAAAACGATTTAAAAGACAACTAAAAAGGGGTTTCGAAGTTTCCTTATCATCCATATTAAAACGGTCTTTTGTTTCTTCACTGAGTGCTTATAGGCGAAAGGGCAACACCCGATATTTCAAATTCTGTTTAAACTTGTAACAATAATATAAAGATAAGTTGGTAAATACTTCAAATTAATGTTGATAAAGTACATATAAATTGAACATACCTTCGTGTCTGAACTGTTTTGTTTTGTGTATCAGTATTGTTACTTATATTTCTGAAAACAATAAAGACATAGACACTGGAAACCTATGTTGTAACATTTGAGAATATACAATATTCATCAAGACGTTAAATAAAATTCAAGAATATAGTTATTTAATTGTAAATGCAGTAAAAATGTATGTTATAGATATGTGGGAACAGAAAATGTACTTTGTTTGAATTTAAGTTGTCTAATTAAAGCAAGGTTTTTCTTCTCCGTAAGTCTACATCTAAAAGCCTAAGGCCTATTTGATAAGTAACAGGCAACATATTTTATGTAATACTCCCACACGTGCGGTTTCATTTTAAAATATTTTATATAGATCGAAAGAATTCACGTCCTGTCTGCGTGTTACTTGTTTTCTATTTGTTTTAGTAATAGAAAGAGCATCGAAACACGAGGCTATCTGATTTGTACGAGAGGACACCTGTACTCTTGTTAACGCACTGTGCAGGTAACTCTGACACATTTTCAACGGAAAGGTCCCCAAATTTTGATACAATAATACTTACGACTGGTTTTTACTAATAACAGAAGTTATTCCTGTACCGTTTACGAAAAGTATGAAGTCTTTGGCATTGTGTACTCTGAAGCAGAAATAATAATGATAAAAACACAGGTAATAAATTAAAACTGTCACAGTTATAGATATGTGTATATGATATAAGCATAGCAGAATCTAACACACATACTCAGGAATGTTTGCTGTTAACAGTTACAACTTTGAAAATAATTACGCAACAGGATCATTAATCCATTGTGAACAGTTAAATGTATCCACTGTGAAGCTAAAACGGCAAACGTTTGTTTGTATCCCCGGACCAGCTTGATAAAAACCCACATTTGCCGAGTTCCGGAAAACATCTGTTAATACTAATTAGAACTTTTTTGTAAACCTGAATATTTAGTTTCTTTTTATCTATTGAAAACTATTTTTATGATTATTCTCATTGCAAAACATACATGTATGTGCAGCTTAACTCATTTTTGAAAGTTTTTATTTACCTAATATAAATTCAAAATGGACTGTTTTTAAACAAAAGCAGCGTAAAGTCATTACAAAAAATTCAGCATACAAATTTATTTGTTTCAAAACTTAACTTGCATTTCGATCAAAATTTAAAAGTTTCTTTGTAAATTATATTCAATAACTAATGTTGATAAAATATTTATTACTCATTACAAAGTATATTTTAAATTTTCAGGGTTTTTTCCTAGACGAGTCGACCACGTATGAAACAGAGATTTTATCAGTCAATTTTAATATTTTGATTTATGCCATAGTTGTATTATGTCATCTTCTATTCTGAATGCTGTTATCTCTAAATACAAGCGTTCTCGCATATTACAGTTGAGATATTTTAAAATTGTATTGCAGAAGTTTTGTAGAAAATAAGATGATACTGGGCTTATAATAAGACATAAGATTAAAAACTTTAAAGTAAAACAGTTAGTTTTAAAGAATTACATTTACACGCACAATTTAAGTATTTATTCAAATTTGGCCAAATCGTTTGACAGACCTCATTCATTCATTTGTCATAATTCTACCGAAAGTGACTAGTTTTATTGCCTTTAATTAAACAACAATGGCATAAGTATGATCAGCTATATGGAACACAGATTGAGATATGCTGGCTTTTATCCTATTTTTTTTCTGAAAATGACTCCACTGAGATTGGTTTTACATGACGGGATTCGAAATTTATGTTCTATTTATTATGAATATAGACCAATAACTTGTGTGCGAAATTTCAGATCAATTGCTCACTCCCTTTTTCCAGAATAATTTTTCTAATTGTGAGAAATGACCAAATATTGAAAAGCGTTGCAACGATTTTCACTCAAATAGAGCTTAGAATGATTATTTTAGCACAAAAATGCGATTTTCAATTTATTTCCAAGTACATGTTTATTTCCTAAAAAATCGTTTGCATATCTTTCTATCTTAAGTGCCCGAGCTGATCTATGTAACAAATTCAAATTTAATGTTTTTAGGCTTTGGACCCCAATGGAGTGTGCAGCTTGATTTTCTTCAAAATTGCTTACAAAACAGAAACATACTTTTTTTATTTGTGTTTGGCCCCCTTTCAAATAACTGGGGAGTCATGGTATCTTTTAGGTATACATATATAGTATGGTTAAAAGTCAATTAATATGTATACATGTTTTATTTTTCATATATTGATCGGCTACATTGACAATAAAAATACTTACTTATGGTTGCTTGTATTTAGAGAGTTTATTAAAGTGCCGTTCACGAAAATTCTTGAGTCTTGTGCATTGTGTACTCTGTAAAATTGAAATAAAAACTTAATTGTAAACATTCTGATTAAAGAAATAAAAAATATCTTACAAGACTAATGATGCTTTCTATAAATTTCAAACACAGAATTAGACATTGTTTCTCTGAACGAAAATTTGGAGAAACAATATCTCTTTTATGGAATCAATATTCATTACATTGAACGGTATCTTCATAACATTAGACAAAATTCTGGAAACATAGTCATCAAAAGCAATAAAATGCAAAAACAAAAATTTGAAAATCGTAGACTCGATTTTATCCAGTATGTTTGTGAGAGATAATCGAGAGCGCAACGCCTCTCATGCCCCCTAGCACCGGCTAAATGGGACCACAATCATTGACATTGGAATCAATGATCATGGATAACAACACTGAGATACGGGGCGATGTTTTACAGCCGCCACTCATCACCTGACATCTGTTAATTTTGAAAAGGGAAGGTCCATCGAAAGAAATGAAAATAAATGTAAATGAAAATCTTAGCGCTAGAGATGAGTTCATCCAAAGTTTAAATTTGAATTGTGAAAAAATGAATATTGTCTCTGCTTTAACCGGGTTGAACAAATGCATATTGTAGAGGGGGTTTTTTTTGCTCAAAATGTAACAGGTATGGTTTGTCATGCGTTTGTTTGTTTCTGTTTGTTGTTGTTGTTTTTTTTTAAATTAAATCCACTCAAATGCAATTTGCTTTTTAAAATATCCCTTGTAAAGCAGCTTATTTCAATAGTACGCTATAATAGGTCTAATGCTCATGAATGCGTATGTCCGACTTTTTAATTGAGATTGTCGGAGACAAAGAGCTAATGCTTATGCCTTAGAAAAAGATGTGATTTAATCAACAAAGTAGAATATTGTAGATGATTGTCAGGAACAATGACGGTAACAATACACCAAGTGTAATAAAACCCCTATCAAGACCTTTCCTTTCTCTGAATTTTGTCCCCTTTTTAGCTTAAAACGTCTAAGTCTAAAATGTTTTTATTCTTTCAAAACAAATAGTTTTAGAAACTGTGTTTACCTTTTTCAGCTTTGTTTTTGGACGAGGGCTCTACAACGAAAGCGTCGAGTGTTTTCATTTAAACAGATCATCAAAATGTGAAAGAGCCACTGTTTATTAGGGGTGGTTCCACAACATTATATGCCAGCGATTAATTAAAAAACTAATAGGAGGGTCTTTTTATTGAAAGTTTGATTGCAAACATTTAAATAAGTTTAGTTTGACAGTTCACATCATGTCATAACGCTAATAAGTTTCAGTTATCTTTGGTAGATCAGTTAAACTTTTTTACAAGTTGAATCTATTTTTGCCTAAGGACCTGAATTTAATTACATATTTGTATGTATAAATATCGTATATAAAAATTAAAGTCAATGTTTCTCTTTCGATTTCTTCTCAATCATGACGTGATTTCAATTTTTATTTTAAATTTGGTGTGGTTATAAAAGGGAAGAGTTTAAGGTAAATGCGGGGGTTGCCGGTTTCATAGCCAGAAACTGTTGCTTTATGACATCATTATTAATTTTACAAATAATGGGATAGTGCATAAAACGGGTCAATATCAATGTCGTTTTATCTGCGTGTTTGCCCTTTCTTAATTTGCAAAAATTGATTCGTTTCTGAGGCATAATGTGCCTTTAAGAGAACTCAGAACATATGAGCCGTGTCATTACAAAACCAACATAATGCGTTTGCGACCAGCATGGATCTAGACTAGCCTGTGCATCCGCGCAGTCTGATCAGGATCCATGCTGTTCGCTTACAAACCCTATTACAAGTAGAGAAACTGATAGCGAACAGCATGGATCCTGATCAGACTGCGCGGATGCGCAGGCTGGTCTGGATCCATGCTGGTCGCAAACCCACTATGTTGGTTTTGTCATGACACGGCTCATATGACAAACATATCGTCTATATATCCCTTTACAACAAAATGTAAATATCCTGCAAAATAAGTACAGAGCGTGAAAGGACTAGACTAACCTAGGCTTGTTATCAAATTAGTATTTTCAGTAATATTGCCAGCAAAACGTAAGTCCTAAAAAAGTCCATAATAAAATAAGAACATATCCTACTGAAATATGCTCGAGAAAGGTAATTGAATTGATATAAATGTTCGCCTTGAGGGAAATGTATTGGTATGACAAAGTTTACCATTGCAATGGTTAATTTAACGCCTGTTTCCTTGATTACAAAAGATATAGAAGCATTCATGAGGATAGATTTGAAAGCACATTATGCCTCAGAAACGAATTTTTTTTTCCTTATAACGAAACGGTAAACTTGAGTTTTAAAATGTTTTAATAATGGTTTTAGAGCATGTTAGATGTATATATCACCTGAAGAAAGAAGCGCTGAATATGAAATTATTTGTAATAAATGTAGCAAAATGTAAACAAAGTAATATTTTGACTTCCATACAAAATACTAAATCTATTTGTTCAAAGAAAGCAACAAACGCTACATATGATTCAGGTTATTGGTCAATGAGTACTTTTTTGGAAACAATAGCAGGACGAAGTCTCTTTTGTTTTTTTTAAAACACAAATGCGTTCTTGAATTTTTATTGTGTAAAATATAAGATGGTTCTTTAATTGACATAAAACCTTTTTAGAACACTAATCCCTACAATAGTTAAAATAAATAAGTTATACTCACGGTATGCATATAACTAGGAGAACGGCTGTTATGTATATGCAGTACTGTATGGCAACGATAAATGGTTTACTGGAAATAAAAAAGATAATTTTAGATATTTTAGAATATGCTACATTTCCGGTTGGGTTTTGTTGGGGTTAAAGTCACGCGGACTCTGTAAACAACACCAAGGCGATTTCCAGCTTCATAGAACGCTCCCTGTATGCATTAGGCAGGTGCAAGCGTGAACCTGAGTAGAACCACCAAACTTCCGTCAGTTAGCTGGGATAGGTTCTTCAAATGAAAAAACAATCTAAAACAACGACTTTTCCCGTATGTTACTTCGGATAAGAGGCTATTGCAAATGGGTAAGAAAATAAGTTCTAGATGTCTAAAAACCTTAAGCATTGCGGTAATAATTTTAAACACGAAGTAATATCTATATATCAGATGCGTAACTTTAACACTGTATACGAGTCCGTATGTTTATGATGTGTGTCATTTCTATTTTGCTCTTCGTTTCCAATAAAAGCACATGTATTCTTACTTCAGACCAGTTAGGCCACATGCATCGATACATACACATTTATTAGGTTATTCCATTCAATACTAAAATACTATGTCCTTGTCATCACGATATTGCATGAATGCGATTAGAATCTATCTTCACTTAAACTATAAATATGATACAAACACTCCATTTTATTAGCTTTTCTCAAGCTACATACTATTTACAAGTCGCAACTTTTCGGATCATTCCAACACTTTCCGTCAAGATACTGAATAATTGGTGAGGGAACTGAATAAGGTTCACTGAACTCATAATGGATTCCGTTTGTTCTTTATAATTCCAAATTATGATACGTTAAAAAATATTAATCTGTATAATACATTTTTAAAGATCCATTAAAAATAAGCACTGGAAATTGCTCTCATGATCACTTTTCTAAAGGCGTGTTCCGGATTACGGTCCAAATAAGATACTAAGTATATTATATGTTTATATCCCTAACACCATACTATTGTAAAATAAGTCACGTCTAGATCAACTGATGTGCAAAATGTTATTTCCAAATCAAATCAATCAAATACGTTTATTTCTGTTAATTGTCGGTGTCTGCATCCAATTCCTTGCTAAATCTCTTTTGTGTCCTATAATATCAACCTCAGAACATGATCATTATTTACATGCTCCTTATCTAAGTGAACATTGGTTAGTGCTGGACTTCTTAGTTAGAAATAGCAACAAAAGTCATGTATAGATATGCCGTAATTTTGCAGAAACCACTGAAAATTATGTTCGTTGTTTACAATATCGCAATATTCACGACATCGTTAACGTTCCTATATTCCTAGATGACAAGATGAGTAAGTTCAACACAACAGTTTGCAAACCTATATCGCACTGCAAACATGGAATCTGTCTCACTTTCCTTAACCTGTCCTTTCTTCTATGCTACTAATTTTAGCATTAGGAATCGTTTCGAATTGAATCAGCTAAATGATAGATCGCTCAGCTCCGGGCCTAGCCAATAAACATTTTTGAACAAGAAATGGTATTCATGTTATACTTACAAAACAAATCCATAATTAAGGTGTCGCGCATAACGATTTTATCCTAGCATTTCCCCATGGAATAGCGGGGAGCAATTATCAAACCCTGGGAAAGACCTTGAACTGCGGGAACATTCATAATAGGATATCTTCACTTAATTAATTACCATGTCCTGCGAGTTTGAAAATCACCCCTGCAATTATGGCGCCAAAACAAAACCACCGCAATGATCCGTCAGTGCGTTTTGCGCAATTCCCACAATATTTCGGGATTGTGGTACGAGCTGCATTTACATATTCATGGCATTGAATTTGTTGTTTTTTAATTTTTTGCCGGATGTATGTTTTCAGATGAAACCTTTATATCTAAGAATCTGTTGGAATACAGGATTGAGCCTGTTTTTTTTTTTGTTATTTTTGTGTGTGTTTTTTGTTTTTTCTATCTTCGAAAACTGCGCATTCACCACAAAACACATCAGAATTGCCGTTTTATTTAGATATATATAAATGAATCCAATACTGCCTTGGATTATAAAATTCGCGGGCACTCAGATTGCATATTATATAAAGGACACTAACAAATACGTACGATATGTAAGAACTATTTTAATTCCTACCTTTTTACATGATTATACATGCGACTGGTCGTTGTATTTCTTCGGTATCTGTTCACAGTCATATTTCCACCCGAAACTCATACTGGATTTATATAAGACCTACATATAACAAAATTCTTAAGCTTCAAATATAATAGTAGTAATATTATTTTACAAGTAATCAAACTTTTTTACTTTCCTTTTTAGTTACTTATTTTTGTTAAAAATCCAGAATTTTTTCACGTTTTTCTTATGTTATTTTTTTTTTTTTTTTTGGTGGTATATTTAGTACTAAGTCTTATTTTCACCACCAGATATCTGTTGCCGACGACATACAGCCAAAGACGTCATTAAAATTGTTATTTCTTAATACCCTTGCGGGCCTTTATCGCGTTATCTTTATTAGAATCGAATAAACATAATCACGTTTTGATATATAATACATAAGTTAACATTCTTTAAAAGTACTTACAATCGATTTTTTTACATAATACAACACAAAACTTTTATTTTTATAATGTTTTAAGTTAACGTTCTATATGTTTATGTAAATTATGTTGTAATGTTCGTTTGTTCTTGTTGTTGTTTTGCTTTGAAAAAAAATGCTCAGGGTGGTTATGTATATCAGCTGATTGATATTAAAGTGGCGTTCGACGTATTTTGCATGCTATAATCAAGATATATTCGTTATTTCTCGTGGCGTGTGCATGGCGTGTGCATGATTACAAGCAGAAACAAGAAAGGGAAACAAAATCTTACCTTTTTGTCAATTAAAAAATATAGACATGTACATAAAATAGCCTTCGGATATGTGTCGCTAACGACTCTAATTCTGAAATTGAGAAAGTGTTATATTCTACAAGTCAATAAAAAAAACATGTAAAAGAGATGTAGGCCTGTTGATGTATAGTTGCTGCACAAAAAATACGGTATAAATAACTTTTAAGCAGCTTAAATTGTGTTGGAATTATATTTACAGAGTCTATTAACGACGAAACAACCATAATTCGTATTATAAAGCTTTATGATATTTCCTAATATTAAATAACGCTTCTCATTTTATTTTGTTGTCTTCTGACAATCACCACGTAGCCTTTTAAAATAAACCGAATTGCAAACTGCTCACTATTGGGTGAATATGAATTTGACAATCAATTTAGTGTATTGTTACCTATGCATTATTTACAAATTACTATTTTCGCTGCGCCGTTTAATCTCGTCAATTTCCGTTAAGCTACGGAAAATACCGAGAATTCCGTATCCGATGTAAACAATATGGCCGCACTGAAACGTTGAAACTTGTTCGTTTGTTTTGTTTATTTCTGAGTCAAACTTCAAAGGTAATTGTCACGTTTTTGTATAACTGATAATTAAGAAAAAATCAGTTAGAATATTGAGATCACAAACCTGTGTTTCAGATTTCAGTTACTTTCTTTCAACAGTTCAACTCAACATGAAATCTCTTCAAGTTCAACAGATCAACACTTGAGTCTTAAATTGGTAGGATAGATGACGTTTTTATAACCTGAAAAAACTATTCAGTAATTCCTTAAACATTTACACCTTATGAATATCTGCATGTTTGTATATATTTTAACTTATAAGTTGGAACCTAATCTGTAATCTCTACTGGATCTTGTGGTCATTCTTTTTAGACACCCTTTCACATAATGTGTCTTACAGTGTAGTAGCCGAATTAATTTGGCGTGAACGGTTTGACCCATTTTACAAACTTTTTTTCAAACAGAAAAAGACATCACCCGTCCAAAATTATTTTGATGTCTCTTTGACAAGTCTAAATAGTTGGACTAACAGTGTAGTGTCAGGACGAGGTGTCGTCTCAGTCGATAGATGACTTTTCCCAGTGACACCACTGGGCAGATTACATCAGTAGAATGAAGGAAAACAAACAACATTTTAGTCGATTTTTCCTCCAAAAATTTTCTGCACAGTCTTAAGTATTGAATCTGGGAAGTTTCTAACAGTTGTTTCATGATTAAACCATATGATACATGTATGAATAATTATACTAATTAGAATAACTCTCATTTAAGCCTTTATTCTGCAGGAACGATGCCGGTAAGCCAGAATGAAAAGCTGTATGGCTTGCCAGGCCCGCAGAACAGTGCTGTTTTGATGGACATCATCAGTAAACTAAAGCAAGAACTTCACCAGAGTAAGGCAGATAACCACAAACTTGTTGATCAACTGAACTGTTTAATTTCGCTAGTGAAAAGGTATTTTGAATTCTTGTCTTCTCAAATAGAGTAATATTTCATTTCTGGAACTGTCTATTATCAAATTTGGGTGATAACAGGATGGAAATTTTATGTTAGTCATCCAATAGTATAGATTAAAGAGAGTGGTCAGACTTTTAACCAGTGCAGGCTGACCTGGCACTTAACTGGTGGCATAGACTTAACCAATTAATTAGAATTTTTTTTAACACTACTGTGCTTGTTTTTCAGAGCATGGGGTGGAGAACAAGGAGCCATTCTGCACCTTGCAAATATTGTTGGTGAGATGTTTTCATTTTTTATTTTTGAAGAATTAGTATAATGAAGGCTCTGTTTATTCTTTTAACTTTTAAAACAACTAGGTCAGGTAATATGCTGCCAGTGAAATCATGTCATTAAATAAACTGTCCGTAACAGTAACTACAGTGTCAGTGAATACACTGTCAGTAAATAAACTGTTATTAAGCTGTCATTAAACAAAACTGTCCATAAATAAACTGTTGGTAAATAAACTGTCAGTAAATACACTTTCATTCAATAAACTGTCTGTAAATACACTGTCAGTAAATGCACTGTCATTAAATAAACTGTCCCTAAATATACTGTCTGTAAATAAACTGTCAGTAAATATACTGTCATTAAAGAAACTGTCCATAAATAAACTATCAGTAAATACACTGTCGGTGAATAAACTGTCATTAAATCCACTGCCAGTAAATAAACTGCCAGTAAGTACAATGTCAGTAAATACACTATGACTGCCAGTAAGTACATGTACAGTGTCAGTACTTTTGAAAGTATTACATGTATGTTTCAAAATTCAAACAATAGTTTTGTAAACTACAGGGAACATAATACACATAGATTTATACACTTTGATTAATTTTAAATTATATTTTTAGCAGATTTTCCTCATACTATACTTAGAATAATTTTGTTTGTCATAAAAATCACAATTTCTATTGTATATTTATAGGAATGGAAGCACCAAAGTTTGAATCCCATGATGTAAACAGAAACACACCTGTTGGTGACAAGGCAAGTCAATTAAAATGATGGTTGCGGTGGTGTTTGTAGTTTTTACACCATATCATGGCAAAAAGCCACATTGAATTCACCGGCCACCACATTGTTCCCGGGCATGCTGTCAAGCAGTTAACTAGTACTAGTTGCTTTCACTTTCACAATGAACTGATAACTTCTGTACATGCCAGAGCAGAGGTACAGTGTGAATGACCGTAGAAAGGATGTCATAATCAATTGCAATTTTGTCACAGAAATGTATAATACTGTTATATTTTGCTATTAAATTTACATTGATTTTATATTGTGAATATTATATATTTAATTTTAATATATCATTTTAAAATTTTACCATAAAGGGAGATAATTGTAATGTTTTGAATACTATGCAAGTTACGGATTATATATTTTGACACAGTGATGTATTAGCTATAACTGACATTGATTTTAAAATGCAAAAATTATGTATATAAGATTTTTTTTGCATATTACTTTTTGATAATAGACCCGTGCAGTGAAGAACTGGGAGAGGTTTGCGGTAAAACTTTTGGAGCGGGAATACACTGCTATTCAGGAAGAAATCCGACATAGACAGTTGCTTCATATACAGGTACTGTTGTAAAATAATGCACTGTTCGAGTTTAAATGCTTAGGAATAGATTAATAAAAGTTGATAAGCCTGAGTGATTAATTACAAAGCATTTGAACAAAAAGGTAAAAGGTAAAGAGAATTGGTAAAGGTATATTGAACTACATTGAGCATAGAAGTAATTTAGTTTATACAAATTTATTTTAGTTTGATTGTGTTGGAAGCTATAAGCTTTTTGAAACACTGTTGAATCCCTTTGTGGAACCAACCAGTACTAAGCAATGAATGTAAAGTTTCTTGCTCAAGGAACCAACAGCTTGTCCCTGACAGGGTTTGAACCCACGCGGTCAGCAATCCTAAGATTACTAGTCCTACGTGTTAACCACTCGACAACGCTTAATTCATTGTGTGTGGAAGCAAAAACAAAATTGTATTATAGAAAATATCCTATGTTATCCTTTGTGACTACAACAGTCACTTACCATATTGTTTTCATTTAATGCCCCCCCCCCACCACCAGATTTTGTAGATGAAAAATTCTAACCTTTTAGATTTGTAAATCAAAAATGAAAGAGCAATTAAAAAACTTCAAATATTTTTATTTAAAAAATGACAAGAACACTTCAGTAATATTAAATCATTTTTAAAAAATCCTGAATCCTGTATTACATACTTGATTATAATATGAGCCGTGCCATGACAAAACCAACGTAATGGGTTTGCGACCAGCATGGATCCAGACCAGCCTGTGCCTCCGCGCAGTCTGATCAGGATCTATGCTGTTCGCTTACCAACTTATTAAAAGTAGAGAAACTGATAGCGAACAGCATGGATCCTGATCAGACTGCACGGATGCGCAGACTGGTCTGGATCCATGCTGGTCGCAAAACCATTATGTTGGTTTTGTCATGATGCAGCTCAATTATGTATGTATGACAACAAACCAGAAAGAATAATATATGGATGTAGTTTGTGAGTGTGAGATACATGATCTGATATGACATATATATATATATAGCAGATAAGAAAATGGTCTATAACAAAATATTAGTTTTGATCATATGAATAACATATATACTATCAATTAGAACTTTTTACTTTTCAAAAAATAAGAATCTCCCATTGGCCAATGATATTAATTTTTATTGCTTTTATCAATATTTGAGATACATGTGGAAAATGTGCCCATATATAGACCAATCTACTTAAAGGACTTTTGATAGTTGATTAGAAATACTTTAATTATTTGCTTTAAAACGATATATTATCATGTCATTGACCTTGAACACATGAGCCGCGTCACAACAAAACCAAAATAGTGCGTTTGCGACCAGCATGGATCCAGACCAGCCTGCGCATCCGCGCAGTCTGATCAGGATCCATGCTGTTCGCTTTCAGTTTCTCTACTTGTAATAGAGTTGGTAAGCGCTGATACGCAGACTGGTCTGGATCCATGCTGGGTGCAAACGCACTATGTTGGTTTTGTCGTGACGCGGCTCATATATTGACTCAGACAATGACTGTTTTGTTATTAACCTGACAGTTCATGAGTTCATGAAAACTCACATTTTGTTATTAAAGAGGGCTTTTTTCCCTACTGTAGCAGGGGCAATGTTCAGGTTGCTTCCTTTCGAGAGAAAATTCTTAAAAATCATGCAGTTTTCCCCTATTTTACATCTTATTTTTTTTCCCTTTTGCAAAAAACACAGTGTTATTTCCCCCAAAATAAAGGTGAAGTGCCCTCCCCCTACCTGACAAAAAATCCTGAAAAGAGGCATAATTATGATGACCAAAATAAAGTATATAACCATGAGTGGTTATATGTTTTATTTTAAAATTCATCCCTTTTCAAAATGATATATGAAAATGTCTTTTGTAAACAATTCAAAATTTTTAATATTAATCAATAGGAAGAATACTTTAAAAACCAACAAGTTGTAGTCAATTAAAGCTGTAAAGAGATAACATTTTGTCTTGCCTCAGGCTTTCTTATGTACAATTACAATTGAAAGATATATATATTTATGTACTTGTATATATTTATATTAGGGATGGCAACGAATACCAAAATTAATACTCGAGTACTCGGTCATTTTTCCGATCGAGTACTCGGTTACTCGGACGATTTCCAATGATCTTCAAAGTTTATCACACAATATCAACGCCGTCCGCATGCTACTTTCGTTTTCTATTTATATTGAATTTCATAGAATTCGTAACTATAGATAGGACTGCAAAGGAGACAAATTAATTAAAATTAAATCAACGACATTATACTTTAGAACATTTTTTCATAACCTCTGATCCCCTCTCAAAATTCCATTTTATTTAGTTCCGCCCATTGTTTTCTCGTTTAGGGCACCTTCATTTTATTACTTGGGGACCATACGCCGCTTTTCATGGAATGGCACGGAAGTGTCACATTGAAGGTTCCATGATAACCGCCATATGAACACATCTGCGGATGTTTCCAAATTCAAAATTTTACTATATCATGTTTAAATGTTGAATTCTGCTTAAGCCGGTGCTAGGGGGCGTGGACGGTAACTTGCACTTTCCAGTACCGTCCATAAACAGGCTAAATCAAACCGAGCCTGCAACATTTTCAATTTTGCCGTGTTGGGCTTTCTTTAGGGATTCTGTATTTATCTATTTTAATTAATGCAATATCAAGTTTAAAACATGTTTAGCAGTTGAAACATCTTTTTCTTCTTGTAATTAAATAGACTGATCGGCGGCAACAAAAGTTAAACCGGGTCTAAATACTACCTTAATTATTATATCATAATAGCAATACGGCCCTTTGTTGTTTTCAAAAATGTTACCTTAAAACAAGATTCGGGTACAAACTGCATTGTGTTACACAATTAAAGGTTACTAAATATCTTAAGAGACCGAATGACGTAAGCACCACATGTGCGCGTGTCAAACTGTTGATCGCCTCATTAAATTTATGGTATCATTTTCGCACCTCTGCAAGGAAGTTGTGATTGTATTTAACAGGTATTTATGAAGATATATGCACATCTCCGAATTTTTTAACTAATTGGATACACCAAACTGTCTAAATAGCAAATAAAATAGAAATTATACATTTTTTCCGAGTAATCGTATATCAATTTTGTTAACCGATATTCGGACGTTCGATCGAGTACTCGGTTAACCGGTTATTCGTTACCATCCCTAATTTATATTGATGTAAAGTATGTTGTAAAGTTCAAAACTAGCCAATGAATTGCAAGGTAATTTTTAGCTCGACTATACGAAGTATATGGAGAGCTGTCCTACTCGCCCCGGCGTCCGCGTCCGCGTCCAGATTTTAGATTAAAGTTTTGGTGCAGTAAAATATTTTTCACTATAACTTTGTCATTTCTTAAGGTATCAACTTCAAACTTCAAATATATGTTCCTTATCATCAACCACATCTTATGTGACAAGGTTCATAACTCTAGCACCAATATTTTCAGATTTATCTCCCCTTGAACTTAGAATTTTCCTTAAAAAATACTATTTTTTACTGATACTTCTTTATTTCTTAAGGGATCAACCTAATACTTCAAATATATATACCTTATCATCATCCCCATCTTATGTGACAAGGTTCATAACTCTAGCACCAATATTTTCAGATTTATCTCCCCTTGAACTTAGAATTTTCCTCAAAAAATACTATTTCTTACTGTTTCTTCTTTATTTCTTAAGGGATCGACCTCATACTTCAAATATATTTACGTTATCATCATCCCCATCTTATGTGACAAGGTTCATAACTCTAGCACCAATATTTTCAGATTTATCTCCCTTTTAACTTAGAATTTTCCTCAAAAAAATATTATTTTTTACTGTAACTTATTTATTTCTAAAGGGATCAACTTCATACTTCAAATATATTTACGTAATCATCATCCACATCTTATGTGACAAGGTTCATAACTCTAGCACCAATATTGCAAGAATTATCTCCCCATAAACTTAGATTTATTTACTAGAAAAATGTTATTTTTTATTTTAACTTTTTTATTTTTAAAGGTATCTACCTCAAACTTCAAATACTTATACCTTATCATTAATTACATTTTATGTGACAATGTTCATAACTCTTGAAGCAATATTTACAGATTTATCTCTCTTTGAACTTAGGATTTTCTTTAAGAAATATAATAACTTCTTTACTTTTTAAGGTATCTACTTCAAACTTCAAATATATATTTCTTATCATTACACAAATGTTGTGTGGCAAGATCCATAACTCTAGCATGACTATTTCTATAATTATTCCCCTTGATCTTGGAATTAATGTTAACAAATGCTATTTTTTTACTATAACTTAATACGTAATTATACATAATTGATTTTTCTTTCATAGTTTTGTCCTTACTGCGTCCAGTATTTTATTAGTCGAGCTTCGCTGTCTCCTGTGACAGCTCTTGTTCTAATTATGTTTATCTATTGATTTTCAACAACAGCATGGTGATACTATGTTTAAGGCCATATTAAAATGTGGACAAAACCATTTATCACAATATCAAGATAAAAATCAATTAGTTCATGGTTCATTTATAAAAAAAACATATCTGTACTTTAAATTGACTAGTAAGATATACAGTTTTAAACCTCGGCGCAGTTGCCCTCTGTTAAGCAAGTACCTCTTAACAACAAAAGTACCAAACCTATATCCCCCCCCACACACCGAAAAAAAAAAAAAGAATTCACCAAAGGTGAACCCTCCCTGGAGCAAAACAACTTGGCAGCAACCAAATCTGGTCTTAAAATGGTAGTTTCTTTGCGGAGGTTTTTCTGATAATAAATGTAAATAAGCTATATTCAAGCACTATTATAATACTTTTCCATCATAAAATTTTGCTTAAATTTTTAAACTTGAATATTCTAGAATAGGTAGAGCTATTTTACTCACCCAGGTGTCTGCGTCACACTCTGGTTAAGGTCTTTTTTACAAGTTGGTATCTCGAAAAACTGCTAAAGAAAATGGATTGATTTTTTCCCCATTAATTTGCCAGCATAATAGGTCACTGTCCAAGTGGTTTTGACTGAATTATTTCCCTTTTTGAATTAAGAAAATTCTTCATAATCCAGGCTCTTGTTATACTATCCAGCACTGAGAATAGTCGAGCACAGACTGTTTTAGTATTAACTCTGGTTGTAAAACATCTTTATTACTGAATCCTTTAAAGGTATTGTTTCAAAGCTTTGACAATAGTGTCTCTATCTGTTGGCAGAAGAACATGACTCTATCTTTAATGATATTCCAATTTTGACTTTTTAGAAAAAGTTTCAAACAACCTTATTTTTTCACCACTTTATTGAGATATTTCTTTGACAGATGTAACACTTAATTATGATATTCACCCTCATTTTGAGAAAAGAATACATATCTCTGTGATATATTTGACATGGTTATTCCCCTTGTTGTTTTTTTCTTATCAAGCTTACTTCATCTTGACTGTTACAATTGTATAATAGGGAAAGCTATCCTGCTCACCCAGGCATCTGCTTCTGCGTTTAACCTTTTGTAAAGTTTTTCATACCACCCCAAACTTAAATCCTGTACCCTTTGATGTATTGTTTTGAAACTTAAAATGAATGTTTATAATGCCATCCCCATAACCTATTAAGTACTTATAATAGTCCATATTGCTGTCTTATGGACAGCTCTTCTTGTTAGTTATTGTGTTTGTCTATGCTTGAACATGCACATACATGTATATTATTTCACATACATGTATATTATTGCACATACATGTATATTATTTATTTTCTCATTACATTTGTTGTGTATTTATATTTCAGAATAGACAAATGTACATGAATGATGTAATTGAAGATCATAAACAGGAAATGTCCAAGTTTCAGCTTCATAAGAAAAGTACAACGAGCTTAGAAGATGTTGACAAACAGTTTCTGAAGATTTATAATACACAGGCCAAGGTACAAATTAATAACAATTGAGCCGCGTCACGACAAAACCAACATAATGCGTTTGCTACCAGCATGGATCCAGACCAGCCTGCCCATCTGCGCAGTCTGATCAGGATCCATGCTGTTCGCTTACCAACTCTATTACAAGTAGAGAAACTGATAGCGAACAGCATGGATCATGATCAGACTGCGCGGATGGGCAGGCTGGTCTGGATCCATGCTGGTTGCAAACCCATTATGTTGGTTTTGTTATGACACAGCTCAATTTAGTTTTATTCCATAGGAAGCAGTCAAATAATGGCTGATTCTTGCCATGCCATATCTTTGCTTTATTCTGCAACAAAAATGCGAAAATATAAATCTATGACAGAGTTAAAAAAGAAATGGCCCCAAAAGATTTATTTTTTCTTAATTTTTTTATAGCCAGCTTCAAATTTTTTAAAATTGGTTATTAGATTGACAGATTGCATTCAGGCTATCATTCTGGCTACTGACTAACCTCAAAAATAAGTTATTTTGAGTCTGAATAACTTTAGGTCAAAGGTCAAGGTTATATGTACATGTATCTTGTCTGAAAAAAAAATCAAAACAACATGTCTTTAGCTACTAAATTTTACATTAAGTTCTCCACCCTCAGATCATTATTTGATTTATAGAACCAGTTTATATGATTTGTCTTTTGCTAACATACAAACTTTGATTGGGTTATTGCAAAAACTGACTAAACCTCTGTTTAGAAAAATAACATGTCAAAGAACTATTCAATAACAAGTTTTAACTAAATAAATATATATATATATTTTTTTTTTTGTAATAACATCGAAAAATATTATGCATTAATTAATATAATATTGGCAGTTGAGGATTTTCTTGTTGAGTTTTTGTAATATTAACCCTTACCTCTCCAAAGATCGTAACTGGACTTGTTCATCTTCTAATCTGGGCAAAACCAATCAAAGCCACTTTCTAAATTGTAAGACTGCCTATTCTATTTTTAGAACAAAGATCCTAGAAGAGTAAGGTCAGCTTGTAGACCAAGGTCAGGTTATAGAGGTCAGATTTCACGGGCAGCTGCTATGGCTGACAGGGCAGATGTTAGAGTTGAAGATTTATTAGGTCAACAGGGGTCACAGGGTCATAATGGTGTTGGTGGTGATCCTAACAGCAACAGTGTGAGTATTTAAGTTTGGAAAAAATGAGTCGGGCCATGACAAAACAACATAATGCATTTGCGACCAGCATGGATCCAGACCAGCCTGCGCATCCGCGCAGTCTGATCAGAATCCATGCTGTTAGCTTACAAACCCTATTACAAGTAGATGAACTGATAGAAAACAGCAAGGATCCTGATCAGACTGCGCGGATGCGCAGGCTGGTCTGGGTCTGTGCTGGTCGCAAACGCATTACGTTGGTTTTGTTGTGGCGTGGCTTAAATATAACTTGTTCTTAAAAGACAAGTGTTTCTTATCAAGAGGATTCTCTATATTGTTTAAGCATTGAACTGTTGTCAAAGGAAGATGGACAAAACCCCACCAGTTAAAACCCCACCAACTTTAATTTTATAGAGTGGGCAAAATCCCATCACTTCAGTTTTTATGCTTCTCGAAAAATTTCGGGGGAGCATATAGTCGGCGCCTTGTCCGTCTGTCCGTCCTTTTGTCCGTCCGTCCGTTGTCTTGTCCGGAGCATAACTTGAAAACCCTTGGAGATAATTTGTTGAAACTTCATACAGTGGTAGAGGGCATTGAGGGAGAGTGCAGTGTCAAAGAACCATAACTCTATTTTGCCAGGTTTTTGAATTATTTCCCCTTATAGAAAAATCTTGTCCGGGGCATAACTCTAAAACTATAAGAGATATCAACATGAAACTTTGTAGGTGAATAGATCTCAATAGGTAGATGTGCAGTGCATAAGAACAATAACTATATTTGTCCTAATTTTGGAGTAATTGCCCTTTGTTTATTTTAACACTTTGAACTTAGTCCTGAACATAACTCTAAAACTATAAGAGATATCAAGATGAAACATTGTAGGTAGATAGATCTCATTGAGTAGAGGTGCAGTGCAAAAGAACCATAACTCTGTTAAGCCTCATTTTTGAATTATCTCCCCTTTTAGAAAATCTTGTCCAGGACATAGCTGTAAAACTATAAGAGATATCAACATGAAACTTTGTAGGTAGATATATCTCAATGGGTAGATGTGCAGTGCACAAGAATCATAACTCTGCCTTGCCTAATTCTGGAGTTATTGCCCTTTGTTTATTTTTACTTTTTGAAATTGTCCGGGACATAACTCGGAAATCATAAAAGATATCATCAAGAAACTTTGTAGGTTGAGAGATCACATTGATTAGAAGTGCAGTGCAAAGAACATTAACTCTGCCTTGCCTAATTTTGGAATTATTCCACTTTGAACTTTTTCCAGGGACATAACTCTGAAACTACAAGAGGTGTACTTTCTGTGTCCAAAACCTATTCGGGGAGCATCACCCGGCTCAAACCGGGTTCTTGTATAGAGTGGACAAAGCCCCACACTTACCAATTATTGGGCAAGATTGTATAAACTGATTGCTAGTACATTATGCTGAACAAATAAACACAAACTTGTTACAAGCTTGTACAATATGGGAAATAAAATGTTAATTACAAAAATGTGTTGATTGTTAATTTAATTTTAGATTATTTTGAATGAAGCTTTATTTTAATCTGTACAATTCCTCTGACACTTTTCCAAGAAATTTGCATTACTTATCCAGATTGCAGTAGATATTTCTTACATGTATATTTATGTATTTTATTACTGTATAGGCTTTTAGTGCACTGTACAAGCTAGATTCTAGTGAAGGACAGAGACCGTTATACAGGCCTAGAGAATATTTTGACGATGCAAATAGATATAAACAGGTGCGTATAGACAAAATATTTTTGTTGGTATATGACAATCAAATCATTAGATAAGTGCATTACAATAGGATTTCACCACAACCTATTTGTTAACAAAAGAACACATGTCAGTATTTGTGGTTAAATCTATTGGTATTCAAATAAACGGTCAGAGTAGGGATCTATGAATTATATTGTGAGCAGACAATATTTGTAAGGATAATTTATGCCTGACCTTGACCTCAAATGACCTTGACCTTGTAAACCTATTATCTATTTCCCTACACCTTCGCCAAACAGACCAAAAAAAATAGCTTATATTTTCTTAAGGAGATTATTAGTCAATTTATTTGTGTGTGTACTTATTATGTATAAATATTGATAAATATGTTAATATTTTCCTAATCACTATGTTGGAAAACAGCTATATATTCAGAATCAAAATGTAAAAATCATTTTTATAATTCTGGAAAGCTTAATAAATATTTTTTTTTGGTAATTAATTAATTTCAATGTATTTCAGAATAACCTATTTGACCCAGATGTGATATTTAGCCCAGAGTTATTGGCACCACAAAGAGAGGCCAAAGGAAGGCCTGGCAGTGCTACCAGTTCATTATTAGGGTCTGGTATAAATCTTAAGAATAGACCAAAATCTGCTTCAATGGGTAATTATTTGAGCTGTTTTTATTTGTAATTTTAAACAATTTTAAAATCTAGACTTTATCTAAGATTCAATAATTTTATTTGCTTGACAATTTGAAGAAAAGGGAGAGCTATCCATCACACTGGTCAAGTTTTTGCGTGCTTACAGGTTGTGTCTTCAAAACTAGTAAAGAGAATGGGTCAAAACTTCACACACTTGTTTGATAGCATAAAATTTAGTCACTGTCTAAGACCCATAACTCTAACATAGATGTTGACAGAATTATGACCTTCTTTGAACTTAGAAATTCTACTTTTATCCAAAGCCCCGTTTTTTTATCAAAATTGGCATTTCGGTTATTAGGAAAAAATTTTATTGAACAAAAAACATTGTTGACAATGTTAAAACTCCATAAATAATGAAAGGGTTATGGAGGGGACTTGGTTTTTGTACAAGAAAAATTTTTAAACCCCAAAAATGAAAAATTTTTAAAAAAGGGAAAAGAAAAAAATTTAAAAATTTTAAATGCGCTCCTCTTAGTTCACCCCTACTAAAAAACTTTGAAGGGAAGAAAAGGGAAAAATCACAAAAACTTATGGTACAAAAAATTTTCATAAGCTGTAAACATATAGGTATTTTTTGCTGTAGGGAAAAAGGAAAAAACAATATATTTTGGGCAAAAAAAGTTTAAATGACCCGACGTTAGAAACCCCCAGTTGGGGCCTTTTTGAAAAAAAGTATGTCATCATTTAGATCGCGGTAATGGTGTTCCATTTTAGTTTTTTTCATGTTTAAGTTAAAATTTCTACATGTTATTTTGCAAAATATTAAATGCTATAAGTAACTTTACATTGTAACTCAAAATTTCTTTTTTCAACAAACAAGAACATTTAGAAATTGATAATTGTTTCAGACGTATGCACAAATTTAACGGACTATTGTTGCTTTTTGCAGAATTTTGTAAAATGTTGTTCTGTTAAGACTGTTTTACATAAAAACTTAAAGATTTAAAATATTTTGCACAAAAACTTTCTTGTTTAGGTGTTTGAATAAAATAATATTATGTCAATTTTGACCAATTTCAACACTGGTTACATGAAAATATGCCATTACCGTGATATAAGTGATAACGCAGAATTAATGATGTTGAGTATAAAGTAAAACATTTGAGATCTGAGTATGTATAGAATTGTTATAGGAAAATCAGTCATTTTTTGCTATTTTTTTTGGAAGACAAGCTTGTGACATTGCCCTATCATGTTGATTAACCTTCTTATTAAGGGAATTTTCTCTGTGATTGTCGAAGATATCCCATTTGAAATTTGGAAAATTTATCTGATAATTACAGGAATAGGATTCCATTTTAGCAAGCAGGTACCCACAATATTTCAGCACAATTTTACTTGCAATTGTAATATCTTTAAAAGAATTTAACTTTTTTTACTTATTCAGGCCTTTTTCCTTCTATTTTGGGGAAGGGCCACATGACAAATTTTGGAAATTTGTGTCGTAAATTTTTTTAATTTGAGAAGAAAGTTATTGTGAAATTTGCCAATTTGGAAAAATATGCTAGCATTTAAAGTGTAACATTTGTTTAAATAAATCCTCTTACTTAAACTGTTCAGCTTTTTCTGTCATATCAAAAATACAAGGACAGGCTAAAATGTGTACAAATGTAAAACTGATATCAATTAAAAATCCTGTTCTTATTCACAAAACATGAATTTATTCCGTAATGCTATTTCGCGACACCAAAATTGAAGATGTGGTACTTTTTCTTTCAAAATGCTGACTTTTAGATTGGTAATATTTTTTTTGGATTGGGAAAAAAACCAAAACATAATTTGGATGGGGACTGGGGCCCATATTCCGACCCATGGGATAGGGGAAAAAAGGGCTGTTATTTAGTTATTAATTTATTGATGAATGGGAAAAAAAAACATAAAGAGTATTTGTGTTCTTTTTAACAGTGTTCATGACAGAACCAAAACCAGAGCGACCACTGAAATACGAAACTACACGGCCTACATCCGGGAAAAAGCCTCGGCCTGGCAGTGGCACTGCCTCACTTCGTGGACGACGTCACTCTGCACCTACAAGGAGACAGGGTCCGACACTGATAAACAGGAAGGAACTTCACAATAGATCTGAACTGGATCACAATAATGAGCCAGAAAATGATGAAATTGAACCAGAGTTACAGAATATTGAAAACCAGACAATGAATACAAGTTTTAATGAAGGAAACTTAAGTGATGAACAAAATTGCAGTGGAGACAACACAGTGAAAGAAAAGCCACCCATAAAGGTCAAGGTCAAGAAAGGTCATCCTATGGACAAATTTGTAGAAGATCTGAGGCTCATGGGTGAAATGGAACTAGATTTTAAGAATTCTACTTTACAATTGCAAAAGAAACTTGGTCTTGATGGAAGTGGTTTTATTTACTAAATATGAGTAAACTTACAGTATTTCCCAAAACAAAGTATTTTGATATAAAAGAATATCTTATTTTTTAAGACATTGTATGTTATTAAGCTGTTTTAAAAATGCTAAAAATAAGAAAAATTGCATGTTTTGATTGACTGAATCTCTTTTTTTACACACAGAAATACTTACTTTGAGGATACTTCAGAAACTTGAAGAGGGTGGTATGAGATCTCCCATATTTTTGACATTATTTGGCAAAGAGTTTTGTCCTATCTTAGAAGCTGTATTCGAATACTGTTGTAACATAGATGGTTAGTAGCTGGTCACTTTTAAAGAAATTTGTAATTACTGGTTAGTTACGCAGGTGTGCTGTCCAAATAGACAGACCACAAAGATATGAATAAACAGATTTGAAATTGGCATAAAAACCAGAGAAACAAACAAACAAAGTTTCATAGAGCGTTTCATGTGAAAACTTACAAATGGCATTGCATCTAAGAAATATAAATTCAGTGACATCAGTTCATTTACTCAAAATCATTTACATTTTGCATAGCTTTAAAATAGCAAATTATACTTCATTTGGATTAGTTTTATTGGATCCGTAGACCAAATGGTTTTCGATCAATAACTAAAGAACCCTTAGGCCTAGGAACTTCAAACTTGGTATGAAGATTGTTCATGACCAGAAGATGACCACTATTGTTTTCTGGGTCAATGGGTTAGAGGCCAATATTATATTGACCTTGTAGGTATAAACGGATTCAAATCAATAACTTGATAACCCATGCATAGGCCCTTGACCTTCAAACTGCAAAGACGCATTTGCCTTGGCCAGTAGATGATTCCTATTGATTTTGGGGTCAGGGGGTCAAAGGTTTAGGTCACATTGACCTTGTATGTCAAAACAGTTTCCTGTCAATAACTGGAAACCCATGGACCTTTAAACATAACAAATGCATTGCTTATGGTCAAAAGACGACCTCAATTGAATTTTGGAGTCAAGGGGTTAGAGGTCAAGATCCAATGACCATATAGGTAAAAACGGTTTCAGATCCATATCTCAACAACTCATGGACGCTTTACCTTCAAACTTCACAGGTGCATTTGTCTTGGCCAGTACATAACCCCTATTGATTTAAGGGTCAAAGGTCAAAGTCACATTGACCTTGTACATAAAAATGATTTCCGCCAAGTTGCCTTGGTTGATATTTTTTATTTACTAAAAATGCTTTAGTTGATATTTTTGATTAAACTAAAAATGCCTTTGGTATACACATCACAAAAATTGTGTACAATTAAATTTAAAGTCTCAACATTTCATAGATCAAAGATTAAAAAGAGGGGTACAATTTCCATATTTTCAAATTGTTAGTCATGTCAATATTATGATTTCAAGACGATGAGTAAATATTCTTTTATGGCATAATTTATTTACATTATAGATGCTGATCATATTTATATTAAAAATTTATATTGTTACACTAAAATTGTATTGTGTTGATGATATATTGAAAACTGTATACATAATAAATGTGCTAACTAAGTAAGGGCATGACCATTTCATGTATGAACTATAGTATAGATGTATTGGCATGGTATATTCATTTAATGCATCCATGTTGTTCTCATATTTCTAGTTTACAAATGTGCCGTGTCATGACAAAACCAACATAATGGGTTTGCGACCAGCATAGATCCAGACCAGCCTGCGCTTCCGCACAGTCTGATCAGGATCCATGCTGTTTGCTATCAGTTTCTCTACTTGTAATAGAGTTGATAAGCGAACAGCATGGATCCTGATCAGACTGCGCGGATGCGCAGGCTGGTCTGGATCCATGCTGGTCGCAAACCCATTTTGTTGGTTTTGTCATGACACGGCTCATTAATGTTCTGTACCTGTTTGTAATACACTGTGTTCCTGTGATAAGTGATGATAATTTTTTTTGCATGTTATATGGCCCAGTATATATATTAATGCCTTGAAAGCCAGGTAATGCTATCCAAGGCACTGAGGTATTTTATTAGTTATAAATATTTTTGGCAGGTTATATGGCCCTATATAAACGGTTGTTTGTAAATATAGCGGCTCGGGTTATATTGCAAACAACCGTTTATATACGGTCATGTAACCTGTCAGAAATATTTATAACGAATTCATTATACAGCAAGCATCATTTTTATAGGAAAATAGCGAGATTGCTTAATAAATCGACAGAAGCCGTGTATATAAAACTATATAAACATCACTCTTATCCAATGAAAAGCGACGTTACAAACGTGCAGTATTATAAAAATGGTTATATGGTCAGCAGCCATTCATTCTTGGCCATATAACCTGTCAAAAGTCATTATAACAACTATATAATACTGCCCAAATTGCTTTATTTAATAAGTGTTATAAATTCCATGCGTTGGTGTTTATAGATAATATAAATATCATGATTATCCAATGAAAATCATTGTTACAAATTAATCATTATTATAATGAAATAAATCGTTCTGTTTCTATATATAATAAAGAAGCATAGGAGGGGTAAGCTGTTTCTATATATAATAAAGAAGCATAGGAGGGGTAATTTTTTTCCTATATTAATAAGTACATGAGCATTAATTATATAGTCTCACATTTCAGAGTATCATATACATTTATTTTAATGTATTGTATACAAAGTCTTTGCAATTTTAAAGGGACTCCACTGAGGTTTTTTGAAATGACAGGACTGAAAATATTTTTTTGAGATTATTACTCCATCTGATGTAGGTCTACACCAACAATTTATGAGCAAACTTTCAGATCATTAGCTGGCTTCGTTTTTCCAGAATAATTGTTTTAATTGTCAAAAATGACCTAAACGCTTTTCACTCAAATCTGACTGAGAATAACACAAACATACGATTTTCAGTGTATTTCTAGGTATATTTCTTAATTATCTTTTGTATCTATTTCCGTTTTAGGTGCACCAGTTGATCTATGTGAGAAATTAAAATTCATGGTTTTAGGCTTATGAACCTCAGTGGAGTTCCTTTAAGTCATATTTAGGCAAGGTATTTTTTTATTCATTTAATAACAATGCTTAAAAGTTATTTTTGTGCTTATTAAATAATATTATGTGTGTATATTTATAATAATACATGTATTCTTACTTTGCAGTATTCTTTATGATAAAGTACATTTAAAGGTAGATTTAATGTACCTTTTATTCATGCATGCATTAACATCGGCAGAAGCACACAGACACATTTAAGACCAGAGCCCACAGGGCCAGAGATTTAATAATGTCTGAGTGCTTCTGCAGATGTTAATGAGTGAACTAAACTTTCTTTGTATTAAAGATGTGCAAAATAGTTATTTTATGTTTCAGGTCCTTCACATTTATATGACTTCATCTCAGTGCATCCTTGTGTTTGCCTAATAATGTCAAGGACATGTGCACAAATTTTGCATCTGGGTGCCAAAAAGCAGTTGCTCTCATGTTTCTACCATGATAAGTTTTTATTTTGTAACAAAACGTAGCAGAAGACTTTTCCAATCGATTTATACACAGTAATGACATTTTTGCACTGAGGTGAACATTATTTCATCATATCTCCACTATTGGCATTTGTTTTTAAAATAGTCTAATCAGCTTGAAGCTTTTCGATAATTATCTGTTTCACGGGGGGGGGGGGGGGGGGGGGGTTTCAGACAGATAAATAGAACATATACTAACTGATGTCTCATGTAACTTGCTTATCCTTTTTATGCCCCCACTAATTAGGGGATGAATAGATTTACCCTTGTCAGTTTGCCCTATTCTCATGCTGTCCTGAAAATACAGTGGAATGTGCAGGCATTTATATAATGGACACATTTATAATTGAAATATTTTAGGTTTATTTTAAGGTTTTCTATTACGCTTATGTTATTGTGTTTTGTTAGTAGAATGATGTACACTTATATTTTTTTAAACATGCTTAGATATTTTTTCTTCAGTGTCAAAGTCTTGCTTCTAGTCATAGATATACGAAACTTTAGGATATGTGCGATTTTGTGTGTATTTCTTTAAAGGGACTCCACTGAAGTTTTTTGACATGACAGGACTGGAAATATTTTTTCGAGATTATTGTGCCATTTCATGTAGGTCTAGACCGATAACTGATGTGAAAAATTTCAAATCATTTGCGTACTCCATTTTTTTTCCAGAATATTTATTATAATTTTGAAAATGACTCAAAATTGGAAAGCATTGTAAAGCTTTTCACTCAAATTGGTTTAAGAATATTACAAAATATGATTTTCAAAGTTATTTCTGGGCATATTTCTTAATGATCTTTTGCCTGTCTTTGTCTTTATGTTTTGAGTGCCCAGATTAATCTATGTAAGACATTACAGTTATATGTTTTAGGCTTTTGAACCTCAGTGGAGTTCCTTTAAGTTTGTTTTTTCTGTACATTTTATATTTTGATATATATTCATGCTGTCATTTTATCATAATTAGATGATTAAGAAATTCAGTGCTTTTTGTCTAATCAAAGTAAATCTTTGATGAAAAAGTAAACTACATGTATTCAACTGAAGGTGAAATATTTTTTTCCTGTAAAAAAAACTGCATTAGGCAATATGTATGTTTCGCCTTAAGTGAAGAATGTCTTCGTTTTTCTTTTAAAATGAAAATGTTTTATTTTCCTGAAAATCCTCTTTTATCATGTTTTTTTTTGCTATAAAAAGGGAGAAAAATAACAATAACAAAAAGAATCAATGCATATTTCTGGTGAAGACTATTAAAGCCTATAAACAACCGGTTAGTTGCACTCATTTAGTGGAGAGTATTTTATTTTTTACCAGAAAACATTTATGTTAAACGAACATCATTTTTGTTTTTGGCAATAAACAACTTTTAAAGAGAATTTATTAAATTTTTGGCCAATGAATTTTTCAAAGACATTTTTGTTCCATTTCATTTCTATGTATGAAATTTGGCTGAGAATTTTATGCAAATCTGTATTATCATATTATTTTGTAAGTCAATAGCTTTGCCTCTACTGCTACAAGCTCTCTATTTCGAATTCTGTAGTTGTTTTACATATTATATTGGTTATCTAAATTGAGCGGCGTCACGACAAAACCAACATAATGGTAAGCGAACGGCATGGATCCTGATCAGACTGCGCGGATGCGCAGGCTGGTCTGGATCCATCCTGGTCGCAAACCCATTATGTTGGTTTTGTCGTTACGTGGCTCTTATCTATTAGCTTTTGTTTTTGATTTCTTTATTGTCTATTGTTAAACAATTTTGTCTGTTCATACATTCCATATGTGCATAATATAACGTCTTATAACATTTAACACATGATAGATAGAAAAATAAAAAATATTAGATATAAATAGATGTTTGGTGTCTACTGTGCTCCCTTTCCGGTGGTCCTGTGTTGCTGAGTTGTGTTGTGGGGATGCATTCAGTTATTACTTGTTTGCGACCAGCATAGATCCAGACCAGCCTGCGCATCCGCGCAGTCTGATCAGGATCCATGCTGTTCGCTATCAGTTTCTCTACTTGTAATAGGGTTGGTAAGTGAACAGCATGGATCCTGATCAGACCGCGCGGATGCGCAGGCTGGTCTGGATTAATGCTGGTCGCAAACCCATTATGTTGGTTTTGTCGTGACACGGCTCATATAGAGATTTCAAATTTCAACCAGTGTAACCCGCAGTATTCAGATATTTCATATACCTGCATTTTGTTTGTACCTTACGTCAATTATGATACTTATAATAGATTGAAATTTGCAGTTATTTGATGAGAATTTGTCATATGTCCATCAGAAGTACTACAACATTTCAAGTATTGAATGTAAATATTAAATAAAACTGTAATATTGTCCAACTTATACATGAACATTATATACCAATCGAGTGCAATTAACATCATATGATGTTTAGATAGACAATTCAAATGTCAAAATCTAGTTGCTTCAGTTCCAACATAAACAATATATACTTTATATGCAGAGGCATGTATAACAGCTCTTAATATAGATGTTACATGTAGGTATCTGCAGAAGTTAAATATAATTGTAGCGCATATGATTAAATGTATCAACTAACTGATTTAGATAAATAATTAATTTATATAAAAGCGCGGTCTCCTAGTTGACTATGTAACACATTGAATACCGCCCTACTTCGTTAAGCTTTGTTTTTATATTCTTCTGTATTTTGTTTTAATTTTGAAAAAGAAAAATGAAAAAAAAAGAAAAAATGGAAAAATTGAAGTCATCCACCACAGTCAAATTGAAAGTTGTGTTTGCTTACTTTGGTTGAGCCTGTCCATAGTAAATGTATACTATCCTCTACGCCCCCTAGCACCGCCCCCTAGCACCGTCTTAAAAATAATCCAACAACTGACTATGAAAATTGTAAGCTCAATAGAATTACGTAAAATTTACAAAGATGTTCAGAGTTGAAGTAAGTTGAAGCATATAATTGTTTGAGCACATAATTTAAAAGGTCAGTTGCTAGATCTTTAGGTACCACAAGTGTTTCAGCTGTTGATTAAGGTGATCTTTCTCCAGTATTAGTAGATTTGCAAAGGTTGAAGAAAAAATGTATACAAATTTTAGTAACATTCTCTTCATTTCTATGACTTTTTATTGTTAAAAATACGAATATCACAGCAGAACATTTATACTTTATTTCTGACTTG